GAAGTTAAAGCGTTTTGAAATCTCAAAAATCGCTCAATTTGGTGCACCATGTTAAGTCAATGGGAAAAAAGACTTTTTTGAAGTGTAAAATACAAGATATAGACTGGGTAAAGCTCAACATAATGAACTATTATTAAATAAGGGGACCTCAAAAGCTACCTAGCTTCAAAATTTGGACACCAAAATGCCTAGGTCAAAATCTAGGTCAAATTCATAGGTTTTCCTTATTTTTAGGATTCTGACACTACACTTTAATGATTTGCTTAAAAATTTTGTATACAGATAGCAAAGAGTGAGTTAATAGTGTGAGCCTTTTGCCGTCACAGAAAGTATTTTGACCCACTTTTGAGATATGGTGTCCGAAAAGTAGGTCAAAATAAAAAATTCTCTAAATTTAATGTACAGGTATGATGTATGACTTAAGGGTAGAATTTTGCTCAGGAATCCGAATCTGCAAACCAAATTTCAATCCGACCCTCGGTCCGAAAGTTATGGCGTTTTGAAAGCTCAAAAATCGCTGAATATGGTGCCCCATGTTATGTCAATTAGAAAAAATATTTTTTTGATATACGAGATATTGACCGAGTACAGCTTATTATTCTGAAAGCCTATAAAAGAAGGGGACCTCGAAGGCTATCTGGCTTTAAAATTTGGACACCAAAATGCCCAGGTCAAAATCTAGGTCAAATTCATAGTTTTTCCTTATTTTTGCGTTTCTGACATTACACTAATATGATTTGCTTCAAAATTTTGTATACAGGTAGCAAAGAGTGTGCTTATAGTGTTAGCCTTTTGCCGTCAGAAAGTATTTTGACCCACTTTTGAGATATTTGTGTCCGAAAAGTAGGTCAAAGTAAAAAGTTCTCCATATTTAACGTATGAGTTATGAATTAAAAGTAGAAATGTCTCAGGAATCCAAATCTTTAAACCAAATTTTGATCCACCTTCTGATTAGATAGTTATAGCAGTTTGAAGTCTCGGAAAGTCGATATGATGATATCCCCATGTTAAGCCAATGGAGTCGAAGATAACATTCTTAAAAGTTGTCTAAATGTCTATATTCTAGCTGACTCAGCTTATTCTGAATGACTCAGCTTACAATTGGATGACTCAGCTTGAAAAAAGGTTTAAATCTGGAGTCTTAAATTGAACTTGTTCAATTTACATGTCTAGTATTGTTATGTACTGGGAGGATTTAGATATGGGGTTTATTCTGAGGGAAATGTGAAACTGGAGTCTGGACCACCCTCTGTATATGCCAACAGTTGACAGGTATGGTACATTAGGTATTAATATTCTTATGTACTGGGAGGATTTAGATATGGGGTTTATTTTGAGGGAAATGTGAAACTGGAGTCTGGACCACCCTCTGTATATGCCAACAGTTGACAGGTATGTTACATTAGGTATTAATATTGTTATGTACTGGGAGGATTTAGATATGGGGTTTATTCTGAGGGAAATGTGAAACTGTAGTCTGGACCACCCTCTGTATATGCCAACAGTTCACAGGTATGTTACATTAGGTATTAATATTGTTATGTACTGGGAGGATTTAGATATGGGGTTTATTCTGAGGGAAATGTGAAACTGGAGTCTGGACCACCCTCTGTATATGCCAACAGTTGACATGTATGGTACATTAGGTATTAATATTCTTATGTACTGGGAGGATTTAGATATGGGGTTTATTCTGAGGGAAATGTGAAACTGGAGTCTGGACCACCCTCTGTATATGCCAACAGTTGACAGGTATGGTACATTAGGTATTAATATTGTTATGTACTGGGAGGATTTAGATATGGGGTTTATTCTGAGGGAAATGTGGACCTGGAGTCTGGACCACCCTCTGTATATGCCAACAGTTGACAGGTATGGTACATTAGGTATTAATATTGTTATGTACTGGGAGGATTTAGATATGGGGTTTATTTTGAGGGAAATGTGAAACTGGAGTCTGGACCACCCTCTGTATATGCCAACAGTTGACAGGTATGTTACATTAGGTATTAATATTGTTATGTACTGGGAGGATTTAGATATGGGGTTTATTCTGAGGGAAATGTGAAACTGTAGTCTGGACCACCCTCTGTATATGCCAACAGTTCACAGGTATGTTACATTAGGTATTAATATTGTTATGTACTGGGAGGATTTAGATATGGGGTTTATTCTGAGGGAAATGTGAAACTGGAGTCTGGACCACCCTCTGTATATATCCCAACAGCATTGAGAGGTATGGTCCATTAGACATATAATATTATAAGTTATTGAATGATTTGAAGTGCAATACAGGATATATTCTGCTCGAGAAATTTCGTATTGAAACAAGACGGAGTCGAGTGCCAATACAGAATATCGAGACAGAATTTTTTTTTATCGTTTGATCCTCTGTATTGCTACTGAGAATGTCCCCTCGAGTCCGTACCAATATTTTCTGCATTGTGACGTAGATGATCAATGGGGACAATCTCAGTAACAATACAGATTGGTACAGCACAAGAACTGATCAATCAGAAGGCTTCATTTACAGATCATACGATAATGTTATATACTGGGAGGTTTTAGATATGAGGTTTATCCTGAGGGAAGTATGTGTTTCATATCTCCCGAGGGCCACTGATATGGGAAACCTGAACAAATTCAATAATATGAAGGGTGTGGAAATATCAATTGAAACAATTTTCTCGCTATCTGATTCTACCTCTAACCTATGAGAACATATTAACACATCTGTGAAAATGTAACACTTATAATTGTGAATCAAATAAACAGTCGACAGAAATACCGAGATCCGGCTGTGTCTAAAATAATTAGCAGGTTGAGTTAAAAAACACACTTGAACACCTTCTAATTTGACCCTTTGAAAATATGGCTGTTTATATGACTGTTTTAGGCAATTAGTCATTAGCTTATCCATCTTGGCATTTATTAACTGCAAAGACGCTACTTTATTATTGAATCAAGCTGACACTGAGCATCTATTATACTTTGTCACCTATACTTAAAATGTCATTTTTTCATGTTTTTCCCATCATATTTCTCTCCTGTCTTATGTTTTTTGATGTTTTTCTATACTATATCTAGTATATTTTAATATGACATATTAACTTCTATTTGGTTACTATATCTAGACTAGTGAATTCCTCTTTTCTTTACTTTCATTCCGTTTTATGCTTTAAATTATGATATTTTATTGCTAGGTTAGATCTTAAAGTGCCAAGGCCATCAGCCATGTTATTCTAATTAGTGAAATGTCAAAACAATATGCTAAAGATAAACTATTTTTATTAAGACAGTTCAGAATAGGTTAACGGATATCACTAATCATTCACTCTTTGAAAACAAATCCATAAAAGAAATATTTAAGTATGAAAGATCATTATTTTTATCAGATCTTGAACAATCATAGTGTAATATTTGTAATGCCATCTGAAATATCTTATACCCAGTAGAGTTTTAGGAAGATAAGTTGGTAAGGTATATCCCATATCCTGATTTTGAGGTTTCCATATCCAGAACCTTCATATCTCTCGCCATATCTATTTTGAAAAAATATTGAAAAAATTTGACAAAATTGAAAAACTCTACTGGGTATAGGATAAAGCAGTTATGTACGGTCGGTTTTGATATAGGGTTTATCCCTCGTGAGATATGCACATCCTCCTTCGGTCTCTATGGTCGCTCAGGTAGATATGCATATCTCCCTCTGGATAAACCCACTCAAAAAATTTAAAACATGAAATGAGGCTATCATATTTCTTTTAACCCTTTCGGATAATTCAATACATTTTTTTACAACTTTTTTAATAGATTTTTTCTGTTTTTTAAGTGAAGGTCAATTTATATTTTGTCAAGTTTCCAATAAGATTGACTCACCATCTCAAATTAATAGAATAAAAATAAATATTTCCAAATAAAAACACATGGTCACAAAAGCAGGTAGAGGTCAGGGCTGGCAAAAATCACTAAGAAAGGATAAAAATGGCAAAATAGAGCCAATGGTCCAGAAATTCCTGATCACACCTCGTATTTGGTAACTTGCTTTTAGAAATCTAGAACTTGAAACAAGTCTGTACCAGCCCTCAGAGAGACTATCAAAATTTTAGTACGAAAAATAAATGATTGCTCACAGTAATACAGTATCCAAGAATAATAGAATGTTGTTTGTAGTTAATAGAATGTTGTTTGTAGTAAATAGAATGTTGTTTGTAGTTGTTATTTCTGATCTGATCATTTAATCTAACTTATTAACAAAGTCAGTCACATATGTGGCTACATTACATGATATCAAATGAGTGGTCTATTATTACATTACATCCTGTGTTGTGCAGTTATATTATTCACAATAGCATAACTTATGACACCTGTGTCACAAAACATCCTATTTGTTAATAGCATAGACGTGTTATAATTCTCTCACTCTCGTGAGTGTTGCTATGTCGAGGATGTCATTGTAGTTAATGTAAAATCTATTAATATAAGAACATATACAAGGTCGTTCAACAAGTTCATGGAAAAATGCCCTCATTTCAAAGATTTATGATATTTTCTCATGAAATTTTCACACAATTTATAAAAAATACTTTCTGATATACATGTATATGTATATTATATATATGTATAAATGAAATTGAATTAAGCATGCCATTTTTACAAGCACTGTGAATTCTCTGATTTGTACAAGTACATGTACATGTGTTTGTAGTAAGCACATCTTCTATGACATGTGACTTTATGCTTAATGAAGATGAGGTCAGTTGTGACTTGAACATGTTTTTTTTTATTGAAATAGAAAAGAGAAATCATATCTATGAATAGTTCATAACAGGAGAAAACTCCAGTTACACCAAAAATAACCTGTTGATTTGAAGGATTTTCAATGCTTTTCATGTTAACATAATTTCTAATACTCCAATACTTGTTGTTTTTCAGTGTTTTACCTGTCTTGTAAAATTTGATTGAAACCCCTGACTATACTTTATTTTCTGTACTTCCAGAGCGCTCAGTGTACAAAAGCCTGATAGCGGACCAGCTCATGTAAAGCTCATTGTGGAATGGGACTCTGTCACTAAGCAAAAGTAAGTTATCTGTGTTGTCATGGGGAAGGGGTATGATGGGTAGGATTCAGAGCTCATGTTAAGCTCATAGTTGAATGGGACTCTGTCACTAAGCAAAAGTAAGTTGTGAAAGGTGACAATGGTATGGGAGGTCAGGCCACACATAATGTGTTATTATGTGGTATTATATACTTGCTCGAAGCATCTAGTTTCCCATACTTTATTATTTAGCTGAATAATTGAAACCAATTAGAATCTTTACCTCAGTTAAACTTACTATCTGAAGGAATCATCTGGTATTATGCAGTCATTCTATGATCATGTTATGTTATTATCCCACCTAACGAAGTTTGAGGGGGATATAGAAAAGCCGTCCGTTCATCCTTCAGTTTGTGTCTCCTCCGGGCAATAACTCAAATACCGGTTGATGGATTTCATTCAAATTTTATAGGCTTATGCCTTATTAGTGTAGGACCTCCGCTCGGGAAGGAATTCTCAATATGGCCACTAAATTCAAAGTGGCGGCCATTTTTGGGAAAAAATATAATCTTTGATAACTCAAATACTAGTGGATGGATTTGGTTCAAATTTTATATGCTGTTTCCTTGGTATGTACAAAAGGAGCCTTGCTCAAGAAGACATTTTCAAGATGGCCATATTTCAAAATGGCGGCCATTTTTGTCAATTGTGGAAGTATAGTGTTCTCATGACGAATTTTTATTTATATCAGTATGGTTGCTGATGTGATATAACAATATTATTTTATTTTAGTATGGTTGCCAGTGATGATGAGAGTATAGAACTGAAGGAGGGTGTCTCTAGGGTGATATTGTGTTGTAATGACAATATTATTTATTTCAGTATGGTTGCCGTTGGTGATGAAAGCATAGAACAGGAAGAGTGTCTCTAGGGTGATATTATGTTGTCATGACAATATTATTTATTTCAGTATGGTTGCCAGTGGTGATGAGAGTATAGAACAGGAGGAGAGTGTCTCTAGGGTGATATTGTGTTGTCATGACAATATTATTTATTTCAGTATGGTTGCCATTGGTGATGAAAGCATAGAACAGGAAGAGTGTCTCTAGGGTGATATTATGTTGTCATGACAATATTATTTATTTCAGTATGGTTGCCAGTGGTGATGAGAGTATAGAACAGGAGGAGAGTGTCTCTAGGGTGAAACTAGACCAACAACAACCAGTTATAGGCAGCCTGGATGAGTGTTTCAATCTCTATACACAAGCTGAACAGGTGAATGTATACCCCTTTCAAATGTCTCTTTGTAGAAATATTTACTTGTCTAGCCTTATCTAAGTAGAATGTGTAGAATGTGTCAAGAAATTTCAAGATTTTGGCACATTTTTTAACTCAAAAGCTGCAAGGCTATCCTGGATAGTCCAAATACCAAGTAAGATATTTGTTACTTCAAAAAAAAGTTTGTCTTCCTATTTGAAATGTATTGTAAAAATGACCTGCTCCTAGACATTGACCAAATTTCTCGAACTCATTCTTGTGACAAAAGTATGATAAAGTCTTTGATTTTGAATTTGTTTACGGTATCTTTGAATTTGTTCCATATATCATATCTTTGAATTTGTTCCATATATCATATACAGTAAAACCTGTCTTAATGAACACCTCTCTCTAGTGAACACCTGTCCCTAGTGGACACCCTTCCTACGCACATAGTCCACTGACATCTGTTTAAATTACCCTCTCTCTAGTGAACACCTACCTACAGTGAACGTTTTTTCTTGGCAAAAAAATGTTCACTATATACAAGTTTTACTGTATTTGAATTTGTTCCATATATCGTATATTTGAATTTGTTCCATATATCATATATTTGAATTTGTATTATATATCATATATTTGAATTTGTTCCATATATCATATATTTGAATTTGTTTCATATATCATATATTTGAATTTGTTTGATATATCATATATTTGAATTTGTTCCATATATCGTATATTTGAATTTGTTCCATATATCATATATTTGAATTTTTTCCATATTTCATATATTTGAATGTTTTCCATATATAATATATTTGAATTTGTTCCATATATCATATATTTGAATTTGTTTCATATATCATATATTTGAATTTGTTCCATATATCATATATTTGAATTTTTTCCATATCATATATTTGAATTTGTTCCATATATCATATATTTGAATTTGTTTCATATATCATATATTTGAATTTGTTCCATATATTTGAATTTGTTCCATATACCATATATTTGAATTTGTTTCATATATCATATATTTGAATTTGTTCCATATACCATATATTTGAATTTGTTCCATATATCATATATTTGAATTTGTTTCATATATCATATATTTGAATTTGTTTCATATATCATATATTTGAATTTGTTCCATATATTTGAATTTTTTCCATATATCATATATTTGAATTTGTTTCATATATCATTTATTTGAATTTGTTTCACCTCTATCAGTTGGGTGCAGAGGATGCCTGGAACTGCCACCACTGCGGCAAAAGACAACAGGGGACCATTAAAAAACTTGGACTCTGGTCCCTACCTGATATACTTGTAGTGCATCTGAAACGCTTTAAACAGGTATAAACACATTAAGTTTGTGGTACATAGTTACTAACACATATTAACATAAAGGGCTAATCTTTTTCTGAAAATTTTTGAAATTGGGATACTTTTCTGATTTTTTTTTAGGATGTTGACTCATTTTCTCAAAGTCAAGGCCTTTTCAGAAATATGACCTAAAATATTTTAAGAAATTCCTCAAATTTTTGGGGATCAACGTTTCCATTATGTTTAAGTTATAAAAAAGTATGAATATTTACAGGAGGGACTGAAGAGGAATAAACTGAACACATTAATAGAGTTCCCAGTGTCAGGGCTGGACATGGAGGGACACGTAGAGCACAAATCCACCCTTCGTAGAGAGCTATCACCATGGAGACAGAGCAGACACAATACCCCAGGTCCTGATGACTATGTATACGACCTATATGCTGTCTGTAATCACTATGGCAACATGGCTGGGGGACATTATACAGGTGAGAATGAGGATGACATCAAGTGATGTCAAATAAGTACAATGCATTCATTTATTCCATATATCTTTTACATTCATATCACTTTTTATAAATGCAAAGTACATAACATTTTTTTCAAGTATTTATTAGCCATTGTGTTCTCAATACTGTACTCCCGGTTAATTTCACGAGTTCTTTTACAGCTCTATTATGTCGTCATTTTTCGTATTCTTGATCTGATTAGACACTGTAAAGGACATTGTTGCTTAGAATCCCATTTATCGCTGTTTTACATATCTCGAAATGCAATGGAGTTTCATTCACAAATCCCCAGGGATGTAACTGACAATTTTGCAAAGATTATTTTTTTGCGATTTTAACTGTGAAAAACACGAAACTAAATCACACACGAAAAATTCTGGGAGTACAGTATATAAGTTATTTTGGTACCTGGTGGCGGGAACCCTCTGAAGCGTTTTGTTCAGGAACAGTGACAATTTTATTTTGTATATCATCAGATGGCTAACTTAATATGGTGATTGGTGGTTGAAATGTATTAACTTGAATAATATGTAACTAAAAAATTATTCCACATTGCCCTCTTCAACTAAACATATAATAGCATTTATATATTTTGTCATATATTATAGTACTATTGATACAAATAAATTGAGTAAATAAATTTTTTTTTAAAATAGCATTTTTGAATCTGTTTTGCTCTTTTATTTAAGCATTTTGTAAAAACTCCACTGATGGACAATGGTACTCATTTGACGATCAAGTCGTAAAGGCAATCTCAAGTAACCAGATTGTCAGTCGGGCAGCTTATTTACTATTCTACCAAAGACGCTCTGTTAACAACATGAGCTCCGCAAGTTCTACTAGCTCAGCAGGGAGCGATCATTGGGTTTATAAACTGCCTGAGGTTCAACATAGTATACAGTCCATCCAATCGAAGTCACCACCCAAAGAAACTACTCAGTCTCGACTCACAGGTAAGTCCCCTTTTAATAAAGTGTTTGATATACCTACTAAAAAGGTGTGGATGTACTGTAAATGAATAAACACAAGGAGCACACGCGTCTCGAACTCACAACCTCGTGGCTACAGCACCTACTTGCCTAGTTTGAACGTGCTGGCGCTGAAGCCCTCTCGGCCAACTTGACAACCCCAATAAAATTGTTATGTGTCAAATGCTCTTCATAATGGCAAATATTGCTTCTTGTAGACAAATGTCACAAATGGTTACACTTTTAATTTCAATCAGTTGGTGACATTTTATCAAGTTCGTACCTTGTTATAATTTATATATTTACATAAAATATGAAATTTTTCAGGATTTGCAAGAAGAGCTTCTGGTAGGTCCAAAAAGCCTAAACCTGAGAAGAATAAGCTAATTGAACGGACAATTAACACCTACGGCACAATGACACGTCGTCCCCGCTCCCAGTCATGTGGCCCTGGATCTGAACATCGGATCAACCTCACAGCTAACGACATAACGTCCCCACCCAAAGAGAAACCCCCTGGGTCCCCTGTACGTAACCCCATGAAGAGAACGGAGAGTTACACGGCAGCTGCTGAAACTGACATGGAATCGTGCTCTTATTCTGGACTCAGTATGTCGAACTATTCACTTGGGGCAAATTTTGAACGCCAATGGGATTCTCCTGAGAGAACCCTCCCAAGGACTGCTAGAACATGGGAGTCTCCTCCCAGGAGTAAACCTGTGGGAACAGTATCAGAATGGGATCTGTACAGTAGACCGTATCTACAGGAGTCATGTGTATAAATTGATGTGTACATTAGACCACAAGAGTCATGCATATGGATTTATGTGTACATTAGACCAGATGAATTGTGTATAGTGTACACCATGTGTATGATAGACCATATTTCCTACAGTGGATTAATAGGCTTGTTAAGAAGACAGTCTTCAGAAGGCTTTATCTGTACTTTTGCCAATGAGACAGGGTGTCCTCTAGACCCTATTATAGGAACCTTGTTGTCTTGTGTACAGTAGACCCTATTGGAAATATGTGAAAAGCGAATGGCATTTACACATAAGACCAGCTCAGTTTCCCCATACAAGGGTTGTATATAGTAGACTATTTTTTATTAGTACCCCTATGGGTATACAACTTGGATGTGTGCAATAGACTATACTTGAATTGTAGATGGACAAAAATGGTATTTACAGAGTAGATGGTATCATGGGCTTTCAACTAGAAGGGTATGCAACTCTATGTAATAACATGAGACCTTCAAAATGAGCAATGACATGCTTCCCTTTTATGGCAATATTTCAAAAAGTATTTGATACATGTATATGTTTTAGTATTATTTTGAATAAAAATCAATTTTTAATATGATTTAAGCATAAAATATATTCAATATCATATAAAAGTAAACAAAAGAGACCAATAAGAATAAGAGTTATCAAGATGTTCTCTTTGAGTATTGCATTGTGGGTAATTATTCAAGAACACATTCCAATAAAAACATAATTTGTGGGAGAATGTTCACTTTCTGTATTGTCATAATTATGATGAATTCTAATTTTTATTAAATTATCAAGATGTATGTAGAAGATCATGTTTTTATTTTTGAGTTATTTCTTTTAATCATCAATAAAAAGTACAAAATAAGATTTTCTTGGAATGTGTACATTCTCCAATTTTGAAAACCCATGGCAATGTTTATGTATGAAATATGGGAAGTTGCCTACCCTTCTAGTTGAAAGCCCATGATGGTATCTACTGTGTCTGTTTGTGTAGAATCTACAGAAATCAGTGTCATAGAAAACATATAAAATCTTTTTCATCAAAAGTTTTCCAGATTAGATCGGATGTATATAATATGTATATAAATATAAGATGGAGTGGTATGAAAGAGTGAAAAATTTGGTTGTGTATACCCATATGGTTGAAAAAACCATATTTATAAGAATGGACCTTTTAAAAAGTACCTAATATTTATAGAGGCCAGTTTGGCTATGTACAATATATGTGATAGAACTAGGGACAGTCAGCTGTTCAACAGTTTCAAATTTTTATCAAACTTTGAAAAAGTCCTATATTGTCATCTTGTGCTGCTGGCCGGGTGAGCGCCACAAAAATTGTGTCATCAAAATTCTTGGAAAACTGCTTATTCGTTTCATTTTAAATTTTCACAGATGCAAGATCAGACTAGTGCCAAGATCTGATTAGGTTTTGGGCATGCTGGGTAAATTACATGGCAGCCATTTTGTTCTTCAAAGTACGATATTTCTCACTGTGTGTTTTGTTGATTTCTCATGATATAATTATGTTCAAGTGGTGTATGTATCATTATAGATATATCTTTTACTTGGTTTTTAGTTTGAATAAATATTATGTAAAGATTTTAAATCATGAAAGGACCCATTTTAAATACAGCTGATACAATAAGTGTAGCTTCCAAATAAAGAAATTTTGAAGAATTGAAAATACAGTAATATTGTATGTTAAAGAACATTGATAAAAATGTTTGTCTTTCAATATTGTTAGCTGGCAAATAGTTTTTAAGAAAATATGTCTGATTTTCAATGGTACTACTACAAGTTAGTACATTGAATGATATTGTTATCACAATGAAAATACAATAAAAATCTAATTGTCGCTATGTGATATATTTAACTCATAAAAAAGCAAGTAAGTAAATTTATTAATGTTTAATTAGTAATTTAATAAATTAATTAGTTTTTGGACCACTGTCAATGTATTTTTAAGTAATTTACTTCCAACTATTAGAAAAGTTGATGATTAAAATATTTTTTATAAATCAAATTGTAACACATATGCATGTGTTTTTTCATGCCAGTTAACCAATAAAATCCATTCTATTCTCTCAGAATTCCTGTCTAAAGCTGCCGTCATCCTGATATAGTAGATAGTTCAAATCAAAGTGAGGTTATACATGTGTATCTAGTAGTACGACTACAGGCTGTCAAGCCAACAATGTCCACAATGCAGGATAATTTTTCCTCATTATTATTTTATGGTGATTAGGTGTACAAATTCTTGCCCTTTTATTTATTCATAAGTCACAGCATTCTTTTGGTCTGCCCCATGCAGCCATGGTAGTTTCTTAGAAAATTTGTAATGTACCATAGTAGATTAGTAATGTACCATAGTAGATTACTTGTATACCATAGTAGATTACTAATGTACCATGGTAGATTACTAATTTGCCATATTAGATTAATAATTTACCATAGTAGATAATTAATGTACCATAGTAGATTACTAATATACCATATTAGACTACTAATGTACCACAGTATATTAATAATGTACCAAGTAGATTACAAATGTACCATAGTAGATTACTTATGTACCATAGTAGATTACTAATGTACCATACTAGGTTACTAGTGTACCATTGTAGGTCAAAAATATACCAGAGTAAATTACTAATGTACCATAGTATAAAACTAATGTGCCATTGTATATGTAAAATTACAAACATTTGTTAATTTAATTTGGTTAATTCTCCATTTCATATGAATACCAGCTTTTAAACAAAATATCCTAAAGATAAGTGATGTCATTTGATTTGAATTTTCAAAGTCATCAAATATTAATATGTTTATAAGAAATTTTATACAGGTGTATATGTAAAAATCAAAAACAAAAACTGAAGTTTTGATTCAAGAATGTTTCAGATTTATATTTCAAAACTGCTTTATGTACTGTGCATATACAGAACAAAATACCTTTAAAATATGAAATACAGTAGATTTACAAGATATACTGTTGTAAAGTAACTTATTGTATTGTTGTCAGTTCTTATTGTATTTTTAAAAAAATTGTTAATGTAAATCAAATTGATTTATGTTTTGAAACACATTTAGTTTATTTGGTTGTTGTACTTGGTGCTATGTATAGATCATTATTATTTCATGTATATTTTATGAACATATAGATTTATGTTAGCAGTTATGTAACAGTTTTAATAGTTTGGGTTTTAAAATTCAAAATTTAAACAGAATTTTAGAAGAATGGTAAACTTATTATTAGATTTCAGAAAAGTAAATATCTATTTACTATATAGACTTGTCTAATAGTCTTTATTGAATATAATCCAGACTGAGAATATGTTTTTGAAAATGTATTTTTACACCACAATATAACGATTGGTATAAGAGTCAATATTGCCTATTATCGTATGATCTGTAAAATGAAGCCCTCTGATTGGTCAGTTCTTGTGCTGTACCAATCTGTATTACTACTGAGATTGTCCCCATTGATCATCTCCAGAGCAATACAGAAAATATTGGTACGGAGGGGACAATCTCAGTAGTTGTACAGAGATTACAGAATATTTCCTAGGTAAAATGTATTGGCCTAAGATCACACAATGAAAATGTTGTTGAATGATTTGAAGCGCAATACAGGATATATTCTGCTCTCGATATTCTATATTAGCACTCAAACTTCATCTCGTTCCAATACAGAATTTCTCAAGCAGAATATATCCTGTATTGCAATTCACATCATTCAATAACTTATATTATTACCACCTTGCCGGGCCAGTTCTAGGGGTTTTAGTGCTAGTTTAGAAGGCATTCATTTTACAATATCGACCTGAGCAATATATGATGTCATAGTGGTGGTCCATAATGGCAGTCAATAATACAATCAATGATCGACAATTTTCTCCGGGAAATTAGATATTGTTCAGTGCGTACGATTTTCCTGCTATTTCAGCCCTGGTCATTAACTGTGGTAATAATACTAATAACATCATTTCTGCAGGCAATATTGTGAAATATTGGACCAAGGGCCGAACTATATTGCCCTTCGAAATGACGTTATTGTACTATATTGTCAGAGTTCTCATATATTACCATGGTGATCTGATTTGGCTTATAAGTCAATATACAGTTGCAGACAGGCAGATACCTAAACAGAAAAATAAAAAAATAACCCTGGAGGACAGTATTTTCTCTTACACCAATCCATAACCAAACAATATCATACACATAGAGATGTATGTAATTATGTAACTATACTTCACATTATGTTACTTCATACATAGTGCTATGTAATTGTGTAACTACACTTCATATTGTATTATGTTACTACACACACAGTGCTATATGTAGTTATGTAACTACACTTCACAATATGTTACTAAATTGATAGTCATGTTTTCTGTAAGTAATTATGTAACTACACACATAGTGCTTTATGTGATCATGTAACTACACTTCATATTATGTATTTACACACAAAGTGCTATATGTAATTATGTAACTATACTTCACATTATGTTACTATACACAAAGCGCTATATGTAATTATGTAACTACGCTTCATATTATGTTACTAATTGTCAAGTAAAAGTTAAGCAGTAATGAATAAATAAATACATAGTTTTGTATATAAAAGACAACTGTTATGAACTTATTTATCAAAAGAGTGAAGACATGTCAATGTAGTGTACTTATTACTTCATCTTTAAATTTTTGTCACCTTTATTAGTGTTTCGGGTTGCAACTTCGCCTTGATAATCAAAGCAGAAATACAATTCACTGATATGTGACATCACTTCTTGATTGAAATCTTAAAAGATGGCAACCTACTGGAATTGAGCTCTTCATTTTTAAGCAATCAATATCGACCATATCAAAATGTTTTTCTGTTTTGCTTCTAGCTACCATATTGGGAGAGAGTTACATTCTCAAAATTCATTTCGTTCGTTGCGTACCTTCACTACACAGGAGGTACGATTGCACTGGACGAAAGGCTCGGAGATTGAGAGAGTTGGTCTGGCAATTAAATTGTTTGAAGTTGACAGTAGACCATGTTATGGTTGACACTACCAACTAGCATTGCATTCTTGTATCTATTAGCAACACTTCCAGTTAATATCAGCTCATCATCTACAAAGACATCTGTAATATCTTTGGGCTCTGTGTTCCCAGACATCTTTACCTGCAGCACCTAAAAACAAGAGATTATACATGGTATTTGGTAACTAAATGGACTGCTTAGATTATATTATTACTGTTTAAAGGTATTATATTATTAGGGTTAGCAAACAACTTTTTTAATGTACTCTTTTTTATTTGGTAAAAAAGTTGATGACTAAATTTTGTGGAAAGGACGATTCTCAGTTTGGAGAACAGTCTCCTGGGCTAATAATTTTTTTCATGAAAAATATAGAAATATTACCCAAATTAAACTATGAATATTCAAAAGAGGACATTTAAATCTACAAGATGTAAAAATAACAACTTGGTCTGAAGCAGGGATAACGCTCAATTAGACCGATTCAATAAAATACAAGTCTCGATTTGAGGAAAGAAGTTCATCAGTGTGCTGCGCTAATATTTTTTTTGCGAAAAATCTAGAAATATTACCCAAATTAAATTATGACTATTCAAAAGAAGACATTCAAATCTATGTTATGTAAAAAAATCAAATTTGTCCGAAGCAGGGATAATGCTCATTTAGATTGATGAACTTCGTTCTCCAAACCGAGAATCGTCCTTTCATGACAACTTATAATCAAAGTATTTTGATTTTTAATAATTCCTATTTATGTGTCAATATCCACATAAAAAGTGAAAATATTACTCATTTCATTAATTATTATTGGTAACAAAAATATGATAGAATTTCAAAATAATGTTAGCTGTTTGTTTATAAATTTGGATTATGCTATTACATTTATAAGAAATAATGATTTGAATTTTATGTCTCTCATGTCAATCGACTGTTTCCTAAAATTTCACCTTGTTCATTTACTGGTTGTGTTCTACATATTGTTTACTTACCCTTGCTGGGGGTTTGACCCCAGGATCTTTATTATTAGGGCCAGATATATAAGCCATGGCCTTATGAAATATAGCTATGTCACCTAGCCACAAATCACCTGTTGATGAGTCCACATCAATATTGTCTATTGCTGAATAGAGTTCTATTGTCTACAGTAAATAAAATTCAAGAATTAAATTATATTCATTTGATATACTGGAATGGATACATGATTTTTAGTTACACGATTCAATGAATTGTGGTTAGATTTAACGGACAAGCTTTTTACAGAGAATTGCCAATCAAGATGTAAGACTTGTATGCAACAATTCACGAGAGCATTAAATCACCCACAATTCATTGAATCATGTGCATTAAATATTTTCACACTGACATTTAGCAAAAGATTTTAAACGATATCATTAAAAAGAATTGAAAACTCAAATAGAAATTAAACATTTTGATCTGCATAAGCACTGATTTACAAGTTTTCACTTTTTACTATTTTCTGTTTTTCTGTTGAAAAATATTGAATTGCTATGCAATTCATTCTGATTTAATTGGCAAAAGTGATAAAGAATACTTTCGTGAATAACACATTATCAGCACACTTACAGAATTTATGAATTGTCATAAAGTTTTGAAATAATCCAAATATCTCACCTTGACTTCAGTCAAGGAGAAGTCTGAATTCCTTTCTAAAATGACTATGTTCCTGTCACCCATATTTGACAAGTAAATGTGTCTAAAAATAAAATATTTTATCCTGTAAAAATAAATTATGTTTGGATGTTGCTTTGTGTCAAGGGTCAAGTCAAGGCCATTGGAAAAATGACATTATTTTAAACCATTCAAGTTCATTGAAGGTCATCTGAGAGTTCAACAATCACTGTGAAGGCTTTTGGAATCTCATCATATGGGATCATGAAAGGTCAAAGTTACATCCATAGTTCAAGGTGAACTCAAGGAATCGTAGAAACAAACACATCATCGTAATACCATCCAGTTTAATTGTAATTTTGCTGCAAGATTGTCAAGACTGAAGGTCAGATAAAACAAACTGACGGATCCAGGGGCCCAGAAAATTGTTGACCCAAAAGTTTTGTAGGGCCTCAAAAATGGGTCTCTTTGGGCATAATTTGGCATTTTTTGGGCTGTTTTAGGCCAAATTATCATTTGGACGCTAGTTTTGGTTTTAGGGGCCCACAATTTTCTTCCACACTCAAATTTAGGGCCCCCTCCCTCTTGATAGCTTCTGGATCCGCCAGTGAAACATACCTCTTATCTGGAGAAGCATTTATTCCATTGGGCATCATATACCCAGACCCTACAGTTTCCACAGTTTCTTCATCCATGTTAATGTGAAGAACCAATCCCAGTCTCAGATATAAGAACATACTTGGGATGACTATTTTACCCTTTACGTAAACTGGCATTGTCGCGTAAAGATGCGTCTCGTCTATAGCAACGATGTCGTTTAACCTACAACAGTATTACAAGCGATAAGTAAATTAACAGGGGTATTTTGAAAATCTATTCTAAATGAATGATTTGTTTTGGACAGGAGAAAGAAGTGAATTTAAAAATCATCATGGTCTCATTATGGTGGAGCTGCCGGTATTTTGATTAGTTGATAACATTAAATTATTTCCAAGGGTGTATGTTCAAACATCCACATCCACATATGTTAAAACATCCACATTACAAATGTTTTTTATCTACAGGCAAATGATTTTGACCCACTCTGTAAATACTTACATGGCGGTGAACGCCTCGTGTTTTATAGTCTTTACATGGGTCAATATTGTAGATTTCCTATCAAATGTAAACTTTTCTATCTGGTCTCCCCCAGGTGGATGGTTTACCACAAACAAGTAGACTCTTCCTGAAAACATAGTCCTGTATCAAACCCTTCTCAGAGGTAAGCACTTAATTAGATTTCATTTGTTAATCTTCTCTTTTAGAGAAGCGAATGTAAATTATTTAAAAGAACCGTGCTTAACTAATATTGAAGATATTAAAAAATGAATTCAAGAAAGTGTAACATTATAGAACCTTTAAAAACGACATGCTTGTGTTTCCCGGACAATTCTTAGTTAAATTATTGTGAGATATTTGATCAAATAGACATGATGGAAGTTTTGATGCAGAAATCTATTTCCTAGGGCTATCTCCTAAGTAAAATGTATTGGCCTAAGATCACACAATAAAAAAGTTGTTGAATATATTATTTGAAGTGCAATGCAGGATATATTCTGCTCTCGATATTCTGTATTAGCACTCGACAGGACTTATTTTGCAGAATAACGAAAAAATATAATGATACAATCAATGTTACTTTTTCACACACGTTTTGGACACGAACGTTTCAAATTTTGGCTACTCTTAAATCATGACACTGAATCTCCTCACCTCTCCCCCCCCCCCTCATCCCCTACGCTTTTACCTGATTTATGATCCTCATATGCACTTATTCCATGAGGGTTAAATGATCTCTTGTTGAACGCATCTCCTTTGATGGTTAACTCTTTCACATTTGCTTCAGGATTTTTGAAGTCAAACAAGTAAATGCTGCCGTTTATATTATCAGGAATGCCATATGGATCATCGAAGCTTTTCAAACCCTGAAATTCAAATCAAGCCATTTCTGTTGTTGAACTATCATAAAGGAATAGTGAATTAACCACTACAAAGGGATGATGCTCGTAGTCCTATTATGTATAACAAAGCACTTTAAATTGTTGAGTGCAACCACATTTTAGTGTTATTTTTTATACGTTATTCTATTCATCAAATTCTTGTCCATATATTTAAGCTCAAATTTTCCGTCTTCGAAACAGTTTGCGATGATCATGAATTAAGCCTTGGATATCTTACCCCAGAAATAATGGCAAGACCATCGGATAATGTTTGTATATCTTCAGATCCCTCTCCTAAAATTCACAAAATAGTTTTTTATTTATTTTATTAATTACAACACAAACGGATTCAAAGAAATGTCTGAATCAACATCTAAAAGGTCTACAAAACGTCGGTTATAAACCTTTCTCCAAAATATGACGATAGTCATATGCTATTTACTTTACAAGGTACAGGGTGAGCAAAAAATGAATCCGAATTTTTCAACTTTCTTTTCAACTATGTATGGCTTCAAATACATTTTGATTTATCTCCTTTAAGTGATCACAGAGCCCCCACTTCATTATTTAAAAACGTGAGATAATTACAACTAGTGCGAGGGCGGAGTTATCTCAACTGAGTACAATAATCCTGGTGTAGATCATCAATCCTATTACCTATGCCCGGAACCACTCTGCACGGCCCTGGTCTATGATTGTACACGTGCTTGTGGAACCCAAGCAATCTCCTGTCAAATCGGAAAGCAAAATATACATAAAACGCATTTCTACAACTGTCCCTAAATCTGAATTGACTTTCCAATGGTATATTATTCGCTAGATCTCTTTTAAAGCGGTTGAAATGAAAAGTGTTTTAAAATGCGAAAGATTTATTGGTTCAATCTACTCATCGTGTTCTAATTGAATCTAACGTGTGAATCTAACGTCAATTATACTTACACTAGTAAAGCAAGTCTACTTGCTAATATCCCTAAAACCGCTACAATGGTTAATTTCATCAACATCTTTTACATCCAGAGTTAGACACTTACTGTGACTTTTAGTCTTGGCTGCACTATTTATTTTGGGATTTAGGTTCAAACGATAATTGACCTTGAAGTCCAGACACTATCTGAAAGGTAGTTATTGATTGATCAAAGTGCAAATAATTGCTATTCGTTGTCTTTGTTGTTCTTCCCTCTGTTAACCCCACTCTACCATCATTGCTTAAGTCTGGATATTTCATCAAGACTAACATACATTTTTATTTTCTCCAAAGAAACCCCCTGGATGAGCATCATTTCAGCTGATATTCCTCTTGAAACGTGATGGATCTTAAAATCTATACGTGGGTAGGGACTCCCTATAGAAGCTTTGAACTGAATTTACGCTTCATAATGCTGAAATTGATAGTTTATCCAAGGGCGTTACAATACCCGGGAATTTATCGGTTCGTGCAGTACTTGTTTGTGATAGCGCCCTCTGTAGGTCACTGTGCTTATAGCCTACAGTAATACGGGGTAGGATATCGGGAATTCGGTCAGTTTCTATCCGTCGATTTCGCTATGAATTGAAGCAAGTGTGACCACTTTATCCACTTAAACAATTTGATAATTGATTAAATCTTTAAACAAAATCGATAAACACGTTATACACTTCCTATCTCCTTAGAAATTAGCATGTATTTATGGATTGTGTTTCCGAACAAGGCTCGACCCAGACCAATAGGGAAATCCTTATGCTAATTAGTATGACGTCATATTTTCCTGGGGAATCCTAGATTTCAAAGCCCCAGTCTGTTATTGTGTCAAATGTAAACGCTCTTTTGCAGACAGAAAATTGACAGATTAGCTTTTAACTTTCAGCTTTGATGTTTAAATATTCTGTATTTCTACCGGACTTCTTGCTGAATATCATATAATGTTATAACTTGATTTGAACCATTGCCTGATTGATCATTCTGAAATTTTGATTGTGATTCATGATTGATTGGCAAGAAAAATAATTCCTATTGTTTTCCAGCGAAGTCAAAATGTTACAGCATGAGTTATAATGTCGAGTTTGCATCATGTTAAATTCTGCTAGTGATTAGAAGTCCATGCACAAGCATACACGTAAGAGACAAACACACCCAGGCTCCAGGCCGTGGATGGAAATATAAAACTATTTAAGGCACAAACTGGTATTAATAGACCGATATGTAGTGTCTGCCATGTATTGAAGGTAAACCAATCTGCATTATTAATGTTTCTTCTATCAATACATGGATTGTGCAATAGAAAAGCAATGGCACAATCAAAAATGTGCATATCAATCGTGAATATCTCTCGGTTCAAAGCTTATTTCCAACAGAATCGTGTCAAAATATGTGTCTGAGTAACAGTTATACATTATAAGATCGCAAACTCTTACCAATTATTAGTCCAACAACATTAGACCTAGCCTGGGCCTCGTTTCTTATCTGACATGTCTTATGGCCCCATGATGATTTTGCCCTTGATGCGATCATTTAATCGTTCAGCAGGTTTCGACATGCGGAACTAATTAAACCGTAATAAGATGGTATCGTTACAGAAATAATGTGATCAACGCATGCATACATACCTTATGAATAAATACAAATCATCACATACCCCCCTGTAACCTCATCGATGTATAATTATGAAAATGTTGGGAGAAGGCTTTTTCTTAGTTTAGAAAACTCTGTTCTGGTTCCGGTAACATCGAAATGGCAAATCCTTTCAGGAATAAACCGCCGTTAGCAACACTGAACGAAACAAGTTCATAAAACGAAACGAACCCCGGTTATCCTATATATAAGTACAAAATATTGTAATACTGTAGGAGGCTTGCGATAAACATGATTAAAGGTGCTATAATTAGTGCAGAGGGGTCATTCAACGATCATGGACCAGTGTCAAAATATATTTAAGTTTGGATATTTCATCAAGACTAACATCTATTTTTATTATCTACAAAGAAACCCCCTAGATAAACATTATTTTAGCTGATATTCCTCTTGAAACTTGGTGGATCTTAAAAATATAAAAGTGGAAGTCCCCTTTTTGAAGCTTTGAACTGAATTTACACTCCTTAATGCTGAAATTGATAATTTATCCATACATTTTAAGAAAATAGGTATGTCAAAGAAGATGTTAAACCAAATGGTGCCTTGATAGCTCAGAAAAAAAGAAAAAACTTTCCTATTTTCTCTACAGTCCTTATTGCCCCTTTAAGTTTCCTACTTTTTTTCCTGTTTTATTTTCAGAATTATGGTAAATTTCTGGCTAAAATGCTAAAGCTTTCAACATCTTTGGACAGACGCAAGCATGTGATACTGAATAATTAGATATTTTTCTTAACATGTTTAAATATATATTGTGCCAAAGTTTTCTCTCCCAGAAAGTCAGTGATTTCCCATTGTAATAACTCAGATGCGAGTAGGTAGTTACCAGTTTCACCACCAGGTGGCTCATTCAGGTCACAGCATGACATAGTTATGCAAATTAAAATAATGTAAAAGAAAATATTATCTGTCCAATACAGGAAAACATATTTCACTTTTTGTGACTTTATATGTTGAATCTCCCCGTAGTAGCATTTACATTTTCCAAAACAATTTTTTTTCAAAATTGATCAACAATATTTGAAGCAATATTTCTTGATGTACTTTTACATGTACATCTCAAATACTAGATAGTATGACATTATTTTGACTGAATGTTTAATGACGATCAAGTAAGGTTTTTTAACATTAGAGTAATGAGATCGAAAAAAGCTGAAAAGTGTTGATTTGAAAAAATCAGATTTGGAGGTATCGAGATAAATCAGGTGTGAAGTATAGGTTAAAAGTACATTTACTTGCTCCAATATCGTGATAAAACACATGTGTTTAACTTTTCTCTCATTGAGTAAATGAAATATCATTGTAGAAAAATATGTTTTATAAAATAGCATAAACAAAACTTCTGTTTAATTTTATTAAGAACATCATACATTTAAGAGCTAGGAATAAAACAACCATGCTTATACATCAGTGTTCTCCCCAAAAAAAAATTTCAACTGGGTGCAAGATATCAAGTCTAAAAAAATCAGCACTCGCTACGCTCACAATATCTCAGTGTAGGTGCTTACTTCACTCATTCTTTAAATCAGAAGTTGAAGTGCAGATGCCAACTGGGTGCCAACTGGGGGGCCTTTGGTTTCAAGTAGGGGGAGCCCCCGGTAAAAGTGACATGGGGAGATCACTGTACATGTAATCTTATCACAATACATCACCACATTGAAGTTATTAAAATGTAACAATTGTTACAAAGCATGTATGCTGAGTAAAATACATGATCCCAGTTATAAACAATTGAGTGTATTCCTAGGTACGTTTTTGCAAGCAGAAAACCATGAACAATTACCATAATTTAATATTTAGGCACAATTATTCAACACAATCACAATCTAGCACAATCAATGACATCTATATTTCTTTGAGCTGAAATTACCAGTAATCAAATGCATCAATAATGTTGCGAGTATTGCTTTTTAAAGTTTTTATAAATAACAATAGAGTAAACTTGGGTGAATACACGCGCTGTTTGAATAAAGCAAAGATTCGTGTCATACTGGATGGTTATAATAAATATCAATATTGAAGAACAATTTCGTTTCGCTGACCAAGTTTACTTTGGCGACGCACAGACAGACATTGCCGGTTGAAATATTCGTCTCATAAATTGGTAAGAATAAGACTCATTTTACGATTAAAAATGAACATTTAACACAATAATATTATGTGAAATCGCCTGATGAAATGTGGTTTTATATTATTGTTAAGTATCAGTGTCATATTAGCGAGGAAAAGTGGTTTCGATAGATCCACAACTTGCATCAAAGGAAAGAATAGCATGGAGGTTAAACTCAATAATGGCCCCAAGAAAATTCCTAATAATAAAGAACGCCGTTATTGAGTTTAACGACGTTGAACTAACCAATTATCAGCCGAATGGCTCATTTTCAACGAAATGTCCTTAAGACAACAGCCCTGGGTCGCGCCTGAGACCAAAAACTACTTCAAATAGCCCTCCCTTACTCACTTCGAGAGCCATGTTAGATTTTGAAACTATATTATATCAAAATCCAAATAGCTTTCGCAGGAAGTAAGCCCTCCCCTAATTATATTGGATAATCACATTTATGCGTGCGCGCGCAGCTCATCCACTGAACGAAACGCCACTTCCCGCTGAAATCACCGGGTACTGATCTTTCCCTTGGTTTATCCTTACATTTTAAGAAAATAGGTATGTCAAAGAAGATGTTAAACCAAATGTTGCACTGATAGCTCAGAAAAAGAAAAAAATTGAATTTTCTCTCTGCAGTCTTTGTTGCCCCTTCAAATAAGAATAATACCTGACAGTATTCCATTGTTATTTTAATGAGTAAGTCATAAAATAGTAAGTTAATCAGGTAGCCGCTAGCCGTTAGCTGCATTCGCGAATACAAGTTTAGTTATAATGCAGTACCCTCTTCTACAAAAAGTTGCCTGTACCAACTATCCCATTGGACCTCGTGTTAAATCGAGAGGATTAAAAATATCATCTTAGCTTAGCGTTACTTTTTGAGGGGAGTATTGGTTAATTAGTGTTGACGGCACAGGGTGACCCAATAAGATCAATTTTTTTTAAATTTTCTTTATTATTTTACGTTAACAATTTAATCGACTAGATGTAAACACATTTCTTAAATGCGTTCATGAATAGTATCATTTTATTGCCATTTTACAATATACATAGTACTTTAAGTACACCTAAAATAGACTGATCAATCCAAATATTTGACTATTTGTATATAAAGTTCATCTTAACATCGGTCCACCATTCAGTCTGCAACCCTGGTATTATGCAAAAATCTGCCTCCATTCTTGATGACGCTAACTGCTGTCATGGCCATCAAAACTACGACATATTGTATATTACGTTGACTTTCACTTTAGATGTTGTGCTATCTCACAGAAAATTCCACGCAATCGCGAAGATGAGCCAAGCGAAGTACAAAATCAAAGCACACCACCATATCACGCGTTCATAAAGTTTCTTTTCAAAGTTCTTGAGCACTATGAGCCCCATTGCGAGTCCAGCGAGTGCCCCGGCAATATGTGCTACATATCCAACTTGAGGGCCGTCACTTTCAGTAACCGACACCGCCCTGTTCCATATTGCAAACCCAACGTCAGATATAGCTGAAAGTATAAATAAATGTGGACATCTTGTTTAAGTTATAAGCTTAATTGTTTTGCCAACCTAAAGCCACAATCACATTTGCTCTACGGCGGACGTATGGCGGCCGTAGCTTCACAAAATGGATATAGAAACTCTACATCAATCGTACTGTTAATCCCTATTTTATGCTGCAAACTAGTATTTCTCTCGATTTGGGGAAGGTACGGCCGCTGTTCGGTTGCCGTAGATCAAATGTGACTGAGGCATTGGGCACACCATTTGTGTGTACTGAATCATTTGATGATCGATACATTATCCCATTCCTCAGATAATGTTACTGGGATAATGTCACACTCTGTTTTATTACTGGGGTAATGAAAAACGCAGTGTCAGCGTAAGAGTGTCAGTCTGTCAAGCTAGAACACTGTTTTCATAAATTAGGTATTGAACAAGCAGAGAGATCTTTTTACCCAATACCAAGCGCACAGAGTCTAGTTATAAACGACAAAACTCTCTTTTGGGAAGCTAAGTGAACGAATGCAAAGGGTAATCTTTTTTATTCAATGGTAAAACTATAACTTACAGATCATGAATATCGACAACAATTTCAGCAAACCAAGTTCCATCTGTGAGTAATTCTAAAACAAAGAGTAAAAGTTTATAAGTACTGGATATAGTAGTTAATGTGGGTACACTTAAGTATGAATAAAATTAGGTCAGACATTTTATGAGAGTTTTTATTTCTTTGAGTTTTGAGTTTTTGATCGCCTAACATCGAATAGTTTTACCAAGTTGGCCAAAAGTGGACTTATGGAGTAAATGTTAAATCGTCATAGTATATCATACAAATGAGTATTAAATATTGGTTGTCGGAATGGATTAATATAACTTTCTTACCAATAATATATTTGCCAGATGGGCTGCTAAAAGAGCGTACACGCCACCAGACGCTCCGACCAGTCGTACTTCTGGGTCGAACACTGACGATCCCAAAGATCCTGAAATTTAATCAGTGCAAGACTTGTAAAAAAACAGTCGAGTTTATTTTTATGAAACATAAACGGAATGATAGCGTGAAACAAGTTAAATGACAATATAAAATATAAGTTGAAAGAAAACGTGAAACAAGTTGGAAAGACAATTTGCATAAAACACACGTTAAAATGACAGCGTAAAACATAACTCGAAACACAACGGAAAACACAAGTTGAAATGACAACGTGAAAAATTAAAATAAGAACAGGTTGAAATTACAATAACACAAACCTGCAAGAACACCAGCAAAATAGATGGCAGCAATGCGAAATGTCCCATGTACCATCTCCAGGGGAATCCCGACCATCACCTGGACGAGGAGGTTAAAGAAAAGATGGATCCATCTGAAATCGTAAATGCAAATCTTAAATAAAGAACAAAAGTAGCTTATATATGTTGACTGTCTGCCATAATGAGAATAGAGTAACTATCTGAATAGTCATAATACTATTAGTATATTTTATGAAATGGTTTGTTCCACATTTGATATTGTTAAACTTATTCACTTGCTTTTTAGTATACTCTCGATCTCTTATATTTTCATATTATTTTTGAAATTTGAAAAATTTGAAACAGCAAGCTTGGAACCATGTTACTTCAACAGACATGGATGTAGACCGAAACTGAGTAATGAATCTACAATACTTTCACCTTTGCAAGGTATACACGGTGGAGCTTCTGCCGGGTAATATATAACATATATATTTGATAGCTATACATAGTTCATACCGACCAATGAGCATGATTGGATTTTTATTGACATAGATTGTATAGAGGGCTACCTACCCGACATGCAAGAGAGAATAAAGCACGAATCTCCACGCTTCGTATCTTCTCTCAGGGTCGTAGACAAAGACGTTATCCTTTGTTATGTTGGGAGCCATACGGATCTCTCCACCACGCAATGAGAAACACACGTATGTCACGATCTGAAAAGTTTATAGCATTACAAGGTTACTTAAGCCCGGTATACACCACTGGGGCAAGTTGGGACCTCCATAGACTTAACATTGCGTGGGACCTCGTGGGACCTTTTGGGATTTTGCCCCATGAAGTCCGTGGGACTCCATGGGACTCCGTGGGATTTTGCCCCATCTTGCCCCATCGAGTCCCACGAGGTCCCATGAGGTCCCATGAAGTCCCACGTGGGACTCGGTGGGACTCGATGGGGCAAGATGGGGCAAAATCCCACGAAGTCCCATGGAGTCCCATCGAGAATGAACATGTTCATTCTTTCCATGGGGCATCGTGGGATTTTCGATCATATGACGTGTTGTGTGAAGCCCGACATACACCAATGGGGCACGGTGTGATTTGATGGGACTCCATGGGGCTTGATGGGACTCCATGGGGCACGATGGGGCAAAGTCATCAAGGTCCCATGGGACTTCGTGGGATTCGATGGGGCAAATTGGGATTCGATGGGGCAAGATGGGACTCGATGGGGCAAGTGGGATTTTGCCCCATTGGTGTATACCGGGCTTAAGTTTGGCAACAGGAAATTTTCATAGCAATTCAGTTTTAGCCTGTCAATTTTTGGGTCTTAATTTTGTTCCTTTTTGTTTTCCTTTGAATGCAGCATTTACAACAAAGTACGACTAATAAAATCGATTTTACCGAATTGTACTTTTTCACAGAAGAATTTAGATAAGTTGATGGTGTTGACCTATGATCAAAATGACAATGACGCATAAAAGTAGGTCAAAAGGTTCAACACGTTAAAACAGGAATCTACATATGTCTGCAGTTTGATCATGTCGGAACAACATTGATGATTCAGATGACAAGGTCATTCAAGATCACAATATAATTAAGACAATAGGCATCGTAGATCATAACTGAGGTTGCCAAATCAATTGGGTTCTACTGTATCAGGTATGTCATTCAGCGTGTCATTGATATCGTTAATCAAGCTCATTTAGTAGGTCATTTAACTACGTGTTTACCTGCAAGAATGTTATAAGTGTTGTGAACAAAGGAGGCGGCCAACACCTATAGGTTTCACCTTGTAGTTTCTGGGTATCGCCACCCTCCTTCGACGTGACACGGGTACAGCAAAATGTATGAAATTTGATACATTTGTCCGGAAAATGTCGATTGTTCATTTGTATATTTTGGCAACTTTCAGATTGTCCATTTTGATTCATTGAGATTACATTCCTCGCTGGGGTCCTTTGGTCGTGGTTTAACTCCGCTGTTGATATCCGTTTGGTGGGTGGAGGGGGTGGTTGTGTCACGGTGGAGAAAGGGAAGGATGTCACGTGAGAAAGTGGAGACGATGTTGGAGTTAAGGGTATCCATGGACTTGTTGGCGATAACGGTGTTTCTGCTAATGATGGCTCTGGTGGTACTTGGTCAGCTATCCCAGTTGCATTTGATGATAAAACAGCTGATGAAAATGTCATTTGTCGGGAGGAATTTACACCCGCTTGGCATTCTGCTGCATTTCGTTGTTTAATTTCATTAATGACCTCACTATATTTAGGAGGTGCATCGCCTGCCTGTACATTCCTGATCACATCATTGTAGTTTGGTGGTCCTTTAAATTGAACCCCTGGTGCAGGACAAGGCAAAATTTTGGAATTCCTAGGGCCCATTTCTGCTATTGTTTTGATGGCGTGATGCTCTAGATCTCCTCTATCAATAACAGTTATCTTTTATTGTTTTGATGTAAATTGGGCAATATTAAGTATGTTTTCCTCGTCCGCAATTGCGTACGTTATTTGGGTGTGCCTTTTGTCCAAGAATTCCAGCCTGAAATAAAGATGATCAGATACCTATAAATTGATTTCTAGGTACTGATGATTCATAAATAGCTATTTGGCCTACGCATATTGATGAGTAAATGTATCTTATTTAATCCTCGCGTTCATCTCCTTCATCCCTATTATGATTGCATCTCCCAAGGTTTGAGTAAAGTCAGCAACTGATTCTTTAAACCCACCGATGTATTATTTTGTATTGTTTTGTGGTTTCTTAATAAATCCAAAAAATCAAACACCTTTTCTTAAAATAAACAAAAATGAATTAATCTATTTGTTTCTACATTAATGGCTTCTCAATGCATGTTATTTTCTTGATTCTCATCTTTGTTTCATATGCGATTCATTCAGTTCATAATCAAACATCTGAAATTCAGAATTATTTGGCGATAATTTAATCAAAATTAAAGTGACATAATTCCACAATAAGCAAATAAAGCTTATCAAATCCACCCACTCACCTTGCTTATAGTATACAATTAAACGTTTCCTTATCTTTAAGAAATGTTGAAAGGTACCGAAATCTTATCCAAAACTTATCAATTATGAACATGTGTATATATCTAATTGATCATGTCGTTAACTAATTTGCAATTAATACTGTCATAGCAATGTGATGATAGTGATTTATTTCTATTAAGGGAATATATTGTTCATATATTATTTAATTAATAGACGACATCTGGAAATATATTTTATTACACACCCATCAGAGGTAAGGCAATACCCATGATTGTTTTTGTCTAATAGTTGCACTGTCATAGGTCAAAACAATGTACTGTAAGTCACGTGATCGCTTGTTGCAGTATGGGTAAGTATCAATGGTCAGAGGCATCTCTATACCTTCATTCCTTTTAACGTAATACTGGATGTCACGATTCTTAAAATTACTTTCCCATGTAATGGCTGTCTCTATCGCCGTAGATAGAACAATCCATCATATCCAAGTTCAGGCGCAACGTTCACCAATGGGGCGAGCTACAGGGCCAATGTGTAAATTGGTTTATCATGTTTATTTCGCCACCCAAATCTTTAAAAAGGTTGGCAGGCCAGATTGAAAATGTATTTTCTTCTTACGAGGCAGTTGCCACTATTCACCGTGCATGGGAATGAGATGACGAGCGTTGAAACATCTTTTGCTTTTATTTTAAACCGCGCGCCGGTAAATACATGTGAAAATTACATTGACCACTTTCAATCTGCAATTGCAAAAATAATTTTATTCATCTTTAATATTATATTGTAAGGATACACTGGCGGATTAGGGGCCCCCCCCCCTCCCTTGGATGGGCCCTTCGTTGGGCCCAAAAATAATTTAGGCCTCAAGGCCCCAAAAATTTGGCCTTTTTGGTCATAACTGGGCCTTTTAAGGCCTTACTTTTTTAATTTCAGGCCAAATTTTGAAGAAAATGGGCCTCAAAATTTTAAAATTTGGGCCCGCTTTTGGGTTTTAGGGGCCCAAAAATTTTTTTCGCGCAAGCGCGGACATTATTTTCTCGAACCTGAGATTTGGGCCCCCCGTGTTGGATCCCAGATCCGCCCCTGGGATATTCCAAAATTCAGAATTATATATAGCGTTACAATCGGTGATTACATTTACATAATTCTTTAGTTGTTAGATTCCCCAGTGCCAGTGGCCATAGAATATGGTAACCGATAACAATCTTTGAAAAATAGATACATAAAAGTTACATTAAAGTACAGTTACCATGGAAACGAGCTTTTTATTCACCTTTCACACCAAATTACAGATTGATGACTGGTGGAGATGATAGTCAACTTTCCAACGGTACAATTTTTCCCTGTAGTTACTGAAACTTTGGGAGTGCAACGTTTGATTTTTACCTTTTCTGTATTAGATCGTGTTATATATCTATATGTTTATTATTTGCACAACCTCATCATCCAAAGAGGATAAACTCCACAATACATCCCTTTTTACCATAGCTAGCTATGTTCATCGGAACGGTTTTGAGTTGCCCGGTGATTGTAAGAATGGTCGTTGGTTTGCAGTGATCAATTCCCGGGAAAATTCGTTTCGTTTAGTGCAAAAAATCCAAGATGGCAGCGCCCATGGAAAAAATTCGAGTAAAACTATTATTCAAAAATGTACAGTTTTCAAAGGGCAAAGGTCCAAGAATCGTTTGGTATTTGGCCGACCAAGAGAAAGGAAAAACAATGGATGATTTTCAGCAAGAAGTTATTCGTAGATTCGGTCTGAAATCTTCCAATACTGTGAATTGCTTTTTGGACAATGTTTTCATTCCAAAAAATGAAAGCATGTGTATTCTCAGGGATAATGATTTGGTTGTGTAAGTAAATTTAAGTTCTAAGTAAGTTTATCAAGATCTAGATATCACTCATATACTCTGGAGGTCTTCTTATCATGTCAATCATTTAAAATTTGGAATATGAAGACCTGATTTTCATCTTTCTCCATAGTTCAACGTCGTTAAACTCAATAACGGCGTTATTTATTATTAAGAATTTTCTTGGGGCCATTATTGAGTTTAACCATGGGCTTTCAATTAGAGTTGAAAGCCCATGGTTTAACCTCTTTACTATTCTTTCCATTGATGCAAGTTTTGGATCCACCGAAACCATTTTTCCGCGATAACATGCAACTGATACTTGACAACAATATAAAAACACATAACATCAAGCGATTCAACACAATGTTATTGTATTAAATGGTCATTTATACAAGTAAAATGAGGTTAAACTTACCAATCTCTAAAATGACATTTCCGCATGTCCTTCATTGTGTCTGTTCGTCCCGGGTTAAAATTTAAACTATTGAAACGAAATTGTTGTCAAATAGATTGATAATTATCACGCGATTACTCGGGATAAAATAGCCATTTTTGAGGATAGCAGGTATCTTTGATTGATTTATATAGCGCTTGTATACACACAAAATCGTTATTAATTGCAAACCTACTGTTCGTTGATGCAGTGTCGCAATGACGGTTAATTCCTGATACGATTTGCAATTTCGATGTTACCGGAGCTGACCGATATTTTCGTAAAATTCCAAACCTGTCTCCAATATTTTCGTAATTATGCATCAATATGGTCTAAGGGGGGTACGGGATGGTGTGTATGTATTTATAAGGTATGTATGCATGCTTGAATCACATTCTTTATGTAATATTACCATGTTTTCGGAGTTTAATTAGTTCCGCATGTCGAAACCTGCTGAACGATTAAATGATCGCAACAAGGGCAAAATCATCATGGAAGTTAGACCTAGCCGGGCCATAAGACATGTCAGATAAGAAACGAGGCCCAGGCTAGGTCTAATGTTGTTGGACTACTTTCTCCATTGCCACTCTTTGTGCTTACATCAGTTCATTCACAGTCAGCACTATCAATGGTATATTCTAAAAATATAGTGAATAGATCTCTATAAGTAGAGAAAAGTCCACAAGGCGTTTGTGACAATATTTTCCGGAAATGTTATATTTCCATTTATCGTTCAAACTGTGACATTTATGCTAATAATTCGACATGTATATGATTCTTACATACCCAATACGATAAAAAACGTTACTAACATACCAAATGAAAGGTGATTTCCTGGTAAAACTTGCAAAAGTTGGTCCAAATTCACACTCGAACCATCCACTTCCTCCGATACGCATGCACAGCCCGATGTAAAAAATAAACCTATCTGATTGGTTGTTGTCGTAAACAGTGGGAGTTTTAAAAATGGAGGTGTCACTACGGTAAATCATTGAAAAATATTGAAAAAATCACAAAATTCAAGTTCTGGGCTACATATCGCCATTTTCGAACGAACTGGCCCATACAATGACTATATCCATAACCTTCATCTTGACACTATATTTAACAGAGGGTTTGCGTCTCGATTTTTAAATATCAATACGCCAACATAGGGACTCATTTTTAGGTAAAATCCCTGCTTCACCGATGAAAATTAACGAATAAAGTAGTTCCAGTTTACGGGACTACATTCTTGCGATTTTATTCTAAAAATGGCACATTTAGAAAGTACTTGGCCTCAGCTTTACATATATACCTCAAATGGCCACAATGCATATACTTAAACCTACTATACACACCATTGAAGTTGGCATGGCTTCGTTTTTAAAGTATTAAAAAACACGTCCTACCCGGAAGTGGTATTTACCGTAATAACACCTTAATATCCAAAACTGGGAAAATTTTACTATCATAATTTTTGCTCATTCAGCATTTTTTCAAACAATTGAGTTATTTCAGGCTCAAAACAGCTGCATTTCAAACTTTTAACACGTTTTCTACAAAATCTAGCCATATTGGGGGAAATAGGTGAGGGCTGAGTCTCTAAAAACGGGCCAAAATGCCCGCCAAAATGACCTAAAATTGGGTCATCAATTTCAGGGATCTCATTCAAAAATTTTCGAAGCAAATTCCCCGAAATTATTTCATTTTGTAAATCATTATAGCAATGCATTTCAAGTATTACACAGAATGTACTGAAATGTAGGTTGATAAATGCAAATATTTTGAGTCAAATGTGGTCCCCATTTGCAAAATTTGCCCTTTTCTACCCCTTTACGCCAGTTAGGCCCCAGTGTATTGTGACATCATACTCATACCATTGCTACAATGTAGCAATTTACAAATTAATCATGATTTCTCCTCCTGTGATACACCTGTGGTAGTTGAACACTGTTTTTGCATCACGATATTCCCCAGTGTGTTGACTGATTACACGCCAGCTTACTTAGTTACTTACTAAGTACGCAATAACCACCGTCAAAGACCTGCCGGCACCTATTTTTGGGGCTGGTAATGGAATATTACAAGGGCAATACGAGAAGAATTCAATTTTTCAGAATTTCATAATAATCACAGGAGATCTTACGGTAGTTTGAACAAGAATACTGTTATTTCCAGCAGAAATATAGTAAATTTTCAAATATTTACGGTATATTTTACGGCCGTTCTTATAGAAAAAATGAATTATGATAAAATATTTTACAGTAGATTTTGGTAAAGTTACAGCAGATTTTTTATGGTCGTTTTTACAGGAAAAAACGGTAATTTTTTATGGTATTTAGATTTTTACGGAAAAATGAATTGTTTTTTGGTTGATTCCCGTAAAAATACGGTAGGTTCAGTTGGCTGGTATGAGTTACCATGCCAACCGTGGAAATGGGTAAAAAAAGAAAGCAAAAAACACCCAGACCCGCCATAATGGCACTAATTTTCAAAATATTTCGAGACATACAAATTTTTTTCAACTTTGATATCGTCTAGAACACTTCAAGACAACAAAAATATCAAAAATTGTTGGAAGGTTTATCACTTTAATTTTTTGCAAGCCTTGGTCTAAGTAAAACTACGAAAAAAGCACTCATTCTCACTTTAGAATCACCTATTATCGCCCAAATGGCCATATTCTCAATACTGAACTAAAACTAAATTATCCCTTAATGCGGATAAAACAAAATATATTATTTTCACCTCAAGTCAAAAAAGATATAATGCAAATAACATAAACATCTATCTTAATAAAAAGAAGCTTCAGCAGGTTGATAGCATTAATTTTCTTGGCATTACAATTGATCAAAACTTAAACTGGAAACGTCATATTATGTCCGTTAATGCTAAAATCTCCAGAACCATTGGTATTCTATATAGGGTCAAACAACTGTTAAATGATAAAGCATTCTTGAGCATCTATTATTCCCTTATTTACTCTTATTTGATATATGGCAATCTTATCTGGGGTGAAGCAGGTAGTGGTTTGTTAAACTCCCTTCATATTTTGCAGAAAAAATTTACACATATTGCAACAAACAGTAACTACAGAGCACATTCCCTTCCCCTATTCAAACAACTGAACATTTTGAATATATTTGATATTAATAAGCAGTTGAAATGCATTTTCATGTACAAATGGATTAATAAACTCCATAATTATCATAAAATTTTTCCAAACCTCTTCAGTACCATCCAAGAGAGACATGCTTACAACACCCGAAATAGGGTAAACTATGACAAACCCAAAATTCGAACAAATTATGGTAAAGCTTTGATATCTTTTACTGCACCATCAATTTGGAATTCATTACCTATTGAAATAACATCATCTGGAAGTATTTTTATTATGAAAAAAGAATTGAAAAAATATTTTATCAATCAATAATATCAATTTCAGATAACCATAGTGGGCATTATATGACACATTCTTAGTCAGACATAGATAGTAGCATTCATCACACAAGCAGATCCCCAATCTGTACATTTCATGATTATAAACACGGGAATATACACGAGAAGTGTCGCCCGTTTACTGTACATTTGATGTTGAAATATATATGAATAAATAAATAAATAAAAAAAATAAGTAAAAAAAAAATGTTGTCAAGGTCGCCATGTTAAAAGTAAAATTACGGAGCTAGATCTGCTCTTCAGACAATGTTTGATAGCTTTCCTTTACCATGGAACAAAGATCTTTGCACTGGCAACACTGGTATGCCCATTTCCATGAGATAATGTATGTGAAAGAGGAACAGTGTCTTTAAATGTCATCAAAACTTTTTCGCACTACTTTTGGTGTAATAATACCATCTGATTGATTGTTGGTGTAAACAGTGAGTCGGGATACCCGGGATTTGGGCTTTAGGATACAATTTTACACTGAACGAGATGTAGCGACGCAGTTGTGAAACAAAAATGGCGGACAGCTTGTGAACTTCTAGTATTTATCTATAAAGGTAGAGTATACCATTGATAGTGCTGACTTTGAGTTCATTACATTGAGAAGGATATCATCTGGAATCACACAACTTTTTGATATATCCGCATCTCATGAAATGTTATGCTAAATATCCCCGCCATGTACCCAGTGCCCCCGCCCCCTAGACCCGTCACTGCTCTGTACAGTAAAAGTGCATTGTGATGAAATTACTTGTAGTACTCATACAATACATTAAAATACAATGAATGGGTTCTCGCTAGGCTTTTAGACTGTGGCGTTGTACCACAGTCTATTTTGCTCCCACCACACCTTATTGGTAAATATTGATTGTTCCCAAAGTTTAAACTTGACTGAATTCACAAAAATAGCATGTAAAAAGGATAAAATATAAGAAAAATATGATATATCACAATTGAATGGTTATGCTGAATATGTGTTTACCACACCCAAAATATTTTCTGGTGACAGCCAAGATAGAAGTCAAATGATATGTCTGATGTATTTCCAGGTTTGAAGGTGAAGGTGTGTCAGAGAATGGCATCACTGAAAGTTGCCCTCTCATGGATGAAAGTCAATCAGCTCATGACAAGGACATATCTGATTCCACGTTATTACAGAACTCATCCTTCCAGAATGAGACCAGCCTTGCTGTAGCCAATGAAAATGATGATAAGCAACCTCAAAAACAAAAGAAAAAATCAAAGAAGAGAAAACACAAGGAAAGTTTTTCTGAAAATATATCAAAATCTGATACACCAATCAACGATGTTCAAAATAATGAAAAAATTGAACCTGCGACTAATGAAACCAAAAGGTCAGAGAAAAAGTCCAAGAAAAGTAAACACAGAAAAACCAATGATGATGATAACGTTGAAGGGGTTAGTCATAAAAACATTCCCAAGAATGATTCAGTGATCGAGAATTTTACTGAGTCTGTTGATCATATTAAGGAAACTAAAGAAAGCATCATTGATACTGGTGAAAGCCAAAATGAACCAGAATCAAATCAAAGTGATACAGAAATGGTTGACTCTTTATCTATTGAGCAGACAAAGAAAAAAAGGAAGCGTGTCAGAAAACGAAAAAGAAAATCTATGGCTGATAATGACACTGCAATGATTCAAATTTATTCTGTTCCAGAAACGTTAACAAATAATGCCTACAACAGGCAACCATATAATATGTATAAAAACAATAATAAAACTGTCTATAACCATACTCGTTTCAATGAATCTGACGACAATGAAACAAATGGACCAGAAAGTATAGAAAAAATGTCAAAGAATGTTGATAGTGACAAACATATTGAAAGTGCAGACTCTCATCCTGTTACAAATGAAAAGAATGACAATGGCTATAAGGAAGTACAGCCTGCTACAAGCGAAGCCTTGATGAGAGCCAAACTTATGGCCATTGCTTCAATGCCAATTGAAGTCCCACAAGAATGCCTTCCAATTCATTCCCAACCCCCAAAACCATATAAAGCACAAAATTCATATAAGCCCTCCAACAATGAACAACCAGAAAATAGTGGCAGGAACACTCCAAACCAAAGTAACTCTTGGAAAAATGGAACTGAAAATGAACATATTGATTCTGGTGGTAACTTTATGGATGCCTTTGAACAGATGCAACAACGAGGAGTGACAGTGTTTTCTAGACAGAACAGAAGAAAGAGGAGCCAAGGAAACAATCATTTTAGGATTTTGAGCAAGGAAGAACAACTGAATACAATATCTACCAATGTATCCATGGTCTTACAGGTAGGGGATGAGTTGATCTGTTGGCAATTTCATAATTGACACAAACCATTAATGCAAATTGAAAGCTTGCATTTGTAACAAATGGCAGATAGTGACATTTTGCACGTTAATGCCTTGTTCTTTAAACATATTTCTAATTAAATAAATGGTCATGCAATAGTACATGTACTCTGTTTTTACATCAAGGTTATCCACATTTTCAAAAGGACAAGTGGAAAAAGTTGATTAAAATTGTGAGTTGTACTACAGTTCAATGGTAAAATTTGAATTTTATAGAAAATGGGTTGTGTTTATCTGAAGTGAGTACTGCAACACATACAGCTCAATATTGCCTCTTGGAAAAAATGCACATGTTTACCCATATATTGCATAACATAATTTTCTGTATAAGCAATTAGTTGCGTTTCTTTCCTTCATTGTTAGAACTTTCCATGCAGAAACAAAAGTCATTTTTATTTTAAATTATTCACTGAATTTTATTTCATAAAAAGTATGAATTTTTGATTTAAAGAATCCAATAGATGGAGCAGTTGTCTCTGTTGAGAGTGCACTAGATCCTGAAGCTAAAGATACCACTGAAAGTGACTGTGCTACAGTTGAGAAAGAAGCCCCAGTTGCTGAGCCGTGCCCTGCAGTAGACTACACTAAATATCCCATCCTCAGTTCACCACCTAGAGATGGCGACACAATAGCTTATAAGGTGAGACAATTATACTTTTAAAGTAATAAATTATACTTTTCAATGTAATGTACTAATTACAATTTTAATACATTTTCATAATAAAAGATGGCAGCTGTATATGAAAAGCTTTTTGTGTAATGTGTAGCTATTTCAGTGGAGGAGAGATGAAGTCAACATTTCAACGGAATATTTTTATTTCATTAGTGGAGATCTGGAGGAACAAAATGAATTTTTGGTGTAAAATGTTAATTTTTATGTCACCACCAAAAAGTGGTGACATATTCACGCCGGGAGATCGTGAAAATGGGACGGAGGGGGGGGGAGCAAGCAATTTCTGGTAGAAAAATGAACAAATCTGCAAAAATTATTTTTTCAAGAAAAGGTTTATGATTTAATTGCTAAACGAATAGGCGCACGGTATGGTAAAATATGTCACGTATTCTACGAATTTTTTTTAGCCGATTCTCTTCTTAGGTATAAGATCTATTAAAAAAGGTGCAACGCCACCAACGTGCAAAAGTCAATGTTTTTGCTTTAAATCAAGCATCAACGGTCTACACAACCTGCAATAAATATTTGTAAGTGACATTACAGGGTGTCCGGAAAGTAAAGATACAAATACTCTTATTTTAAGAAATTTTGGTTTTTTGAAATGAAATAGCTACAGATTGTAGAGAAACAATATTACAATATATCTACCAACTTTCATCACATATAGTCTAAATGTGTTTAAGTTACGGTTGTTATGGTTACGGATGTGAGGGGTATGCGGAGCAGTTCCAGAACAACGCTAAAAAGTGAAAAATTGCTAAAAAACAATCATTTGAAAGAGTGTTTTTTGTTGTATTTTCTATCTATGTTTTGTTTTGTTCATCATTGTATTATTGCTGCCATAGTGTTTTCTTTTATATAATGATGTCATTGCTACATATCAGAACTATGTTATGTCACTTATCACTATAATGAAAGAAATATTATACAAGTGCCTAAAAGAATGGTCCCTGGCCATTCGTAAGAAAGTCAATATTACATCTCCACAATGCACCAATTCACAAAGCAAAATACAAATCTTACAATGGAGCGTCTTGACATTAAACCTTTCTATACAATGCCCCATATTCACCTGATAAAGCCTCTTAAGACTTCTACCTTAATGACCATTTGAAAGCAATATTTGTAAAAAGTTCAACATACAAATGAGACTCAGCTGGAAGCCAATGTTATCAGCAATCTGAGAGATTGACAGCAGCTAGCGGTTTTGCCAGGCCTTTGAATCGCCGGTCAAGATGCACCAAGAATGTATAGATAATGGGGAAAATACTGAATATTCAATGATAGCAGTAATATGAAATGATCAAATAATGTTACAGTACTAATCCTTATGCTGCTGTGGTACATAATTTGATATAATATAGGAATAGATGGTGGAGTGCCAAGATCATAAGCAGGAAAGAGATTTGTAGAACACAGTTGTGACGTTGCTCCACTTACCCCGGACTCCTGTTACCATAACAACCATAACTTTTTCATTATGAAACTGAATGTCATGACAGTTGTAGGATATATTCTTATAATGTCATTCTACAATCTGTAGCAATTTCATCTCATAACAGGTAAATCTCTTGAAATGAGAGCATTTGTATCTTTACTTTCCGGACACCCTGTATCATCATAAATTTAATGACCTTAATGACTTTACAAAATACGTTTCCATACGTTGTATAAAAAATAATCGAAAATAATTAAAATGGGACGGAGGGGGGAGCAAAATGTCTATACGACATGATGAGAGATGTTACTTCACTTTATATCCAAATTTTCCCATTTTCTCCTCAATTACAATGGGTTAGGAATTGATAACAAGTTGTATTCGTAGTTAGATTTATTTAGGATTATCAAAATCTTGGAGGAGAGCGTTTATCTTTTTATGTGTATAATAGTTTTTATTTTTTGAAGACTTATCATGAAAATGTAGACATCGCATCATATTTCTATTTGGACATGCAAGTTTTCCGGATGAGATATGGCTTACTGATTTAATAAGCACACAAAACAATTTTCAAATAATTAACAAATTTTTATTTCATTTTCAAAAAATGACTTGTTACGCTTCTTTGGCGTAATAGGGGTTGCACCCATGGCATGAATGTGGCACATTCACTGGGAACCTTCCTAGCAGACTATTAAGTGTAAATTCTCTAGTCAGATCGGCTGATGGAACATGTTTTTTGGCATTGCCAGTTGGCCGAGCAGTCTGCAGCGCCAGAATCTCAGCTAGACAAAGACATCATAACCATCAGGTCGTGAGTTGGAGATGCGTGAGCTTCTTGTATTTATTCAATTCTGCATAATTAAAATATATCGCATAATTAATATCAAGTAGATTGTTACTTCAAATCAGCAAGTAAAAACGTTAAGACAGGTAAACATTTATATAGATAAACAGTCTCCTGGAATATTTTGCCAACCTTAATTTGACCCCTCTAACTAAACCTAACAAGTACAACATGTTATCAATTCCTGACCCTTTGTAATTGAGGAGATAATGGGAAAATCTGGATATAAAGTATCAAGTAACATCTCATATCTTATTGACATATCATATCATAATATATTTTCCTCTTTAACAACTCGACATTAAGACATGATTACTTAAATGCAGAATCAGATCTATAATGGGTGACAAAATTGCAAGCAACATGTTCAATTGGCCTATTATTCTATTCCTTAAAATCTCAAATGCATTTACCTCCCAAAAGATCCGGTATATGTTATGAATTGGTGAATTTATTAAGGATTCAAAGTGCAAAAATTTGGGAAAAGAAAATGATACAATATTGTAAGAATCTTTAGTTTTCCTGGAAAAAAGTATGCACTTTGGGTATTTTTTGAAAATAGACATGACAAGCAATGACATAAGCCAAAAGTTGTCTAAGATTGAAACACTTTTTTGTTTTCCTGCTTACTAGATCTCTAACATCCAACCATTGTGTTCCTTTGAATGTTTGCTTTGTGTTTACACTACTTCTTCCTCAAACATTAGTTTAGATTGAATGAGCAGTGTAAACATTTATAGCTGCAAATCTCATCCTTAATAACCTTAAAATATTTCTAATTCATAATCCATAGAATCGGACGCAAACCTTTCATGAAAATTTCAAAGCTTCACAAAAAGTTCTAACATAGAAAGCAGTATGATGTTATGTTAGGTTTATTTAGAGTCAGAATTATAGCTATTGGCCCTTTAAATGAGCTTGCAATATAGGCTTGAAAAATATATATATTATATTAAAAATATGTATTTTTAAATCAATATATTTATTTGAAAAACATGTACATACATGTACATGTTCAGATCTTTTCTTTTTACATGTTAGCCAATATTATTTGATCCTAAAAATTGTGACATAAGATGTTTCTATGTGTCGGTATTTGTATGAAATACATTTTTCTCACAATGCTCATAGCATTGTACTTTATTTACTCTCATTTACCCTTGGCGACAAACAAATATTTCAACAAAAGTCAAACTGCACTTTAATTTCAGCATGGGTTTTCTCTTCAAAGTCCATGAATTTAGTATTCATATTGTTAGATCCAGTTTACCAGTTTATTGCAATTTGTATATACAGTATTGTACTTTTTCACAGTTGAAATGTTTATGGTGACATCATTTCATGGACATTGCATTTTAGAGGTCCTATATCATATTGTCTGTACTGTACTGTACTGAACACTGCACTGTACTGTACTGTACTTTACACTGCACTGCACTGTACTTTACACTGCACTGCACTCTACTGTATTGTACTGTATTTGTAGGCAATAGAAGCCAATTATTTATTGCAAAATTGACTATTCATATAGTCAAATCTATATCAGATCCATTTTCTCCTTCGGGATATCTTCTGTTACACCTTTAGAAAGAAAGTTAGAACATTGTAACATTATAAGGGTCAAGAGTTCTTTACAACATTCTTAATTTTTTCTTATATTAGAATTGCATGTTCAACTTTGCTAAACCATATCTACTTACCGTTTTTTTCTTCGCCAACATATAATTGTCACTATTAAAATTACACCTATTACAATCACCACTACTAATATTGCTGAAAATAAAAAAAATGATGTGTCATGATTATGTGAGCTAAATGTCATTTAGGCAATTTTTATGCAAGCTTTGTAACTCTACTATTTTACAAAAGCCACGTCTCATTCAGATCAAAGGCAAGGGTTGAACAACCTCTTTGTGTAAATACAAATATATTTTGTTATTTAGTGTCACAATCAGCGTAACAGCTAAGGATGAAAACATGATTGTCAAAATCGATCATATTTATATTGTCATTTATGAAACCAGTATTTTCAAGTCCTTTACCAAGAGTAAAAGCTGATTGACCTTGATGAAACAACTCTTCACATTCCTTACCTATTACTATGGTTACTGTTTTTTTAGGAATTGATGTTGTCATAGTAGCAGATGCTTTCTTTGGTATACACTCATACAGTATTTGTTCCATGTCTCCGTATTCTGGCCTAGCCTTTACTGATTGACAATAAGGCTGTCCGTTGCAACGTTCTTTTATCTGCCTGAACTGGGATCCACCACGATTGTCGGAGAAGTATACCAGCTGGGGTGATTTCTTGTTCCAGCTGTGTACTGCCTTTATTTTAATTACGTGATCTTCATCTTCGCAAGACAAATCCACAAGGCTATTCTCGTAAGCCATCACTGAATATATTAATGTTGTTTTGGATGTCACTGACTTTGTGGACTCTGGTTGATTCTTTTTTGTCACCAGCTGCGTAGCTCCTGATTCTAACTCAGTTCTTGTAACTTGGTGTGTTGTTACTGGATTTTCAGAGACTGTCACTTTTACTGTTGTCATTTTTATGGATGTAGGTGATGTCCCCTCATTTTTAATTTTCCCACGTGGTACACAATCATATATAATGTGTTCCATGTCTCCATATTCGGGTCTAGCATTTATTGATGAACAATCAGCATATCCATTACAATATTCTTCAAGTAGTTTAAATCGAGATTTACCATGATTTTCAGAGAAATGTTTATCTTCTGGATGGTCTTTGTTCCAACTTGAAACTGACTTTATTTCAATAACACAATCTATTTCATTGCATTGCAAATGCATAAGGCTATACTTATAAGCTGTCACTGACTTAGTTGATATCACTGTAGTTGCTGTTTGTACTTCTTCTTCATTACCTGGTTCTTGCTGTGTAGTTGATGCATCTATTGCTGCTTTTGTCTTAATAACTTTCTGTGTAGGTGATTGGGTTGAGATTCCTTTATCTGAAAACAACATAGATATCAGTATACAATGTAGTTTATTCTTTATTACTGAATCCCCCAAATTATTCTTTATTGTTTGTTTCTGAATTTGCCCTGTCAGAAAGAAGATAAATGGAAAGCATGCAAGTGCAAATTCTCATACATCACATTTTTTCATATCATATCCTGCTTATTTTGGTAAGCCTAAGTGGTTCAAACTTTACATTGGGCCTTTAAAAGTGTTTCAACATGGAGTTGTTTACAGAGGAACCATTTGTTATTATAGTGGACTTATCCCAATGAATGTGGTTCAGTAAAGATACAGTGAATCCTTCTATCCTTCAGTCTGTCCAGAGCATAACTAAAATACCAGGGGAACAATTTTCTTGATATTTAATGGAAAAATGGATACTGATAAATAATTTTACACAAAAAATGAATGAAATATCTATAAAATATTATATTTGACATATATTCTGTGTTTTTTTGGTATGACCCCCAGAGCCTGGGGATGAGGAAACAGGAATTTTTTCTGATCCGGGATTCGAAAAAATAGCTGCTTGATGTAGGATTTTGCTATGATTTGGTGATCTATTCAAAGTATGGCTATATGATACTCAAATCGAAAATTCAAAATGGCTGCCTAAAATAGAAATTTTGAATAATTTAGAAATATGTCCAAAGTAGTTATCCAATATAAGATCACAAATATTGTATTATCAGCTTCATGATTTATGCCTTTGAAACTCCAAAATGGCCACCCAAATGCTTTAATTATTGGAAATTCCAGATATGTGTATCCCCAATGTCTTCTATTATCAGTGAATAAGGGTCGAGTAGATGGTAAATACTATATTGTATCATACAGGTTCATGAAACTTTGTTTGTTGGGATTTGCTACTCCAATTTCTAGTTGTAAATTGTTGTAAATAATTTTAAAAAGCCTCACACAAACAGTTTTACTGTACAGTTATTTTAAAATAATATTTAAACAGGAACATGGTTCACATTAATATTTCACCTAACAATTGCCACCTCAAAGTTTACCCAGTCAGTTAAACTTGTATCCAAACACCTCTCAATATGAACACTTTCCTCTGTCCCAAATATATAGGTAGCTAGTTGCCAGTTTCACCACCAAGTGGCTCGTTTGGGTCAGATAGCATGGCAGGTATACTAGAAAGTTCCCTTAAACTTGAATATTCATCAGTTTTAGTGGTTCAATTTTCATATTACCCTTATGTTTCTGATAGTTATACAAATTAAAATAAGTCCAGTAAAAGAAAATATTATCCGTCCAATACAAGAAAAGCTATTTCACTATAACATGCGGTATTTGGGGAATCTTCACAACCTAGGTTAGAAGTCACATTTACAAAGAAAATTAAATTTTCAAGTTGATAAACACTTTTTAAACCACATTCCTAGATGCACTTTTATTACATGTAAATTTCAAATATTATATCACCTTGACTGAATTTCAAACAGGATAGTTTCTACGTGCAAGTCTTGCATCTATGATGAATATACCTGCCAAATTTTTCTGCCAAATTTGCCAAAGTGAACCCCCCCGCCCTAGAATTTTTTGGAAAAGTGAACCCTCCCCCCCTTGGAAAATTCTGACTACGAGCCTGTACCACTACAAACCAACCAATGTTATGTTCCTGCTATAACATTGACCCTATCAACTTTATCAAGAGCAAATAAAGAGCTTGATGATGTAACAAACTGTTGTAAATTGAATTATGATAAAATTCAACTCACCCTGGATGCTGTTAGTGCTCCTAACAAAAGCTATGAAGTACTGGCACAGCCAAAACAGGCAGAAATGTCTTTTCATGTCATGCATTATTTTAATATTTTACTGTTCCTGAGGTAGCATTAATTAATTTAATTTTCTTCTAAGAAGAACTGACGCTACTATCTTCCAAGACAAATTATCCGTGAATGAAGAAAAAAATATGGACATCCGTGTGGTGGAATGACATGCTGTATCTAGACAGAACTAGTTTCCTAAGTAAACTTATATCAATGGGGAGAATTAAGTGCATGGGTGGGATTGGGTACGTTTAAAAAGCTAGAACTTTCGAAAATCAATATTTTAAGTACATGTGGGATTGTATCACAATGAATGAGGTTTGATAGGGATAATGTGAAGCACTCTATCTGTTCATCCATCCATTTTTCATTGTGATTCGCTACTTTGTGGAGTTGCCGATTTCTAGTTTTATCTTGTGGTTTGTTCATCGCACCTGTCCAATTGGATCATGTGCAAACATTGCTGTCTTAAAACTTTAAATACACTAAATAAATCAAATTAGTATTATTTTCTCATCATAATTAATTACAAACATCTTTTAAGTTTCAATATCATGAGGTTTTGGATATTTTCTTTGAAATTTCATGTAGGAATTGTTTGAAGCAATTTTTACTTGTTAAAATGTACCATACCCGGTATACCCACTGAATTCTATTGAGTTCTATGGTCATTAGGTAAAAGCATACTCCTTTTACAATTTGAGTTTTGATTACACACATTGATAAAATAGCGGTCACATTAACTTTAAGTAAACATTGGTTACAAATTGAATGGATATAGCGGATGTTATATTTCATTCTTGAGTTCTATTTATCAGTTTTAATCTGGCAACATGCCTAGGCAGGTGAACCATCCTTAAAATTCCATTGATATTTTTGATAAAAGAGGTTTTACAATCCCATAATTCTTTGGAACTCTCAAAAATTGCTGACATCCTGAATTTCAAGATTTAAATATGATTTATCATTTGAACTTATATATTTGTAATTTATTGAACATTTCAAAACTACATAGGAATGATTTTAGTTAAGTTAATAGTAGTTTTGATGTTGGTAGTTGTCTATGCTGGAATCTCAATGTGGGAATTACATGATTCAATATACATGTATGTGCATCCTACTTTTTACTTGTTACTGATCAAATATGTTAAATGAAGTTCATGCCCAGGAGATCAGGGGGCACCTCACAAGTTTGCACTTAATTCTACCTGTCAGTTTTTTCAACTCTTAGATACTCAGTCACTTTTGTTAGCAAAATAGACATTTAAGTAGTGGAATTCTTTATTTTTGGATTAGAAAGTGTATTTTAAAAATAATTTAAGACTACTTAATTAGTTGAAGAAACATAATATAAACTAACAATTTATTATAATTTATTTAAATAATGTTATATGGTACAAAGATGTGACATTTATACAAAACAATGTATATATTATATTAAAATACAAGTACAAATACAAACAAGTTACTGTACAAAACAATATATACCAAGTTGTATGAATCCTCATATATTAATCACAAAATAATGAACTGACTCCACCCCGTGGCCCTCCACACATCACCTCCAAACATACATCCACAAGATTAAGAGTCAGGGGGGTCCAGGGTCTTGATGCAACATATTGTTGTTTCATTAATTGCAGTCTATTGAGAATCTTCCCCTCTCTGTGGCTCTGTACGTAGGGGAATCATTGGAGAGTCCACAGGGTCAGCTTCTTCAACGTTCTTTCCTCGATCACTGAAAGATTTGAACTGAACAAATGGCACCATTTACTTCAGCAACACATTGAAGAATCTGGCTGGTTTGTTAAAATGTTATTATGTTACATGTTTATTGCGATTGTACAAGCATAAATGTATATGGAAAACTAAAAATAATTCTTTATTTGAAATATAGAGACATAGACATACCCTTACCTAGGCATATGCGCCTTTGCCCATAACAAGTAGACCAGTGCTACTGCTACCATTACGAGTGCAATAACTCCAACTGAAATACAGAGAGAATATTCTTACCCCTAGATGAAACCTTTCAGAGGCCTAGTTGAATTCTGTTCTGGCTCTTGTTTGTTGAACCCTATTAACACTCACTGGGAGTAGTACAAATAGTTGTTGTTATATGTACCCAAACTTATTTTAGAAACCAACAATAAAAAGAAAACATCTAAATATACACCAGTCATAAGGAAAACAAGGCCCAAGTAGCCCAAACCATAATCCAATGTGTAAAAAATGTTATCCCCTCCCCACCATTCAAGTTCCATTAAGACAGATATAAGAATATATAAGATATTAAGAATAGATATAAATTGATAAAACAATACTCATAATGTCTAAAATAGTAGACACTAGCTTGTATTTATCAAGGTAGGGGATTCAGTCTGAAATGATGTGGGACAGACAAAATCAAGCCTGGAAGTCCAATAAAGTAGAAATGAAGAGATTTGTCTATATGTTTTGCTATTGTTTTAATTGATTTTGTTTTGGGACTTAATAGTGTATATACATCATCTTTAACAAGTGTGATGATGATAGGTTAAAGCTTTATACTCACCAGATAACCCTACTGCAAGGGGAATCACCAATGTTCCTATTGATTCTGCAGGAGTTAGGTCTGTGCCTACTAGTATACTGTTATCTGGAGCTGGGTCAGTAGCTACATCTATGGCTTTGTAGGGCCTTGCAGTTCCACTTATTACTGGTTTGAGGAGTTCATTGGTCACTTGTGATGCTTTTCTCATCCCTATGTTGAGCTGAGTGCTTGAGACTAACTGATGGTTTGTAAGTTGTACTGACTTTTGAGTTATCATTACTGGCTTCGTGTGTAAATTGGGCATTGGGTCAGTTTGAGTTTTCTGGTTAGAATGAGTTTGAGTAATTAGACTCCAGATGAAATCTGGAGTCTATTGTTTTCGTCAGTTTTCTTATTCTTCTTCTTATTATTCTTTTTCTAAACCAGTTTTCTCAATAACCATAAGGTCTTCAGTAAAGTCAATCATTTGGTCAATTTAGGTCCAGTATCTAGTTCCTCGGAAATTGGGTCAAATTTTTATCTAGGTCAAAGGTCAAGAACTAGGTCAAATCCAGTACTTTGTCAGTTTTTTCGATTTTCTCGGTCATCCTTCAATATTTTCGATCCGGTTTTTTTTCATTGTGTTCCTTATAAAAAAGTAGGAAACCTAGGGTCGATTTAGTTTTTTGATATCTCAAACCGATTTCGAGATATCAGTGTCCGAAAACGAGGTCCAAATAAAAGTTCTTCGAATCAAATGTCTAGGATATTGGTCTTATGGGAAATTTTCTCAGAATTCCGAATCTGAAAACCAAATTGGAATCAGACTTCCGGTTAGGAAGTTATGGCGTTTTGAAAGCTCAAAAATCGCTAAATTTGGTGCCCATGTTAAGTCAATGGGAAAAAAGATTTTTTTGAAGTGAAAAATACGAAATATAGACTGAGTTCAGCTAAATATAATGAAAGCTTTTAAAAGAATGGGACCTCAAAAGCCATCTAGCTTTAAAATGTGGACATCAAAATGCCTAGGTCAGAATCTAGGTCAAATTCAAAGTTTTTTCTTATTTTTGCGATTCTGACACTACAGATTAATTATATTCTTCGAAATTGTGTATACATGTAGCCAAGAGTGTGCTAATAGTGTTAGCCTTTTGCCGTCAGAAAGTATTTTGCCCACTTTTGAGATATGGTATCCGAAAAGTAGGTCAAAATAAAAAATTCTCCAAATTTGACGTTTGAGTTATGAATTAAGTATAGAATTTTCTCGGGAATCCGAATTTGCAAACCAAATCTCAATCCGACTTCTGGTTCGGAAGTTATGACATTTTGAAAGCTCAAAAATCGCTAGATTTGGTGCCCCATGTTATGTCAATGGGAAAAAAGATTTTTTTGAAGTGTAAAATACAAGATATAGACTAATTACAGCTTAAAATAATGAAAGCCTATGAAAGAAGGGAACCTCGAAGGCTACCTAATTTCAAAATTTGGACACCAAAATCCCTAGGTCAAAATCTAGGTCAAATTCATAGTTTATCCTTATTTTTGCGATTCTGACACTACACTTTAATTATATTCCTCGAAATTGTGTATACATGTAGCCAAGAGTGTGCTAATAGCGTAAGCCTTTTGCCGTCAGAAAGTATTTTGACCCACTTTTGAGATATGGTGTCCGAAAAGTAGGTCAAAATAAAAAGTTCTCCAAATTTAACGTTTGAGTTATGAATTAAGAATAGAATTTTCTCAGAAAACCAAATCTGCTAACCAAATTTCGATTTGACTTCCGGTTCCGAAGTTATGGCGTGTCCGAAAAGTAGGTCAAAATAAAAATTCGCCAAATTTAACGTATGAGTTATGAATTAGGGGTAGAATTTTGTCAGGAATTCGAATCTGCAAATCAAATTTCGATCCGACTTCCGGTTCGGAAGTGATGGCGTTTTGAAATTTCAAGAAAAATCGATCTGATGGTATCCTGATAGAAAGTCAAGAGTAGAGAAGAAAATATTGAAAAATGCATCCATCCTTCCTTTCTGATCCTATCCTATCCTTCCTATCTACCCTTGCTTCGTATCCTCTCCTTCCTATCCTTCCTATTCTATTCTATCCTTCTTTCCTATTCTATCCTATCGTTCCTTCCTATTCTATCGTGTCCTTCCTTCCCTTTTCATCCATCCATCCATCCATCCATCTTTTTCTGGATGACTTAGCTTATTTTGGATGACTTGGCTTATTCTTGATGACTCGGCTAAAAAAAATCTAGATCTGGAGTCTGAAATTGAACTCGTTCAATTTCCAAAATCTAGTTGTTGGTGAAACCAGAACACATTGGTACAAGATTTGTTCATATTTGTGTCTACCTCCTGGGGAAGAGATTAATTCACAGACCTCTAATCCATCACACCACTCCTTCAACTTCAACAGTCTGACACTTTTGATCCCTGAATAATGTACCTTTGAGTTTTTTCTGGCTCTGTTGAATGAAAGAGCAGCTTTTATTTTGATAACAGTACTCTGTTCGCATTTTATGTACACCATGTCTCTTTTGTGGTGAATGACAGAGAGAACCATTCCATGTGTATCTGCAATGAAAAACACAAATCTAAAAAAGCTGGTACCATATTGTATTTGCAACTGCTAAATCTTTAGAAAATTGTGGGCAGAGATGCATGGAATATAGAATACATGTTTTTTGTTTACAGATATTGTCAATCGTTACAATTTATTTTGGAGGTGTGGATCAGTCAATACATGAGAATGTACTTAAAGAAGTATGCCACACCTTGTGTTTGCTAAGATATTTAAGCATGTCATAAAGTTACCAGATTCTAGTCATTTAAGGGGAACCCCCTTTAAGCAGAATTATCACTTAGAAGATGTCTTTACTTTTTCTAACAAAAGATGTCTCTCTTCAAAAATAAGTTACTGGCCTGTTGGACACAATTACTCAGATGCGAGTAGGTAGTTACCAGTTTCGCCACCAGGTGGCTGATTCGGGGGAATTAACATGGCAGGGTATTACAAAATTCCCTTAAACTTGAATATGCATCCGTTTTAGTGGTTCACTTTTCATATTACCCTTATGTATCTGATAGTTATACAAATTAAAATATATCCAGTAAAAGAAAATATTATCTGCCCAACACAAGAAAAGAGATTTCACTTTTTGTGGTTTTACAACATGGGGTCTATGGGGAATCTCCCCGACCTAGAAGTCACATTTTCAAAGAAAATTAAATTTTCAAAGTTGATAAACTCTTTTCAAAACCACATTTCTAAATGTAATTTTACATGTAGATTCCAAATATGACATCAGTTTGACTGAATTGTGAGTTTTTAATGACGTAAATCGAGATTATTTCTACTCGCATCTGGGATATTTGTGCTGTGTTGGTTTTTTCTCATTAGAGTTAACTCAGAAGTACAGTACTAATACTGTGTTCCATTAGACAATAAAGATTTTGTTATTGGAACCCTTGATGAACCAGTTATTGTAAATCTGAATTCAAGTTACACTTACCAAGTATTCCCATTGTGTGAAGCTTTAATGGCCTCTGAATGGGGAAAGTTCTGGTAGAAGCCAGTATACATTTGAACAGTATCTGCTCATATCTGTGTGAATGTCCAGGAGAGGATATCATTTCACACTGAGATAGTCCATTACACCATTTTCTCAACTTCAACAGTCTCTCATCTTTGTTCCCAGGATAGTGTACCTTGTGTGAATATTTACTGGCACTGTCTAATGAAAGAGTAGCTGTTATTTCAATAACAGTACCCTGTTCACAGTTAATGTAGATCATATCTCTTTTGTGATGCTTGACAGATTGTTCACATGAGAAACATATTCTTAATACTGTAACTAGTTGATGAGTACAAGATGATTGTCCAAAACATCTTAACAGATCAGGTTCCCATTCAGATCTTGGTATGGAGTAGTTGTCGCAAGCTGAGCTGTTGCATTGTTTGGTTATATTTTGCAGATTTAGGGATAAACCATGAGGACAGATCATTTCTATTTTCTGCTTGGCTGTACCTTCTTCACATTGTACTTCAGCATCTGTAAACAAGCAAACATTATACATGTTGTTTTAGTGATGTATTTGTTTAGAAATAAATCTATGTGAAGCTTGAACATTGAATATGTACAGAAAAGTACTTCCTTACAAAAAATTGACAATGTCTCATTTATTTAAACATATAAATATATAAGTATAATGTAAGTACACATGTACTATGATGACATGATGACAAAGCTTACTTCCGTTGTAAGTAAAACAATTTTTAGAACAAATTCAGAATTTTTTGATAAACGTAAGTTTGTGAGCTCATTACTGAACATCATTCATTTTGTACATACAATGTATACCAAGTTATTGATGTAATGATGAAAATAACAATGTGATTGGTAAAAAAAATTGAACAATAGAGGATATGATGAAATGATGACAAAGCAAAATTATCAACTTTCTAGAAAAATCTTAATGCCATTAGTCTTATAAAAACTGTTTAGATTTCTGTTTACGGTCTGTTTTACACAAGAATGAGATTTACTTTATTATAAACCACGCCCGGTGATCGTGAAAATGGGACGGAGGGGGGGGAGCAGGCAATTTCCGATAGAAAATTCAACAAATCTGGTAAAATTATTTTTCAAGACAGAGTTTACGATTGAATTGCAAATTGAATAAGCGCACGGTATGATAAAATATGTTAGGTATTCTAGGATTATTTTTCAACCGATACTATTTTAAGATATAAGATCTATTAAAAAAGGCGCAACGCAACCAACGTGCAAAAGTCAAAGATTTTGCTATAAATCAAGCAACAATGGACTACACGACCTGTAATAAATACTTGTAAGTGATGTTATCATAACTAAATTAATGTCATTGCTGAATTTATAAAATAAGTTTCCATACGTAAAATAAAAAATAATCGAAAATAATTAAAATGGGACGGAGGGGGGGAGGGGACGGAGGGGGGGAGTAATAATTCTATAAAGTGAAACAACTTCACACGAATTCTTGTATTTGAAAAAAGAACTCATTAACTTAGTAAGAAACTGGATGATATACCCCTGGAGACTGAAAAATGGGGACATTTGGAGTAAAAGGACTTAAAGTCGCGAAACATCTCTAATCATGTCTTATATACATATTGCTCCCCCCTCCGTCCCCTCCCCCCCTCCGTCCCAAATTCATTATTTTCGATTATTTTTTATTTCACATATGGAAACTTATTTTATAAATTCAGCAATGACATTAATTTAGTTATGATAACATCACTTACAAGTATTTATTACAGGTCGTCCAGACCATTGTTGCTTGATTTATAGCAAAAACGTTGATTTGTGCCTGTTGATGGCCTTGCGCATTTTTTAATAGATCTCATACCTTAGATGCGTATCGTTTCAGAAAAAATCCCAGAAAACCTAACATATTTTACCATACCGTGCGCCTATCCATTTAGCAATTCAATAGTAAACTTTTTCTTGAAAAAATAAATCTTCCAGATTTGTTGAATTTCCTAGCAGAAATTGCCTGCTCCCCCCCTCCGTCCCATATTCACGATCACCGGGCGTGAAAACATGAATATTTATCATAGTTATCGAACTAGAGTGTTCTACATTGATGGCAAGACATGTGGATCAAATGCTGGTTTGAAATATTTACATGTGTAGGTGTGTGTAGGCGTACCTACTGTTTTCATGTATATGAATTTAAACATCAATAATAAAAAATAAAGTTACTTACATGTCCCATTGCTAAATGAAATGGCTGCAAAAGCTATCACAGTGGGGATTATTGCAAATTTCTTCATATTCCAGAGTGAGGAATCAACACTTTTATGTTTTAAGCCTTTTGAACTAACTAAAGTATATGATGAAATAATGCCATATATCTAGTCTAGTCTGGTTTTGTATGTCAAGATTTTTATTAATTTTTAACTTATGTACAACCTTTCAGACAAAGAAATATTGTTTTTCATTCAAATTCAGATATCAGTTATTTATTTCTTCATGAGAACTCAAGTTGAATATTACATTATATCAATGCCATAAAGTTAAAGAAACCACAGACTGTGATGTAGTTGAGGAGGAAGCCGTAATTGCTGAGCCGTGCCCTGCTTAAGTCTATACTAAGTACCCCATACTCAATTCACCACTTATAGATGGCGAAACTATAGCATATAAGGTGAGACCCGGTTGAACTAGTGTACTTCTACCTGTATCTGATGTACTAATTAAGATTTTAATACTTTAACAGAGACAAATTCAATTTTGTTATGATTGTGGAAGGTTGAAATCATTTTAAGTGTAAAATGTTGGTTTTTGACCCCTATAAGTGTGAGATTATTGGCATTTTAAGCTTTTCTTATTGAGATGGTCTGCCCAAATTGGCCACCTGGTTGTGAAACTGGTAACTATGATTTGGAATTTCCTGTATTTACTGCCAGCATCATTGGATTAATAATTTACAAAATAAAAAGATATATAAATTAAGGTATTTATTTTCAAAACAAAAAGTCCATTCAAGTACTAGTATATTTGTACATATTCAGATCTTGTCTTTTTACGAGGGGTGATTCAAAAGTAATGGACAAAATTTTATAGGCATACTAAATTTCACCCAATCAGTCTAATTTTTTCACAGTGAATAGATCAATCAATTCTCTACTTTGTGTCGAATTCTCATTTAAATGCATTTGAAATTGTTTCAGCTATGCGTAACCATGGTAACAAGGGTAAGCATGGGTGGAATTGGTTTTTTAATGATAATTGAATGTTTTTGTCATTTTTGCTTGATTTCGTTTTAATGACTCAATTACCACACATGATATGTCTAACAAGCATGGTAATGCAATTGTCAAGCAAGACTCACATGCCCATGTGTTTGCTGTTGAGTTCTAAATTCAGCAACCAATTGTGCTATGACATCACAATGATATTTCTAAGAATGATGAGTCACAGTGAGTCAGAAAGTAGATCAGACTCTTAGACTCACACACATCCAAGAAATGTCTACTTTACAACAAATCAAAGTTAAGCAAAGGATTGTTATTGAATATTTGGTAGCTACTGGAGAGACAAGGCAGGCAGTTGTCAAGAAAATAAAAGAGACACATGGAGACAAGGCCTTGTCAAGGCAAGCCATTGAGCGATGGTACAATCACTTTAGTGAAGGGGATACGAGAGTCTTAGATCTAAAGCGATCTGGAAGGCCCAAGACTGACCGCACTGATAACACTATTCACCATGTAGAGTCCATCCTAAATGCAGACAGGAGATTGACACTGAGAGAAATAAGTTCCATTACAGATGTGTCCTACTCTACAGTACAAAGGATTGTAAAATGCGACCTGAATATGAAAAGGGTGTGTGCCAAGTGGATTCCTAAGCTTCTTACCGAAGAACAAAAGCAACAATGTGTCGAAATTGAAAATCCATTTGTTATTATGATGAAAATAGCCTTAAAAATGGATTCCGGGTGTATGCACCATGATCCAAGAGAAGTGCTTTATCTCAAAATGTATTTGCATTTAGTTAATAAAATTTTAACATCTAAGAAATTCTCCATCTAAAATGTCACTCGACTTTTTGGCAATTAAAAGTCCCTGCCTGCATTTAGTAGTCATATATTGTCATGTGCATAATTTTGAAACCATATCCTAATTATTTCACAAACCCTTTGTTGATTCTGCCATAGTTTCCAATTTGTAAACAGCATTTAGCCTTTTTAATTGGGAACTTTTTTGAATTTCCAAAATGGCTGCCATGTGATTGCAGAATTAACATGAGTGTGACGTGACATCACAGTTGCTCATTCCTAGGTAACAACAAGATCACAATTGCTCGTTTCTAGATAGCAACAAGATTTTTGATAAAATGGCACAGAATTACCCTGATTAACACCCTTAAAATCCGATTTTCAAAGAATATATTTGGAGAAACAATAAAAGGTAAGTGGAATAAATTAGAAGATGGTTTCAAGTTACCACAGAAGTCAATTTGAAACTCAAGAATGCTTTCTTTGACTCATAATCACAAAAAAGTCGAGTGACATTTTAGATGGAGAATTTCTTAATAGATAATTGATTAATCTTTATTTGTACAAAGTTTCATTCAAATCTGGTAAAGGTAAGCGTGCCTATAAAATTTTGTCCATTACTTTTGAATCACCCCTCGTACATGTAAGTCAGTATCATTTGATATAGAAAAGTTATTTAACTTTAAAAAATGTCCACAATTTCTGTACAACTACCACGTAAATACTTTTCACTTTCCATATGAAATTCAAAATCGCTTTCATGGCTCGAAGCATTATACACTGGATACTAGTATACTATAACGGTGAATTCTATTTAGTTTTATTTACCATAGACAAACAAATATTTCAACATGAAAAGTCGAACTGTATTTTAATGTCAACCTCCAGATCATTTTCACCTCTTTTTATTTTATATTTTGTACTTTAGTCAGTGCACATTGCCCATAAGGGGAGATCCATTGATATTTCCCTGAGTATATCTGATACTGGTCATCCTGAAAGAAAGAAAGTGAAATTGAATGGGTCTATAGAGCTAACCATCAGAGTCAAATATAACATAACTTTCTTGTATGACATACAACTAATTTTAGAATACAGGAAGATAATAGAGAAGTTTAAATTGCATATAATTTATACATACACAGGGGACTTTCTTCTCCACCAAATGATGATGATAGCAGCACCTCCAATGGCAAGCAGTACAAATACTATTACAATTACTGAAATGTATAGAAATGATTTGTCATGATCATGTGACCTTTGTCGTTTTAAATGCTGTAAAGGTAATTTACTGTTACTGTTATAAATTATATTTTAATGATTGAGGTCAAAGGTAAAAATACTTTGATAAGTAAAAATGGAATCTTTTAATGAGAATAAGACAATTGAAATAAAGTTTAAGTATCTCAAGATGCTTACCTGTTATAATAATTACTATTTTTGGAGAATGTGTCGTTACATCAGTTGTGGGCTTGATCATTGGTATAATACACTCATAGAAAATTTTTTCAGTGTCTCCATGCTCTGGCCTAGCATTTATCGATAGACAACTAGAGTGTCCATTACAGTGTTTTTCAAGTCTTCTGAACCGTGACCCACCTCTATTGTCAGAGAAGTGAACATCTCGGGGAGATGCTCTGTTCCAACTGGACACTTCTTTTATTTTGATTACATAATTTGTTTTGTCACAGTACAAATGTATAAGTCTATGCTTGTAAGCTGTCACTGAATATGTTATTGGTATTTTGGATGCAAATGACTTAGTAGGCTCTGGTGACCTTGTTTTTGTTACTGACGCTGTAGCTACTGTTGCTGGCTGTGTAGCTCTAGTTACTGGCTTTGTAGCATTTGTTACTGGCTGTGTAGTTTCTGATTCTGATTCAGCTCTTGTAACTTGGTGTAATGTTACTGGATTGTCTGGAACTGTCACTTGTTTTCAGGTGTTATTATTATGGGTGCAGGTGACGTTCCCTTAATTTTGATCTTCCCATTCAGTACACAGTCATATAAAATGTGTTCCATGTCTCCGTATTCTGGCCTGGCATTTATTGATTGACAATCAGCCAATCCGTTACAATATTCTTCAAGTTGTGTGAAGCGAGATCCAACAAGATTTTCAGATAAATGTACATCTTTGGGAAAATCTTTCTTCCAACTAGATACTTCCTTTATTTTGATAACATAATCTTTTTTATCACATTGCAAATGCATAAGTCTATGCTTGTAAGCTGTCACTGACTTTGAAGATGTTGTCAGCTGTAAAAGTTTCATTGATTTCGTAAATGCAACTGTATCTGTAGTTGCTATTAGTACTTCCTTTTCAGTAGCTATTACTTGTTGTGTAGTTGATGCATCTATTGCTGCTTTTGTCATCATAACATGCTGTGTAGGTGATGGGGATGTTATCTTTGTATCTGAAAACATATAATTATTAACATACTAAATTCTTCATTCAAACATGACCATGCTATTAACTCTATTTCTCCATATATGAAGGACCGTGCTCTATTCAATCATCCGTGTATCTATATATTGTGACGTCACACCTATGAATGGCGAAAATAACAGCAAGTTTGGCTATTTCATGGACCCCAATCCCCAATTCTCTGAACAATGTTTTCATTTTTATGTTTCAATATGGTGAAATTCTACACGCAGAATTTCAGTACAAATGCACTACCTTCGGTTCATGCTTTGTATGACATTCTGACCAACTTGTGCTGAATTTCACCATATTGAATGGCCTATCATTATTTATTCCTCAATTATTCAATCCCCCAAATCCTACTGTAGTATTTGTTTCTGAATTTCCTTACTATCCAACCAATGTTAAAGTTCTTGTTTTACCACTGTAAGTTCTTTTATAACATCCAACTTTATCAAAAGAAAATAAGTAGCTTGGCAATGTTCCAAACTATAATTGTAAACTGATGATGAAACTTGACTCACCCTCATTGCTATAACTGCTCCTAACAATTGCAATGAAATAATAATAACACCAAAATATCCATAAATGTCTCTTCATGACTTGCATCATTTTGATAACTTTACCACTGTTAAAACAGCTTTCCCAAAGTAACATAAATTAACTGTTCACTGAAGCACTGATACCACTATCTTCCAAGACGAATTACCTGTGAATGATGGAATAAATATAGACATCCATGTGCCTTGCTATAGATTTAGAGAAAGCTAAACTAGTCCTTATCAGCAGTGTTAGGTAAAGTTTTATGTACGGTTTCAAAAGAATTATAGGTGTCTATTTAGATTTTGGTGCATCTAAAAAATCAATACAGTTGTTCCTGCACATATATTGTAAGTCTATGTTTTCAAAGTAATAACTCATGTACAATGTTTAAGATATGTGAGTTATATATTTGTTTCATGAACTGATGAAAATAGATCTGTGGTCAGTAAGTTAAGGTCAGTAATGGAATTAAAGAGGATATGATGAAATGATGACAAAGCAAAATTTTACTTTCTAAGTAACATCCTCAGCATCATTAGTCTTATGTAAATACAAAAGAATTCTGTATCTGATTCAAGATTTAGATTCAATTTGTTTCGAATTCAAAAGGATATTATGAATTAAATGATGACAAAGCAAAATTCTCAACTTTCTAGAACATCCCCAGACCCTTACAAATTGTTCTTTATGTTCCCTTTTAAATAGGACTTAGCTTATGGATATGTGGATATTTATCTTAAAGTAAATCAGAATAGCTCTTCATTCTTGGCATTACACTTGTATCAAATGCTGGTTGATATACATACATGTATAGGTATGCGTAGTAGTTGTGTAATACTCCTTCAATTCAAATGGTGAAAACAGTCCTAAAATAATCAAGCAGAACTCACCCTGGATGACATTACTCCAAACCAATTGAAAAAGGCTTGAATAGAACAGCAACGAATGTCTCATTGTGACATCCATCTTCTAGAATTAACAAATTTTTCTCGATCCAAGTCCTTGCGCCATGCCATTTTTTAATGAATGAATCCACATATGGGAGTCCCATGTATATTCTGTAGTGGCCTGACATTCTGTGTTGTTGACATAAGGGCCCTAAAATTGGTTTTTGCTCAACATACTTTTTGAAAAATTATTTATTTAATTTGAAATTGCTGAATAAGTACATATAGGAAGAGAGTTGCAACAGAGGCAAGAAGATTATTTTGAAATTGCTGAATTAGTACATTTTAGAAGGGACTTGTAACAGAGGCAAGAAGATGAAAGAAATATTGATTGACCAACAATAGGGAGTTCTTCAGATGATCAGGTGGGCGCCAGTAAACATATATTTAGTTGTAGTGGTCTAAAAAGTGGCATAAACCTAGATGTTTATTTTACTGTAAACACTCAACAGAGTGCTGGATAAATGCCGAATATTTAAATGAATCTTTTGGAGGACAGGATTTCATTCATGTTTTATGTTTTTTTACACTAAATCACGATGAATAAATTATAGCCAAAAGTGGGTCTTATTATGTTAATCTTTTATTGTCGTCGACTTTTTTTAACATGTTGAAATGACATAAACGTCGATACAAAAATACATCTACCAACTACATTATCATTTTCTTGAAATGTTGAAACTTTTCGACTTGTGATTGGACATGTCTTATGTTTAAAAATAGACATAATGTTACGGATGCATCTTCAGGATCATATTGACCTTAGATGCGATGCTCTCAAATTGTGTTTTATTGATACATATCATACTATTAAACCAGTGTATTCCTTCAGTCATGTATGTATGTAATACCTTGATGGATCAAGATGGATACATATGGCAATGAATCATAAAATGAATTTCATTTGCTATTAATTTAAAGAGATTGCACAATCTGTGTTCCTGTATTGCCCTTTCAGTTGAAAAACTTTTCATTATCAAAGGCCATTGAAAATCATGTAGTTATACATTTTGTTCAATACTTGGCATCATTTTAGTCTTTTCAGAATTGTTAATGTGTTCATTTCCTTTTTACATTATGTATGTTATATATATATGGTAGACAAATGTATCAGGTCTGAATAAAAAGCCTATACTGCATGTTTATTATTTTAAATTAAAATGTAAATCGGCATTTGGTGTTTACCCTTTTAGACCCCCATCAATGGCCATCCTATATTTTATTTGTCATATATTATTTAAAAACATGTACCCTGATTTTCAATTTAAAAAAATTTCTGGAGAGTGTAAGCAGTATGCTGAAAACATGAAATGTGATTGTGACTATATCGATTGTATAGGTTTTAAAGATCTTGTGTTAATAAATTACAGAGATATAAAGGACGATTCTCGGTTTGGAGATCGAACGAAGTTCATCAATCTAAATGAGCATTATCCCTGCTTCGGACAAATTTGATTTTTTTTACATAATATAGATTTGAATGTCTTCTTTTGAATAGTCATAATTTAATTTGGTTAATATTTCTAGATTTTTCGCAAAAAAATATTAGTGCAGTACACTGATGAACTTTTTTCCCAAAATCTATACAAGACTTGTATTTTATTGAATCTGTCAAATTGAGCATTATCCCTGCTTCAGACCAATTTGTTATTTTTACATCTTGTAGATTTGAATGTCCTCTTTTGAATATTCATAGTTTAATTTGGGTAATATTTCTATATTTTTCATGAAAAAAATTATTAGCCCAGGAGACTGTTCTCCAAACCGAGAATCATCCTTTAGCAGTTGAAATCATGAAAATACAGGCCTTATGTTTCCCACCAAATATTTCAAAGACAAATATCTCCCATGTGAAAGGAACTGCCCTAGACTCGAAAAATAATATGATTGTAAGTTTATAACTTATGAATGGAATTCATCAGACACGTAATGCTTGAACTTGGGTTCATAGTTCAAATGAACATAACTGTTTAAATACTGGTTACAAAATGAAAAAATCAATATATGAAGTTCAGGTTGATTGTACTTTATGTCAACAGAAGGTGTTTGAAGTAGGCAAATTCTGAATGAACATAACAGGATGTTCTTGAGTCTGTTTAGGCCTGCCCTGTCCTTGAACAAAATGACGTTTTACCATCTATAATTCTCCTCATTCTTCACTTGCTGACATCCTGTTAATAAGGTTTGAACATACGAGAGTTGATCCAAAAGTTCTCCACCGTTTTATCTAAAAAAATTATTTCTTATTTGTGTGTTGTTGTAAATATTCTTTTTATCACTTCAAATTTTTCATTATTTTTAGGTGGTATATCATTTATTAAATACGTCAATTATACTGCACAGGGACTACCACAAAAGATATTTGAATAATCCTTTTAGTTGATCCAAAGAGGACTGGCACTTGTGTTTGCCTCGTGATATTTGTCAGGCGAGGTCGTGTACTTTTTGACATGTCAGGAAGAGAACATAAATTCATTAAGGAGGACCATATTCGTTCTAATAAATGTGTCTCCCAAATTCTCTTGGAGGATATGTCTCAAATTGCAAAATCTGCGGGAAATTTTGAATGGTACAGATGTGGGCAATGTTAGGGTATTTCATGATTTACTCCTTAAAATGTTAAAATGTTTGAAAGTGGACATACCAATGCCAATAGGCGAATTGACGCATGATTGTATATTATGCCATGAAAAATATATCACTGAAATAAACCCATTGTTTAAAAAAAACTCCTTAAAGCTGGACGCACTACCATTCGATAACGTAATATTATACCTCAATGTCTTCGTCATATCAATTGGCTGATTATTTTTTTATGAGTTAATCGACATGTCAAATATCAAAGTTGTATTTATAATGATTCATGGTTCAAACACATCAAAAATCCTTGTTTGTTTGAAATAGAAATCCCTTGATGGTAAAAGAAAGTATAGTGAGCTAATTACGATGTGCTAACTGTGCATTGTTTTTCGAAATTGGGCATTATTTTTCAAAAGTTGGCCCAATTTTTTTCATGGACATATTTGTGCCCCTTTCCCTTTTTTTTATGATCGTCCTTTGTGTTTTGTTAAACATAGCCCTAGGATGGGCCCGGAAAGAAATGTTGGCCCAAACATATTGTACGGCCTCTTTAGTGGGCCTTTTTGGGCATTACTTGACCTTTTGGGCCTTATTTTTTCAATTTCAGGCCAAATTTTCAAAAATGGGCTATTAATTTTCAAAATATTGACCCCAATTTTGGTTTTATGGCCCTAAAAATTTTACGCGCGGCCCTAGGATGGGCCCAGAAAAAATGTTGGACCAAAAATATTGTAGGGCCTCTTTAGTTGGCCTTTACTTGACCTTTTTGGGCCTTATTTTTTCAATTTTAGGCTAAATTTTCAAAAAACAGGCCATAAATCTTCAAAAAATAGGCCCAAATTTTGGTTCTAAGTTCTGCGTGGCCATAGGATGGGCCCAGAAAAAAATGTTGGCCCAAAAATATTGTAGGGCCTTTTTAGTGGGCCTCTTTGGGCATTAATTGACCTTTTGGGGCTTTATTTTTTTTCGATTTAAGGCCAAATTTTCAAAAAACGGGCCATAAATTTTATGAATTTTCGCCCGAATTTTGGTTTTAGGGCCCTTAAAATTTTATGCTAGGCCCTAGGATGGGCCTAGAAAAAAATGTTGGGCCAAAAATATTGTAGGGCCTCTTTAGTTGGCCTTTACTTGACATTTTTACTTGACATTTTCGGGCCTTCAAGTTTAGGCCAAATTTTCAAAAAACGTGCCATATATTTTCTAAATTTTGGTTCTAGGGCCCTAAAAGGTTTTCTGCGCAGCCAAAGGATGGGCCCGGAAAAAATGTTGGCCCAGAAATATTGTAGGGCCTCTAAAGTGGGCCTTTTTTGGCATAACTTGACCTTTTTGGGCCTTATTTTTCAATTTAAGGCCAAATTTTCAAAGAACGGGCCATAAATTTTCAGAATTTTGGCCAAAATTTCGGTTTTAGGGCCCTAAAATTTTTTCCTTTGACTGGTCCTTTTTGGGCATTACTTGATTTTTTTGGGCCTTAGATTTTCTAATTGTTGGTCCAAATTTTGGTTTTAGGGCCCTAAAAAGTTTTTCCGCGCAAGCGCAGATATTTTTTCCTGACTTGAAGTGTGGGTCCCCCCTTCTTAGCCTCCGGATCCGCCACTGTCCTTTACAATACAAAGGGGCTTGGTTTAGTATGGGGAATTTTTTTTTGTGGGGGGGGTTGCGGGGGGGGGTTCGAGCCCCCCCTTACAAAAAGCTGGCTACGGGCATGTAATAGTGTAGTCTTTGGATTTACAAAGTTGTATGACATTTGATAAGTATAAACGTTGCCTTTGGAACATTTTTCTCAACTCATTTTGCAGGGAAAAAAATATGAAAAATGTATAATCGTTCAATTTAAAGTATGGCCTGAATCGATTGCAGACTTCATATTTGCACATCTGATGTGATATACCATTTGTATCATATTGTGAAATTATTTTTTAATTTGGATTTACAAAGAAGCATTATGTCATGAAATAACAAATCATATATTGACCTGTATTCCATTTCACTACAACATCTCTTTCGTTATAGTCATTTGTTACCTATTAATTCAGTTGAGGGAGAAAAAGGTTCAAATACATGTAACTGTTGCTTTAAATAAACCTGAAACAGATATCCTATATACTTGGTTGTAAGTCCACTTTATTTACAAATTGTATTACATCTATTATAACATTATATTATAGCATTATTACATTATATTATAGCATTATTACATGATGAAGAGTGTGATATATTAAATTATCCTACACTTAGTGTACTAAATGTATAATAACATTAAAAAATAAATTTGATATTTATGGGCAAAATGAATATCCGGAGGATATCGTGACGATATACTCCGGGCGGAGGATATCGTGACGATATACTCCGGGCGGAGGATATCGTGACGATATACTCCGGAAAACCCAATATGCGGAGGATATTGTGACGATATACTCCGCTTGTTGATTTCCCGCCAAATTGACTCTATTTGGCATGAGATTCATTTTGCAATGATATTATACATTTAGTACACTCCTTGTAAGTGTAGGATAATAAGAACATCCTATGATTTTTTTCAGAATATCATTTTAATCTACTCGGTGATATTGATATATGCACTCGTTCGCTTCGCTCTCTCGTGCAGATATCAATGTCACCTCGTAGATAAAAATGATATTCCTCAAAATCATAGGATATCCTATAAATATCATCTCAAGGCAAAATATCACACAAGGCGGAGCCTTGTTACGTATCAGGATTGACTCATGTGTTTTAATCAACCAAAATGTGTATAAACCCTATTTTGATCCCTTAATCACCAAAATGGCTCTTGAAAGGTTTTACAACACACACCTCTTCATGACGTGTAATGATGTAATTAAGTTTTTGTGTTTGAAATTGAAGTTCTAAATTATAATCAAACCATTGTAAATTTAGTTGCCCCTTATTCATTCATTAAAGGACAGTGTTGTTTTGCAAGTTATTTTCATGACCCACAATGTTTGTGACCCTATTCGCCATGCCAATAGAGTTACAGGACTGCATGTTGACGCGTTTATAGACAATAACTACAATGATCATAATAATAACCAACACAAGAAAACCTGAACCCAAACTCGTCCACACAATCATTGTTCCGTTCAATTGATGTACAGTTCTAGCAGTTGGATGTGATGATTTTGAGGGCTGTGTTGTCTCGATGACGGGGAGTTCAGGTGTTTTTGTTGTCAGATATGTGTCAGATATGATTGTTTTACAGATTACTCCTATTGCAGTGACATTATTAAGGAATTCTGATGAGATTTCAGTTATGTTATTTCCACTTAATTGTAGTCTTTTCAATCGTGGTATGTACTCACACATGTCTTTAGGTATCCCCTGAAGCTTGTTGTTCACGATTGATAAAATAACTGTGTTCTTGTGATTGATATGACTATGGGATAAACCAAAATGTATATCCGATATTTGATTGTTGTCAATGTAAAGATATCTCAATGATGTGAGGTTATAGAAGGTGTCTATCCTCAATTGTGTCAGTTTATTGTTATTTAGATTTAACCTTCGTAGTGATCGTAGACCGAAAAAAACACCAATTTCAATCTCTGCTATTTTATTATCTTGAAGGTAGAGATATTCTAGGGAGACTAACTGAGTGAACGTTTCATTGGTCAAGTTTTCAAAACTATTATTGCTAAGGTAGAGGGTCACTAATGACTGCAAACTAGTAAATATACCTGGAGGAATCTCAAAGATGTTATTGTCATTTAGTTTTAAATTCTTTATTGAGGTCAGACCATTAAAAATACCATTCAACAATTTAGTGATTTTATTGTCATTTAAATCCAACCTTTCCAATGATGCCAAACCAGAAAGTCCAAGTTTCTCGATATCTGTAATTTTATTGTTATGAAGACGAAGGTATTTGAGAGATGTTAGGTGAATAAATGATTCATTTGTTAGTTTCTTCAGATCATTGTTGTGTAAATAAAGAGTAACTAATGATTCCAAACCTAAAAACACATCAGGGAGGATCATTGAGATTTCATTGTTTTCAAGATACAATTTTGTGAGGGTGGGCAGATCGTTGAATATGCTGTGTGTAAGTTTTGTGAGATTATTAAAATCTAATCGTAATTCTTTTAATGATAGCATACCAGAAAATGCCCCTGGTCTTATGTCCTTTATGAAATTGTTGTGAAGCTTAAGGGAAGTCAGTGACGTAAGATTACTGAGAATTCCCTTTGGCAATACAGAAAGTTTATTATATTGTAATTCTAAATTCAGCAACGATTCTAAACCAGAAAAGATACCTTTAGGCATCTCTGATATTTCATTATAACCAAGACCAATTGTCGTGAGAGCAGTCATGTTACTGAACATCCACTTGGACAACGTTGTTAGTCTATTGTGGTACAAAGTTAACCTTTTTATTGAATGTAAACTTGAAAATGCGCCATCTTTAATCTCTGATATGTTGTTGTAATTAAGATAAAGATTGGATAGAACGGTCAAGTTACAGAATATCCCAATGGGCAGCGAAGAAATTTTATTATGGTCTAACTGTAATGTGTTTAATGAGTGCAAACCTAAAAATGCACCAATTTTCACAATATCATTGTATTTGAGGTAAAGATGCGTCAGTGACGCCAAGTCAGTGAATATCCCCTCCGGCAATATTGCAATTTTATTGTGGTCTAATCGTAGAGTATTTAGTGAGTGCAAATCTGAAAATGCACCAACTTGCACCTCTGATATAACATTGTCTTGGAGGTAAAGATGCGTCAGTGATGTCAAATCAGTGAATATCCCCTCCGGCAATATTGCAATTTTATTTTGATCTAATTTTAGTGTGTTTAATGAGTGCAAACCTGAAAACCAACCAACTTTCACCTCTGATATGTTATTAAAACTGAGGGAAAGATAGGATAGAGCGTCCAAATTACTAAAAATTCCCTTTGTCAATTTTGTAAGTTTATTTCGGCCTAGATACAATATCTGAAGTGATTCCATACCAGAAAATGTTCCCAAACTTATCGTAGATATTTCATTGGACTGTAATTGAAGACGAGTCACATTTGTGCTGTTTTCAAACATCCCGTTTGTTAGTATTGTCAGATCATTCGAACGCAGGTCATATCCTGTGGCTTTTACTGTCACCATGGTGGCGGTGTATATGGTTAACAGCAACAGCATCTCCATTACATGTAACATTATCTGAAAGTAATTTCATAAGTGAGATGTTAATTCACCCTGTGCATTTGGTGCTTGCTGGAAATGATCGGTGCGGATGTATGCATGTGTTTTGTAATTTGACCTTCATTTTTAAATTTAAATCTGTGATATTCTTTATATTAAATATGCGGATGTATGCATGTGTTTTGTAATTTGACCTTCATTTTTAAATTTAAATCTGTGATATTCTTTATATTAAATATGCGGATGTATGCATGTGTTTTGTAAATTTGACCTTCATTTTTAAATTTAAATCTGTCATATTCTTTATATTAAATATGCGGATGTATGCATGTGTTTTGTAAATTTGACCTTCATTTTTAAATTTAAATCTGTGATATTCTTTATATAAAATATGCGGATGTATGCATGCGTTTTGTAAGTTTGACCTTCATTTTTAAATTTAAATCTGTGATATTCTTTAAATTAAATATTGTTGTGTACTCAGTTATATGAAACACTAGCTACTAGAAATGTCTTTTGGGAGATAGAGAAATTTTCGGTGAGGGTATTCATGTGTGTAGACAAATCCTACTAAATAGAAAATTATGTAAATACTATATATTCTGTACTTAGCATCTTGGGGTTTTGAAAAATTCAAAATACCTCCTTCAGACTTTTTTTACAATAATGATGTTGTTTGTTAGGGAGTTCATGGTAAATATCACTGTAATGAACCAAGAATCAATATTGAAGTATTTTCCAAGGTGAAGGGAGCCCCCTCATTTGAAGGAATTGTTTTCCCTGATTATCTTCATTATTTCCACTAGAGACTGTTGGATATCGATCTAAAGTTTTTAGTTTTATGATAAATTATTATTTTTCATGTAAAAGTAAAATCTTCACACCGACGTCACAGAACACACTTCTGGTTTTATAATTGGTGATTTTATAGATCAAAAAATGTTTTTTGAATTTGTCCAATATCTGCTTATAAATATGGTATGTATACTTGTGTTGATTGTTAAATTACAAAATAGGTAGGGTAAAGAATATGTCAAAGTCGTTTGATCTTGTCCCACGAGCAATATTTTGTTATTTCTATCACTCAGAATTTCTTTAATGATATTTGGATGCGATTGTTTTTTCTGATTTACTCTTAATTGCGCACACAGAGTATCTACTTCGTATGGCCTTTATCCTTACAGTGATAACAGCAGGAAATAACACCAATTGTATATTTAGAAGAAACTGGTGTTATATTCAAAAGTCGTGTGAATTAACAATTTATGCTAGTCTTCCATCCAATGTATTAGGAACCCCCTATTGTTTTACATGTTAAAGCTCCTTTAAGCTTGATATAAATTATTATATGGTTGAATGGAACGTGAGATTTTGGATGTCATTGTATCTCTAACAATAAAGTTTGACTAATGCTATTGAAAGGGTCGAATTTCACCCCTCACGATCTTGAGGAATTAATTAAGCGAGCGCATTATATAAGCTATGTAATAAATTACATAGGTTTAATTAATGACTGGTAGAGATTAGATATAGTAATCTATTACTATTATGAAATAAAGATTCAACTAACGGCTTTTGTAAGAAGAATTTACTTTTTTTACCAACAATCTGAGGCTCAGCTTAAATGAGATATGTATGATTGGTCAAAGTACAAAAAAATCCAAGCGGTTTGGGTCGAATGACCCCCACAACAGGCCTATTTTAGTATTAACATAATAATAGGTTGACTTATTATAAAATATGACTGTAAAATATTAAAATCTTTGATTTATATTATTTAAATTACACATTACGGGATGTGGGATGTTAATGCCTAATCTGGTAAGGTTTTGAAACATTCTTCTTATCAGCTTGCTTTTAAAAAAATAAATATCTACATACCTATGCCAAGGAATTATCTGCATGTCGCATTTATATAGTTGTAAGCCCTTTTGTTTGTGTTTATTTATAAGATTAGAGCTAATTCTGCAGAAAGCTAGACTAAATAATCAATCCAAAATTCGAAGATGGCACAGTCTATTGACAAGCTTCAATTTTCCGATTACAATATTTTATTGTCGTTGGTCAACGTTTGTCAATGATATATCTGTTATGAAATGCATATACAGGTTATATGGTATATTTTTGATTCCTTATGTTTTAATTTTATTTTATACAAAAATAAAACATTGAAATGTACTGTCCCTGTCTGTGCAATCTTGGGCTTTCTTTCTCTGGAGAGCCAGTGGTGCAATGATGAAATTCCTGGTAACTAATATTCTATTATATAAATTCATACGTCGATTAATTTTCACCTACCCTGCTGGTTGTTCTCTTACATAACATCTATTAAATGCTAGCGGTCTCTCTAATAACTTCCCGGGGAGTGTCAATCACCTACTTTAGCAATTTAATCTGGTTATGGTTTATCTCCTGCTACCATCATTTCTGTATTTAATTTTATTCACGCTATTGTTATATTATATAGTCAATTGTGATAGGAAAATCTCTGCCTTTTTCATAGAAAGCCTTATTGCTACAATAATCTCTTTTCCATAAGAATATCCATATTTTCATTAATCTTTGGTGAAATTTCTCCTCTGGCTAGTGTGTGACCTAGTGGGGATGATTACATGTATTTGTCCAGTGTCACTGGGAGGTTTCGTAAAACAAAGACACAGTGCCTCTAAATTGATGACCAGCCTTCCGGTGACATATTCTTGTATGATATTTTAAACCCATTTCTTGGATGATTTTCTCCACAATTGTATTTCTGCAGTTAGAGCAAAATCGTATTGGTATTCATTCTTTGATTTGCTTGATGCAGCAAAACAATGATATCAAATTATAAGGAAGTGAGCGTGCCACTTTCATTTATTTCATTCATCTAGTAACAATAGTCCAGTTAATTAAAGGTGCAACAATTAGTACAGGGGGCCATTCAACGATCATCGACCAGTATCAAAATATATTTAAGTTTGGATATTTCATCAAGGCTAACATATATTTTTATTATCTCCAAAGAAACCCCTGGATGAACATTATTTCAGCTGATATTCCTCTTGAAACGTAGTGAAACTTAAAAATCTATAAGTGGGAGTCCCTTTATAGGAGCTTTGAACTGAATTTACACTTCTAAATGCTGAAATTGGGAGTTTGTCCATACATTTTAAGAAAATAGGTATGTCAAAGTTGATGTTAAGCCAAATATTGACCTGATAGCTCAGAAAAAATAAAGAATTTCGAATTTTCTATCTACAGTCCTTGTTAAGGATGAACGCCATTTGTAAATTGTTTCATTGCTGTTCCAGATGTTGTCCATTTAAAAGTATGTTGTCTTCTCCCGTTCTTTGGTTAGCTCCTAATTCTTGGTCCCTGAAAAATCATTTCTATATTAGGTTATGAACATTCTTGTTTCTGGTCTTGCAAACTTTAGACCTTCCCATTTTATTAACAATATTATGTCAATATTGCCTCTCTTTTGACTTTCATAAAATTATACTTTCTACAGAATTTGGGGTATTTTTTTTTGAATTGCGGTATTTTGCTGTAAATTTTTTTAAATGCGGTATTTTTTGTCATATTTTTCGACAAAAAATGCGGTAGTTTTAGCGGTAGATATTTGAAAAAACGTACTTTTTCAAAAGTTTTTGAAAAATGTGGTAGTTTTACGGTAGATTTTGAAAAAATATGGTAGTTTTTGCGGTTGATTTTGACACACTTCAACAATGAATATGTAGTAAAAGTATGTTTTTCTTACACAGCATTCATGGAACTCTTTCATAAACAATTTGAGCACATCAGTGTTTTTATAACTACAGTAGAACCTGTGTTAAGTAAACTAAACTCCACGTTTACCAAAAACATAGAACACAACTACTAAATTAACTTTCAAATAGTAATGGCCTTGTGGGCGAGTATGACATTTATTCATCAGTCCATTTACATCAAGCAACTATACATCTCGTTCCATATCACAAATCTCAACCTGAATGTTACTCTGAGCAACATTTTTTGCTGACCGACAGCATCGTGCATGTACAATGTCAATATCAAATTCTGTAATATTCGCTTTGCTTGGCAGCGTTAAACTCTAAATCTGTAAATCATAATATTTTGTTCTGAGCAATAGGTAAAGGCGTAGTAGCCTTGCTGACCGACAGCGTTACACTCTATGAAAAACTGAATATCAATATTTTGCTCTGAGCAATAAGTAAAGGCGTAGTAACCAAGCTGACCGACAGCGTTATACTAAGCTGACCGACAGCGTTATACTAAGCTGACCGACAGCGTTATACTAAGCTGACCGACAGCGTTAGTGTACTTTTTTAAAATCAGTTCTAACATAATATCTAAATGTTTTTCACTGTAAGTACCCTTAGTAACAGGCAAGGCAGCCTTACATTTACTCTAAAAAGATTGGTAAGCTATTATCATTCCTGAACTTACGGTAAGCTCGTAACAATTAATATTAATAAAACAAATGTTATTCTTACATGAAATAAACGAGGTGAAATCGAAAATTTCTCAACTTCCGGTGACCCAACCTAAACCCCCTTTTTAAGGAGGGAGGAGGTACTCGACTTAAAGTCGGCCCCGTGATCCGAAATGAAGCAGAGTTACAGACGAGGACTTCGATAAACGATTCACCTGTTCTAACAATGCAATATGATATTTTGAAAATTTTAACAAATATGAAATATCTTTAAAAAAACAACAACATTTGCCTGTGTAACTTTGTCATACCTCGCTTGCGTGTAAACCGAGAATGACCTTACATTACATACATAATTCACATGTCCAAATGAAATACTCCAAGCGTGAATACCCTACTCACTTACCACCTACGATCACCCTAATAAAAATGCTACGCAATAAACATTTCGCCTTCCGTAATACTTAAAGTAATTTTCAAACTGATTCGTTACACTCAAACGTTAGAAAATCTATTTAAGTAAACTAAACTCCACGTTTACCAAAAACATAGAACACAACTACTAAATTAACTTTCAAATAGTAATGGCCTTGTGGGCGAGTATCACCGAGGCTAAAGATGGCGTAAATGTTTGAAATTGTAAATTACTAAATGTATGATTTCACTTAAAGTCCCAGACTTAAAGTAACTGAAAGTCTTTGGCTGATGTCACTTTCAACGTAACCGTCTTTTGCAGTTTCACTGCGCCATCTCCCATGCGCCTTAAAAAGCCTGTCTGAAACACCTGCGTTGGCAGCCTTAGTGGCACCCCCAGAACGTAATGAATGCAACCTGTAAACCTTACTATCTACCCCAATTTTGTCCAAGGCAGCTTTGACCATATCTCTACAAGTTGTGTAACTGATTGGTTTATTACATTCTTTCAACTGGTGTTTTCTTTTGCTTTTAAAAAATGAAAGCGCTCCAAAAATGAATTTGTCAGTTTGTGAATTAACACCCAGTTCTCTCATGTATCTTTGCAACAATGAAACTGGACATGTCTTGTTGTTTGATTTGGCTATTAAAACATTTGCACCGTTACGATAACAATCCGTTTTTGATTTCTCTACAAAGATATCTATGTAATACTCTTTGAAACTGACATCTGTGAACTTCAATCTTGACATTTCGTCAAACCTAAAAAACCCTGCAAATGCCAAAATCATAAAAGTGGCCGTTCTTAGCTCCAAAACGCTTGCATTTTCTCCAGCAAATTTATCTATTATATCTTCCAAGTGTTTTACTGTAATTGGCGCTTTCTTGCTGACCTTTTTGCTAGAAAGACGAAGTGACCCTTCTGTAACCAATTTTACCATGTTATGCTCGCATGGATTGTCAATGCACGCCATGTTATGAGCCCAAGCAATACTGTATTTTGCCGAAATTACTTGACTGTAACTCTGATTTGAATTTTGAAAAATACTCAAAAGATATATTGAAACATGTATATGGTTTGCTGGGAGAAATTGTAACCCAAGTGCGTTACACCAGTTTTTGAATTTTTCAAAACCTGCAGAATATTTTGTAACCGTATTTGGTTCCCTGCTTCTTATCGCAAAGTCCTTCAACTTGTTTGGAAAGTCCTTTAATTCTTCTTGTTTTGAGCAAACGTCGGTTACATCTGTCCAAGCTTTGCTGTTAAACACCGTATCACTGTAGCCTGAAAATACATTGGATGACACAGATTACATTTTGACCCTTTTTGCTCATAGAAGCACAGCGTTTGATTTACACGTAACATCTACAACACAACGCGCATGTGCCTCAGAGGCCACATTTATCAGTCATGACTGATTTGCAAAGCTATGAGCGGGCTACTGAACCCTTGTGCACTATCAAAAACGCTGTTTTTCTGTGAGCCTTTTGTGAAATAATGCCCTCCTTTAGGGAATTCAATAACGCTTTTTATGCTAGAATGATACTTCCTACCATCATGTAATACTGGCCAATACACCGCTGACAGCCATTTTGGTACGACCAACGTACCTCGACCTCGCTGCTCTACTAAATATCTAAATGCTTTTGCCACCAGGCAGCATGGCGGTACTAACCAATTATTCTCATGCTTCCAGCATTGAGTAAAAGCGTCTGCTGCTTCTGCCTCTGGGCAGTGAAATCTGGAATTGAATCTTGGTAATTTCGTATTATGCACATCAGCAAACCTGTCTACCGTGAAAGGCCCCCATCTAATGTTAAGATAGTTAAAAACATTCAAACGAATTCCCCAGTCGTCGAAATCTATATATTTACTGATTTCGTCTGCTAGAACATTATGTTCCCTAGGCACCCACTCTACATTCAACTTCACATTTTTCTCTTTACAAACTCTGTGTATTCTTAGAGCTAAACTTTGAAGATCTGGTTTCATACTACCTTTCGAAATGATTGATCTTACATTTTTATTGTCTGTGAACCATTTGATTTCTTGATTATTTAACAAATGCATGAGGGACAGTAATGTTGTGAACACTCCCATTAACTCTCTCCAAGTTGAACTTTTCTGACTCTCTGCATCAGACCATGTTTTGTGACATACTTCATTCTCAAAATTGACCACATACCCACCACATCCACTATTGCTAGCGTCTGAGTACACAACCCTGGAATGTTTGTATTCTCTTACCAATGATGTCCCGTTGTACGTGTATAAACCTTGTAACCAAAATTCTAGCTCGCCTATTGCGTCATTTGGTAAACGAATACAATTGTCCCAGTTTGACCTACATGCAACAACTACTTGTAACGATCTCGTTTTAAGGATACATATATCACCTATGGCATGCCTTAATGCGACCACTTTCCCTACTACCGCTGCTACTGCTCTAGCAGTTGTTCTGTTTGCATTACTGAGTAACTTACTAACCTTTTCATGCACGTCTGAGAGTTTACTTTCTGGTACTAATAGTTTACCCTGTGACAGATCCAATTTAAAACCTAACCACTGCTGTACCTGTTCAGGCTGCCATTTTGACTTCTTGTCGTTTGGAATAAAGCCAGCTTTGATCAGATCTGACCTCACCTGGTTGGAATGCTCTATGCAAATTGAAACACTCTCGTGGAAACAAAGCCCATCATCCAGGAATACTATAATTCGTATACCTTGACTACGCCAGTGTTTTACAAGTTGCCTAACAACTTTTGTGAATATGAGACCTCCTGTGCTAATACCAAAGGGTAATACTGTGTATTCAAAGTACCTGGTTTTTCCTTGAAGTTCCCATGAAAACCCTAAGAATTTCTGATGTTCTGGTAGTATGTTCAAATGATGGTAGCCATTTTTGATATCAAACACAAACATATATCCCCCTGGTGCTAAATATTCTTTGGCAACTTGCAAATCTTCAAACTTTACTCTGTCTAAATTGATGAAAGGGTTGACATGTCTTAAATCTAACACTAACCTGTCCTTTTCTGCATTTGATGCCACAGTGAGAGGATTTACTAAATGTGAAGGATATTTTACCTCTTTGATCCGACCGTCTTGCAATAATTCATTTATTGATTTTTCTACAAACTCACGTTTCTTTAAAGCAGATTGATTGTTTTTTAGAATTGCTTTTGTCGGTTCTTGTTCAAATGGTATTCTATACCCGTGTTTGATTGTATTGACTACGTACTGTGAAGCACCGATTTCTCCCCAAAAGCTAACGTTTTTCTTTAAACTATCTTTTACAGATTTTTCTGATACAACATGTGATAAAGTCTTACTCAACTTATGATCTGTTGTTGTTCTGGCTGCTTGAGTCGTAGGAAGTTTGTTGGAACGAGGCACCTTGCTTGCAGTCACGTGCCCAATGTCCTGTCTGGGAACAGTTCCTACAGACGTCATTTGCTCTGCTTCTGCCGTTGTAGTACGAGCCGCTGTTGAAGTTGCTGTTCCACTGTCTTTGCTGGCGTTCCTGCCATCTACCGGATTGTTGGTTACCCCGGTCCTGCCCATTTCTGCTGAAATTGAAACTTTCTCTCTGGTTATTACGTGACCCGGTTCTTACAGTTATCTTTTTCTCCCTAGCTTTTCTACCCGCATTAACCCTTGCACTACGAATCTTTTTGTCATCGTCGCTATCACTAGCGTACTCATCTTTCATATATTCCTCGACCGCGGCCCAACCAAGGGTTGAGTCGTCCGCTATTTGAATGCATTTATTTCTATAAGAAATTAAAGCAATACCTTCATCCAGCTTGGCTGCAGCCTCTTGTTCTCTGTCTGCCAGTAAATCTTTAACGTCTTTCATGACGTCCAGCACCTCCACGTTGTGGTCAAACTGCTTTTGATTTCCTTTCTTTGTGAGCTTGGTTTCCGTCTTTGCCTTCTTCGTCATTTGTTTTGTATCCTCCTTTATCTCCCTCTTGAGCGTGTTGAGTTTCTTGTCTAATAGAGTTTCTAATATGTCCACTATTTGAGGCATTTGTTCGTGTGCCATTTTGAATGATAATGTAGACGGTTCAAAACTTTGTCATACCTCGCTTGCGTGTAAACCGAGAATGACCTTACATTACATACATAATTCACATGTCCAAATGAAATACTCCAAGCGTGAATACCCTACTCACTTACCACCTACGATCACCCTAATAAAAATGCTACGCAATAAACATTTCGCCTTCCGTAATACTTAAAGTAATTTTCAAACTGATTCGTTACACTCAAACGTTAGAAAATCTATGTAGTTGAGGTGTTTTTGCATCACTATACTCCCAAGTGTGTTGACTGATTACAAACCAGCTTACTTATATAAGTACGCAATAACCACTGTCATAGACCTACGGCACCTATTTATTATTTTCAGGGTTGGTAATGGAATATTACAAGGGTGATACGGAAAGACTTTTCAAAATTTCCAAATAATAACGGTAGATTTTACGGTAGTTTGAACAAAAATACTGTTAATTTCAGCAGAAATACGATAGATTTCTAAATATTTATGGTATATTTTACGGCCAATCTTATATAAAAAATCAAATTATAGTAAAATATTTTACGGTAGATTTCGGTAAAATTTTCGGTAGATTTTTTACGTTCGTTTTTACGGGAAAAATGGTAATTTTTTACGGTAGTTTGTCATTTTTTTACGGAAAAAACGAAAATTTTATGGTAGATTCCCATAAAAATATTGTAAGTTAGCAGGTATGATAGTACACAACCCCAAGGTTCTAGAAAATTATTGAATAAGCCTGAATATTATGGAAAAGGTTACATTAATTTGTTTAAATAAAATAAGCATTCTCAATAAAAAAAAATGTATCATTTTAGAAGGGACCAGTCATTGATCCAAGTGTATTGAGGCTAATTTCAGTTCTTCTCTTCATAAAAAATCAATGATAGAAATTGATAGAACATTATAAGCATGCATTGCAACCTGAGTCTCAGGTGCAACTGCTAATGAAAAAATTATTGTAAAAAAGCACTGAAATCTTTTTACATGGGATATTTCTTGTCAAATAATCCAGGGATGATTGATGAGTGTTGTTACTACAGGGTGTCCGGAAAGTAAAGATACAAATGCTCTAATTTCAATAGATTTACCTGTTGTGGGATGAAATTGTTACAGCTTGTAGAATGACATTCTAACAATTTATCCTGCAACTGTCATGACGAATTGTTTCAAAATGAAAAAGTTATGGTTGTTATGGTAACGGTAGTCCCGGGTATGTGGAGCAGTGTCACAATTATGTTTTAAAATTCCTTTCTCCTCATATCACCTTGACACTCTATGATCTGTTGCTATTATACATCAAATTATGTGTTACAACAGCAAAAGAAATAGTACTGTAACATTAGTTGGTCATTTATTGATATCCAGTATTATGTATGTCTCAACATTATCTAAACATTTGTGGTGCATCTTGACGAGAAATTCAAAGACCTCATAAAACCACTGCTGTCCATCTCTCAGATTATTGATAAAATTGATTTCAAGCAGTCTCATTTTCATGTTGAACTTCTAACAAATATTGCTTTAAGATATTCATTAATGTAGAAGTCTAACGGGACATTATCGGAGTAATATGGGACATTGTACAAAAAGGTTAATGTCAAGACATTCAATAATTGTAAGATTTGTTTTCTTTGCTTTGTGAATTGGTGCATTGTGGAGGTGCACTTTTGACTTTCCTATTGAGCCAGGGACCTTTTTTCTAAGCATTTATATAATGTTTCTTTGATTATACTGGTTAGTGACATTACATAGTTATGATATGTGTCAGTGATATCATTATACTTAAGAGAATATTATGGCAGAAAGATTACAGTATTGAAAAAAAAATATTGATAAGAAATACAATAATAAACACTGTTTCAAATGGTTAAATTCTATTAGTGTTCAATTCAATTTAGCGTGTCATGCATATGGAACTGCTCCGCATATCAGTGATAAATGTAACCATGACAACCGTAACTTTAAGACGTTTCGACTATATGTTATAAAAGTTGGTAGATGTATTGTAGTATAGTTCCTCTACAATCTGTAGCAATTTCATTACAAGAAACTTAAATCTCTTAAAATTAGAGAGTTTGTATCTTTACTTCCCGGACACCCTGTATATATGCTATAATAGCAGTTAAAATTGTATGATGTATCATAAAAATGACTTATTCTAATATTACGTACTTGTTGAAAACAGGTTCTAAATGTTATACCAAACATGTCATGGGTCTTTCCAGTACTATACTTCATGTATATTTTTAAAGAATAGATGTACCTTGGATTGTTTGTATCATTATACCATCTCCTGTAGAGGATGAAAAGACCAATGCCTCCAACCAAAAGTAGTCCAGTAATGACTGAAAATATCAAAATTTCATATCGTACATCATTCAAATTAATTTTTGAATTTGGCTTTGGGTCTAATTTTTCTGAAGAAAATAAGGCAAAGGCAATATGTAAAACCCATTTTGAAAAATGTTGTTATGGATGATTATTTGATTTCAATTATACTCATAAGTTATAAGGACCCTTCAATTATAAAACACCTTTCAATGACAATTGACAAATTTATCTCATAAAAGTATAAACTATAAATGTTACATGCATGTCTATATGCACATTTAAAAAGGCATCATAAGCTTTAAATGGTCGCAATTGTTATCTCCCCAAGATTCAAAATGATATAAAGTTCAAATTACATACACATTTGCCCACTTCAAATAAAGTTGAAACATTTGAAGAGCTAACTCTAAGCTGACTAATTTTTAATTTCATTACTTATAACAAGATGTTGAGGTAACACACTAATATTTAAGTCAATTATTAATTGCAGACAAACTTACCTAATCCTAATGTGAAAATGACTGGGATCTTCCATGGCAGTTGGGTCAGAGTAGTAGGCATTGACACAGTTGCTTGGAAAGAGGTTGTGGTTTTATCCTGTACACATTTGTAAAATACACGTTCATAATTTCCCGTCTCTGGCCTTGCATTTATAGAGTTGCAATATTGTATCCCATCGCAAGAGTGCTTCAGTGCCGCAAGTCGAGATCCTTCAGAATTATCAGAGATATGAACACTTTGAGATGTTATGTCCAATGACCAACTGACTGATGTTTTAACCTCAATGACATCACCAACTCCATTACAAAACAAATGCATTAGTCCACGTGCAGGGGCGAAAACAGATCGGGAGCATGAGGCACAAACTCTGAATTCTGGTGTTGGTTCCAGCGGCAAAACTTTACACTCAAACTTTCCAAGGCATTGAAGTAGACCAGTCGGCCATTTATCCACAGGCACATTCGTTCTTATGCAGGGTGATTGGTTACATGCCTTGTAGGAGACATTGGCTAGATGGATGACATGGTCTTCATCCACACATACCATCTCGGCTGGTTGTTCAGAATCCTCATCATTGCAGATTTCATCATCTGCAGATACCTTGATCTCTTTGGCATCTTTAATTTTGAAGCCTATAAAAATAGATGCAAAATATGCGGGTGACGTCTCATTTATCTGATATGTATTGATATTCAACTTTTCAGACTTTCCACTTGTGATTTTAATCTGATTTTCTGATTTTGATCTGATTTTAATTAATGTTCATATTTTATGATTTTGTTGCATGTATGAATTTCAGCTGTATTTTTGTTCACAAATATATTCATGCACTAACTAAGGTATTTCCACTTTATCACATTATTTTTGGGTATGACAATTTACAACTATAAGTATCTCTTAAAAATAAATAAATCTTCTTTACTCACCATCAACACTATAAATACATATACACCCTAGACACATCAAGCATCTTCCTATATTGTAAGGATTCATCTTTTTATCAGTGAATACTGAACAACCAACCTACGTGGTTAAAGTTCCACCGCAAAAGAACGAAGATTTGAAGAGTACACATGTATATAGGCCTATAACATGATACATGTAATTCCCAACTTATTTGAAAAAGTTAAGTTTTCAAAGTCACATGTGGCAAATATAAATGAATTGTTTAACTTCTTTCATACATTATGTATACACTTCACTTAAATCATCTACTGAAACATTTAGACAAATTATTTCATTTTTACAAGAAGTTTAGTGTACAATACAGTGCTTTATTTTCTATTAAGAAGGCACAAGTTTAGTAATAACACTTGACTGGTGTTTTGAACCTTTGATCACAACAATAATGCAAGTCATGACACGTGATGTCTACCATTCATCAAAATCCTGTTTTATTTTATATAACCTGCAATTCTTTGTCACACCTGCTAACTCCAGAAGTAAAGAAATCGAAAGTCTAAAATAATCTGAATGTTCAAAGATGAAGGTTTTATAAAGGTTTGATAACTCTCATCTTAACCCCTCGCCCTCAAATCGAGGTTAATTTAAAACATAGATATATGTACAATATTTATACAATCAGAATCAATTCATTGCATTGTCTGCTTGTGTAGCCAACATTTAAAGTTGCAAGTGAGATTGTTAAGATCCCATCAGCATCAAAATTGTAATATCATGTTTCATAGTCCATTTGGTATGTGACTCAGAGTATTTTCTTGTTAATGCGTTTCAGGTGATGGAACTGTCAGAGACTTGTGAGCCAGGTATATCAGACTATAAGGTGGGAAAGGTGCTACATGTTGATCCTTTGAAATTGTTGGTCTCCATTCAACTTAACCAGGCAGAGAGTAAGTAATGATAGTATAATTGTAATGGATTATAATAAAGAAATATTTCATTTTATTGAGAGAAATACCTTTGAACATTTTCAAAATCAAAAGAGATGTGAATTATAGTGGTGGGGTCGATCAGGATATAACCTACTACTATATTATTGCCAACTCATTCAAATATAAATAGTACATGCCACTATTCCATTCATACAGCATTTTCATGAGTTGGCCATAAAAAGAATATTAAACGGTCAGCTGCCAGATGGATTTGTGAATGTCATTTGTGATGACTTGTGTCTCTTTTGCGAGTGCCAAGTACGGTATATTATGAGCACAGTTACAAAAATTGAAGAGATCCAAAAACTTTGACCTTATTATATTATATCTTGGTTACCGCCATATTTGGCGAGCAATACCTCATTGGTATATTCCGTATTTTACATATTTTACACTCGATAAAGAGCCAGAAACCCCTCCTTGGAGGAGCCCTGTGTTCTTTTGTATGCACAGGTACACAGACAAACAAGTACACACCACAGCCTCTTATACGAGTCGTGAACCACTCAGTCAAAATCTAGAATTACATAACGCACAAACAAACTTGTCTGAACCTGGAATCGACCCCGGGGCCAAGCGATTTTGGTAACCTTGACTCTGCCACTGAGCCATAGCGGTTGGACTCTAGTGTTCTGTTTCAGCCAGTTGATTGAGAAAGCTTAATAATATCATTTGATATACAGATCGCTGTTAATATTGTATTTCCAGGAAAAATTGAGAGGAGATTTGATATGACAGTGGAATATGAAAATGTAATTTCCATATAATTGTATCATATAAACTCATTGAACATTATTCACATAGGGGTTTTCATTTGTTCCTGTCAAGGTAAAACTCAAATAGGGGTTGCTGTATTTCAAATTTGATAGACTGTCACTTAAAGGGGCAACAAGGACTGTAGAGAGAAAATTCACAATTTTTTTTACTTTTTCTGAGCTATCAGGGCAACATTTGGCTTAAAATTTTCTTTGACATACCTATTTTCTTAAAATGTATGGATAAACTATCAATTTCAGCATTAAGAAGTGTAAATTTAGTTCAAAGCTTCTATAAAGGGAGTCCCACTTATAGATTTTAACAATCCACCTTTCAAGAGGAATATCAGCTGATATAATGTTCATCCAGGGGGTTTCTTTGCAGATAATAAAAATATATGTTAGTCTTGATGAAGTATCCAAACTTCAATATATTTTGACACTAGTCGATGATCATTGAATAGCCCCTCCACACTTATTGTGCATAGCATAGCACTTTGTTCAAGAAGGTATTTTCTGTATGGCTGCTCATCTCAAAATGCACTTTTAAATGCTTTTAATATTGATCAATCAAAAAAAACATAAGACTTTAAGATAAGAAACACTTGACTTTTGTCCTCACTTCAGACACACCCATTAGTGTGTACTATATGAAACGTGTAATGGGAATTCCAACTCAAAGAACAAATGTACAGGGCGGCACAAAAATAAAAACATTTAATTTAAGAATCACTGCAAAATTGCTAATAATGATGGAATCTATTCATTTTGCCTTTGAAGTGTGCATATAGGGTATTCTGGAGAGTGTTTGACTCAGTGATTAGTTGTAACTATTATTAAAAGCAATGAGGTGATTTAATTTAAATATCAAAGGGCATAAAAATAGCATTTAATGTATTAATTTCTTATTTACTCACAGTATCTATTTATTTATAATACCACCTTTTTATTCAGTTATTCTGTTTTGCAGATTAATGTGTAATATATTTTATAATAGTTTATCTGAATAATATGTATGTCTCTCATTTTCAGATATGTGTACATTGGCAGTCTATGATTGAGCCCAGACTTATAAAGGACTAACAATACAGACAGGATCAGTTAATCACAAAACACGAAGAGGATTTTTTGACATTTTTAAGTTCAAGTACATAGCCTACCATAAACTTTTACAGGTGAAAATATGTCATTGCATTATCCCTATGTTCTGCACTAAAAGGTCATTGCCAATGGCGTTGCGTCATATACGCATAAAACGCCATGGCGTACTCTCAAAATTTAGAAAACAGTTGATTTTTTATATTGATTTGCCCCACACTTCAAAAATGGCTAATAATTTACATTCTATTCGTCCATAATAGTCGGAATTTCGTATTTCAAACGCCCCAGAACGCTTCAAATGCTATCTCATTTTCTTTTTCACTTTCTTTTTTTTCTTGGGGGGACCTCCCCCGGACCCCCCTCAAATCACGTCTATTTCGCTTACTCGCGGCGTACACTCACAAAATACCCACGCTACGCCACTGATTGCCATGTCATATTCAATATGAACAAGTTTGGTAACGTGGCAAACATTCCTTCAAGTTATGCATAAGTGATTTTGGGCCAAGTTGTCACATGTGAAGCCCACCCTTGGCAAAAGCTGGCTACGGGCCCATATGTCTACTTAATTTTCTAACATCACTTTTACTTCTAGTCTTGCTTCAAGCCCTTGAGTCCCCTCTTTAATATCATTAGAGAAAATTTAATTCTGAATAGAAGGGGATTCAAGGGTCATAAGGCTTTGAAAGACTAATACTTCTGTTAAATAAATAAATAAAACAGATCCTTGGACTATTCAAATTTTATATGTTCTTTCACAATTGTACTATACTACAGCATGAAATATGTCATCTCAACTCTATATGGGAGTTCTAATATTGTAATACATGTATATAATGGCTTAATAATACACCAAAAATTGACTAACATCATCATATCTTATTGTTTAGTTCTTTTTTAATCAAAATGAGGTTTTAACTCTTCTTATAACAGCTTTATATCAGATAAACACTTCAAGTACATTAGTATTCAAGACAGTTACTTAAGTATTTGAGACAGTGACATTAGTCCTCAAGACAGTTACATAAGTATTCGAGACAGTTACATTAGTATTCGAGACAGTGATATTAATCTTCAAAGACAGTGTCATTAGTCTTCGAGACAGTTATATTAGTATTCAAGACAGTCACATTAGTCTTCTAGACAGTTATATCAGTCTTCAAGACAGTTACATTAGTCTTCTAAACAGTTATATTAGTCTTCAAGACAGTTACATTAGTATTCGAGACAGTTACATAAGTCATGGAGACAGTTACATTACAGATTGCAGCACAATATATTTGTTCTGATAGAAAAAAGTTCTTCAGAGAGAAAAACATGTATAAAATTAAAACGTCAAAACGGTCAAATACTTGAAGAAAAAAATGTAAGTTCTTCGTTATTGAATATACAAGTCTCTGAAAATCTTCTTAAAATGAGACTTTGACAAGTTTTCGAAGTTATAGCAATTAAGCGTCCATTAGTTTGTAATCTTCCTTGTGTGTTAAAAGGACGTTTTCATTTGCAAAGGTCACTCCATCCTCTGATTCAGATTGACCTGGTGTGATTCCTGTGTGCCTGAAATTAGAAAATAATAAATGCATAACATGATATTTTAAATTGAATGTATAAATATGAATAAGTTCTGTACAAGTACAAGTAGGTCAATGTGACAGGCTCTAGGGTTTATATGTTTGGTTGCTAGTTTGAATAAGTATGTTTCAGCATTCATCAAGGAGTATAGTGATAATTTTGAAAAATGATGACTGGCAGTCGTGTGTGATGTTTTTTGGATGTTTAATGGTATTTGCTATGTCTTGGCATTGCCATGGATAATATCATACAATATGGGCAGTCTGGATGCAATATGAGTGTTGGCCTTTAATATTCTAGTGTGGGAGTGGTGTTGACCATTATAATTGTACAGCACAAATAATTTATTTCAAATCCTGCAGATAATGTTCACTAGAGAGTTTTTTCAGAATGGATAAAAACATTTCTGTATGAGTAGATGGAAAAATAATTTGAATATTTTTTGTAATTCTGCTAGGCTATAGAAAGACAAAAATAGGTAAAACAAAAATGAGATGTTTTTATATACCCCATAAACAAAGTAAGGGGTAAACCCTTGACTTTAACGTGTTTACAACTCACCTACTAAATAATTCATTCACATAATTCCTCACCCTGCTGCTCTTGAACCAGATTATGATACCTGTCACCAAAATTGTTAAAGCTGAAACATACAACATATTGTCAATACAGTATGGCTGGTTTGAAATGATACATTCAATGCTCTAAGGTTGGTACTTTTTTAATCACAAAACAAGCTGTATTGACATATACAATATCCTTCTTATATAGAAAATTAATTTTAATATCCCTAAAGTAAAAGTATTACATGTACAATGACATAGTTATGTATGTGAACTATTTCAATGATTTAAGCAGACCAGATCCTTAAAGCTGACATATCCATCTTTCAAATGGTAAATTGCATCATTTATTTTTCACTAGGTAGTGTATTTTGAGGCTCTTGTTTACAAACAACAAAGCTATATAATAAATATGTACTCTTATATTGGAGAATTGACATGTATTTTTTAAATGTCCATTAGCTTTATTTATTTATTGTTTAAGGGAGTGATAGGAATCTCCAAAATGTATTTATCTCCAATAAAGTGTTTGTACATTGCCAAGTTAGAATGACCTTCATGTGCATGTATGTTGGTAAAATCTTTGGTAGGTAAAAATGAAGACTAATCAAGTTAGATGAGGGTACATCATTCTGATTTATCAGAGTCCCTCTTTACCTAACGCTTTTGAGAGAACTATTCCAAAAGGATAGTAAAGGCTGTGGATCCCACAATGAGGGTACATATGTAATGTAGATACCTGTAGAAACAAATATTGTTTTCTTTCTGAAATACAAATATTTTTAATAAACACATTGTCAGGACCTAAAACGCAATAATTTAGCAGAACAAATTAATTTAAATGGTTTAATTGATTATTACTGTATGATTATGTAAAAAAGTCCTTACCTACTACCAGTACAATAATAATAATGTGTTCTTTCATGAACGTTATTGTCTCCTTTCTTGTATGTTCAATACTAGATATAGTAGTTGTTATATATTCTGTCTTCTCTTCTGTCTTTGCCTCTGGCGTTGCACCATCTGACTCTTTTATGCAATCGTAGAATACCTCCTCATAATCACCAAACTCTGGACGAGCAGGAATTGATCGGCAATCAACTAAGCCATTGCAGAAATCCCTCAGTTCTGTTAGCCGGGATTTAAATGAATTATCAGAGAAGTGTATCTGATGAGGCAGTTGGCTACTCCAGCTGTTTATGCCAATGATGTCCAGGCGTCTACCTTTTCTGCATACTAGGTGCAGGTGTTTGTAAACGGGTTTTCGAATGGACTTATGACATGTATGGCATACCTTTTCTACACATTTAGGACAGTTCACCTTTGGCATTGATTTTATTGTGCATTTATTTTTTCCATAGCAATCAAAAAGTTCAGGGCGCCATTCAGAAGAATTAATTTGCTCATCCACACAATCTGACTGGACGCATGCACGTTGTGACACTTTTCTCACATATATGTTCTCCTCATTTCTTCGACATCTGACAACAATTTCACCATCAGGTTTTACATTTTGACAGGTGTCAGAACCTGGAATGAATTATAAAAGCTTGTGAAGTCGAAAAGGAAATGCTTATAGGTCAATACAATGATGCTTTTTAGAGGTATCTCGTGATTAAAACAAGTACATAAAAACAAAACTTACTGAATATGAAATTCTTGGTGCTGTAACCTATGATGAATATCATAAACATAAGGAATGGTAATATACAAGCATTTTTACAATTGCTTCCCATGTTTGTAGGTATATGTTCCAACAAGACAATTACTGAAGAAGTAAGTTGTAGTTTTCCAGTAGTTTATCCAAAACTTAGGATCAGATCCTATGCTTTGGATGTAATTTCCCAATAAAATTCAGTTTTCCATGTTCCAAAAATCATTATTTCATCCTCTCTTGATTATCATTCTTTTAACTGCGCAGTTTATTTTTGGATATTAGTTTCGAAGAAATATGACATCATTTCTTTAAAGTACAAAGTAAATATTTATATACATAAGAATCATTCAAAAATAAAATCATGTGGCTAGTACTTGAACTTCAATCTTGCATTGTTTGCTCAAAACAGGTGTTCTTATTTATTTTTTAAATGATTATAGACATGTTACTCAATTCTAAATCTTCTAAATCACATTGGAATTTAGTCCAAATTCATATCTTATTTTCATGTCAATTTTTTAAATATCAGAATTAAGCAGAAGAATATTTTTTAATCTGGCTTACAACCATAAGAGCTGTTGAAGACATTTTGAAAAATTGAAATTTAACACATACTGACATTTCAATAGAATTTGGTACGCTAGCTCTGAATAGCATGTGACTGAAACTAAAACTGAAACCAAAACTACTGAAACTGAAACTTTGTATGTTAGCACAGTTAAATCTCTTGCATTAATTTTTAAGAGGTCTTTAAAAAATTATTGAATGAAAGTTTTTACAAGTTTCCAGAAACTAGGATAACCAGAACAACGGCAACGCCAAAGCATAGCGAATCCAATCGAACAGAAATGGCTGGCATTTTTACAAACAAAATATATAGCAAATATCGTAAAATAACACCCATAAGAAAGGCCACCATTTTCAAAATGGAGACAAGAAGTACAAGAAGTAATATGCTTCTAAGTTAGCCACATATAAAATTTTTAAAATATCGCACACATTTACATGTAAATGCTGGCCATTTCTTAAAATGGAAGCCTACTACCCAAATTGTCATAAGACAGGATGCAATTCTTACGAGTATTCACATATTAAATATGAACAAAATCGCTCTATTACTTTTTGAATTATAATAAAAAATGTAAAATAACACACTTAAAAAATGGTGGGCATTTTTCAAAATGGCCGACTACTCCCCAAAGTTTTATTAGACAATGTGCCATGCTTAAAGTATTCACATATCAAATATGAACAAAATCGCTCCAATACTTTTCGAGTTATAGTAAAAAATGTTAAAATGACAGTCATTTTTTAAAATGGCCTCCTACTACGCAAAGTGTCATGAGACAGTGTGGAAGGCTCATTAGTATTCACATATCAAATATGAACAAAATCGCTCTACTACTTTTTGAGTTAGAGTAAAAAATGTAAAATAACACATGTAAAAATGGCGGCCATTTTTCAAAATGGCCGCCTACAACCCAAAATGTCATTAAACATTGGGCCATGCTTAAGTATTCACATAGCGAATATGAACAAAATCGCTCCACTACTTTTTGACTTCCAGTAAAAAATGTTAAGTAACACGCGTAAAAATGCTACATGCTACTAAAAATGTCATTAAACATTATTAAATAATGTTGACATGATATCCCTACATGCATTCATAATTTTTCGAATTGTTCGATTGATATTTCTATTATCCTTAAGAATTTACTTGAAAGATAACATATTGTGTTAATGAGAAATTGAGAAAGTACTCATGGTAAAAGATATGGCTGTCTAAAATCACTTGCCATATTATACCTGGTCCTTTGAGATTTACTTAAGTTGGTTGAGTTGACTAAAGGTTGAGTTCACTTGGGGTTGAGTAAACCAGTTACCTTGGTCTAGTAGGTCATTTCAGTATTGTTATGGAGGAGAGTAATTACTTGTAACTTCTTCATATTAAGGTGCCAGGTCTAGTAGTGTTGCATCCATTTGTTGATTCTTCAAAACCAAAGCCATCAAGAGCAAGGCTCAAGAACTGCTCCTATTTCTCTCATCTCGTCTGAGCGTGATGGGATGTACAAATGTATACTAATATCTCTCAATATTGGCATAGGGGCATAGTTAAGAAACCTGCACCCTGCTTTAACATAGTTGTCATGTGTGCCATCCTTTGTCTTGGGCTTCTCACATTAGGTTCTGAAACAGGGTGGTCAAAAAATGGAAACCCTGCATTCTCCTTATAGTCCATGGTATGAAATCTCTAGGACGTCTAATCAAGGAGCTGGTAGCACACTATAGCGCAGCGATATTTGACCTTACATTAACATACCTACATATGTTCCCAAATGATTTTTATTATAACCGTTCAATATACTTCCGGCTTTTAGGCTTAATTATGCCTGCCATTAACAGAGGTAAAAAAATCACCAAAAAATAAAATCCCAATTTTTCACAATTTGGAGTACACAATGCAACAGAAAATAATACAAAATAATCTTGAATATAAGATTTAGGTTTCTAAGCTATAAGTTTGAGGTTAATTTTCTTATCAATACCCAAAAATATGTAATCAGTGTATCAACATTTTGTATTGTTTCTCAGGCATTAATAAGATAAATGCTACAAATGAATCACTTTTATATTGGAATGACAAATGCTTAGATTATGCTAGTTTTTCACAAAATGGGTCTCAATACGTTTTGAGATACTATAGTATGCACTTTTATTCAGCGGTGAAAATTGACAATAAAGGAGGGCCTATTGCTCTAAAATTCTATTTCCCTTAGATATAGGTCAGTTGCTTGTAAAACAACCATCAAGATTTGATCAAATTCATGAATAATTGAGAAAAATCGTTATCATTATCTTCCTAAAATTTGATTATATCCAGCGGTAAGGTCAAAGAAGAAACATCCATCAGAAAACTTGATGGTAACGTCGAGGAAGAATTGTAAGGCATTCGATTGCATATGACTCTAATTGATTATTAGACATGCCCTTGGAATATATGAACATTCCGATACCTCTGTAACATTTAATTAGATATAAATCTTACCTATTTGTTATTGTATTATGTTTTATAAAACATGAACAATAATTTGTTGTTAGACCCCTTGCGATTATATGGAAAAATTCTGGTAATAAAATGTTCTAAATAGTAAGAAAACTAATATATTTCCAATCATAATTACCTAAATATTCCACATAATTTTGTTGAATCGGCTTGGCTCATATTGGAAAAATCAAACAAAATCTGAAAAACACACTTGCACAATTACACTAATTAAACACCGACATCTACAGTAAAACTAAATAGTATATTTTTAAATTATGATAATCTATTTTTGTTCGTATGCTTAGAATAATGGTCTGCGTCATATAAAAGTTCGATCAAAATATTTACGTTTTTTGACCCCCTGTGATGAAAGACATTTTTCGACCCGAAAGCCGGAAGTTTTTTCAGCAAATGGTATTTTAAAAGAATCAAGACATATACACCTTCATAAATATTGCTTCAAATGTTGCTGCGCTATAATGTGCTACAGATCCTTCATATTCGGAAGTCATACCATGGACTATTATACCTTTGTCATTTAAGGGAATTACTACCTGATAGTTGGCACATGTGTACATCATTCAATATCCTACTATCCTACTATACAAGTATTTCATAACCATCAGACTAGAGGTGTCAAGTATTAACCGGTTAACCGGTTAACCGCCGATAGTGCCTTGACCAGTCTGAGTTTTTATGGGCGGTTAGTTGACCGTGTATAATTCTGTTATTTCCCGCGCTTATTTTGCATGCTAATCCGTTTGGTTTTATGGTGTCAGTTTCACGTAAGCTACTCATACATGTCATAAGTCCCATAACTCCTTACAAACATCCAATCAGCAACTTTAATCCCTGCCACATTGCTTTCCCGCGCTTACTTTGCATTTTAATCTGTTTGTTTTTCAAGCGTCAGTTTCATGTGAGCTACTCATACATGTGATAGGTCCGATAATTCCTTACAAACATCCAATCAGCAACTTTAATCCCTGCCACATTGCTTTCCCGCGCTTACTAACATAGAATAGCGTAAAGCTTGACGAATGTAAAAAATAAACGCCGATATATCATTTTTCCAATTTTTTTCAACTTTCAAGATCGAAGATGAAGATTTCATTTGAAATTATAGGTTCAAATTTCCCGCCGGTTAACCGACTTTAACCGGTAAAAACCCCCGGTTAACCGGTTAATGCTCAAGCGGTTAATTGACACCACTACATCAGACTGATGATCACAATGTGACCGTTTTTTAAACAACATGCTCCATGTGTGACCATCATCGCTGTTAGCACACTTCATCCAAAGTTGTAAACGACCCGACTGCATTTCTCAGCAGGTATGGCTTGAATGACACACATTTGAGGTTTGCAATTCTCCTGGGGTCGTTTTCATACACTATATCTTTGGCTTATTGGTAGAGGTCAGGTAGGGACATTTGCCAGTTTACCTACAGCGCGATATTCGCCACTTGAGCATGTTACTTAAAGTGCTTTGACATTGTGACTATCTGTCTGATGAACATGAATGATGCGAAGAATCTTTAAACCAATCAGTGAAGTCTATATTAATTGTTTGTTTAGTTGTTGATGTGGCAATACATGTCTGACGTCACAGGTGATTGCGTCATATTCCAGTCACGCCATTATACGACATTGCATAACTTAAGCTGATTTTGGCTTCACTTCACTTTATTTGAAAGACTTTAAAAAATATAGTAATGAGTCAGTATTTTATAGGCACTTGAATGATGTACAAATGTGCCAAATATCAGGGAGTAAATCCCAAGATTGAAAAAGATACGAGTAAAATAGCGGCAGAGTTTCCATTTTGTTTTCATATTCTATATGATATATTTAGGTCTGGTATATACATGTATTTTTTTATTTTAATTCTAGAAGGGTAGACCTTCATGGATGTGAATCAAACAGTGATTTCTTGAAGCAAAATATGGTTCTTTAACTACAGCAATGAATAGAGTGACACTAGAAACATTTTCTATGATGAAGATCCTTTGTATTTTTCAAATGTTTCCATATATCAAGAGTCAGTCAATATAAAGTGTCCTTTCTGTGTGGCTTGGATCAATAGGGGTGAAATGTTTGTTTTGTAGCCTGCAGCAACCTCTAAAAGATTCAGTATCTGTCTTGTAACACTAATTCTGTCTTGTTCAATCTGAAAGTAAAACATAGATGATTGTAAATGTATTTATCTCAATGTTATTGTAAGGTGTTATGTAACATCACATGATTGCGTTGTTACAAGGCATTAACATGCAAAATGTTACCACCTGCCATTTGTTACAGACAGTGACAACCGAACACTGTCCTTAAAAAAGTTGAAGACTATAAGCATATGTCACTTCTTGTAGTGCATCCAAGTTATTCGATAACTTGTAAAATAAAATACAACATAATATTCATATTAGTGTTTTTCAATGTACACAAATGCCTATGATGAAATGCACGCTCTTAAATTAATATTTAGTTATCAGGGGTTCACAGTCCCCGGTTTCTGTGTTATACCACCATATAAAGTATTATGTCTGAATAACAGGATTTTACTAATTAAAATAAGAGACTTAACCCATATTACAGAGGCCATTATCCTTTAGATACTATTTGATTAATAATGGACATACCTTTACATCCCCATATAACATTGGTGAGTTGTAGGAATCCCTTAGTGATATCAAAGCATCTGTATCCATAGCAACAGGACTGTCATAGCTCTCTGGAATATAAAGTAATATGATAAACATGACCATAGGACACTGGTCCACAGCAGTATCATCCAATATTGAAGACAAATCGATAAACTTTCGATTTCAGCTAAACCAAGCAACAACTAGAATTCAAACATTTTTTCATGCAACTTATTAAAGCTCCTGTTAAGAACTCCAAAGAAATACTCAAACATCATCGAAAAATCATACAGACCTTTTCACATGTTCTGATAATAATCTGACAATCGAACTTTAATAGTTTTGTGTTAACAAGAAAAGTTTGGAAGGTGCAAATAATTTATCAAAATATCTAGTTAGCCAATACGGCATATATGACATCTATGTAAAACAACAGTCAGTTTGCTAGTAAAATTGTTGTGAAATAAACATATATTCTGTGATAACTTGTAAATTTAAACTACACAGTTGCCATCTATAAACACTCTAGATTACAGATATGTACAAGTTGTAACTTGCTTAATATGTCAATTTGGGCATTGTGAAATAATTACACAATAAAATCAACAATTCTCAATATTTTGATGAAGTGTGACCTACAGTCTATGGACGTATAAAGAAAAAGTAAATATAGGGTTGTAATGAAGAATGTAAAAAGCACCAAAAAGTCAAAACTGAAAGTCAACAATGTCAAATTAACCAAGATGAACACCTTAATCAATCAGTGATCATGCAATCAAATAAGCAAACAGACCAGCAATCAAGCAAACAAACAGAAAACAAAACAGAAGAATGACCAGTAGTCTCAGAACTTACCTCTTTTCACCACAAAGCAGACTCTCCCCATGAAATAATGTACATCCAATGCAGTCACTGCATTCTCCACAAGGCCGATGCTGGAAATATAATATATGAATCCTTATGAAATATTGTACATCCAATGCAGTCACTGCATTCTCCACAAGGCCAATGCTGGAAATATAATATAAGAATCCTTATGAAATTTTGTACATCCAATGCAGTCACTGCATTCTCCACAAGGCAAATGCTGGAAATATAATATATGAATCCTTACGAAATAATGTACATCCAATGCAGTCACTGCATTCTCCACAAGGCCAATGCTGGAAATATAATATATGAATCCTTATGAAATATTGTAAATCAATGCAGTCACTGCATTCTCCACAAGCCAAATGCTGGAAATAGAATACATGAATCCTTATGAAATAATGTACATCCAATGCAGTCACTGCATTCTCCACAAGGCCAATGCTGGAAATATAATATATGAATCCTTATGAAATAATGTACATCCAATGCATTTACTGCATTCTCCACAAGGCCAATGCTGGAAATATAATATAAGAATCCTTATGAAATAGTGTACATCCAATGCAGTTACTGCATTCTCCACAAGGCCAATGCTGGAAATATAATATATGAATCCTTATGAAATAGTGTACATCCAATGCAGTTACTGCATTCTCTACAAGGCCGATGCTGGAAATATAATATATGAATCCTTATGAAATAGTGTACATCCATTGCAGTTACTGCATTCTCCACAAGCCCTATGCTGAAAATATAATATGGATATTGTGTAGATCTTATGATAAGCATATAACCAAATAAAGAGATAACTACTACAATGTGCCAAAAGAAAAATAAAGGAACACAGTCTTCTCATATTAATTACTTATTTATTTGTTTTTCGTGTGAGTAAAAAAGAATAACTTTGTCAATTCTTTCAACCATTTTTATTGGTGCTTCATCTATACATACTTAATATTTTTAGGAATACAGTAAAACTTGTGTATAATGAACATTTTTTTGCCAAGAAAAAACGTTCACTGTAGGTAGGTGTTCACTAGAGAGAGGGTAATTTTGCAGAAGTCAGTGGACTATGTGCGTAGGAAGGGTGTCCACTAGGGACAGGAATTCACTAGAGAGAGGTGTTCACTAAGACAGGTTTTACTGTACAATAAAAAATGATTACAACCATTGAGAACAAAGATAACAGGAACACATGTGCCTATCTGAAAGCTTATCTGAATTTAAAAGCTGGTTGTTAAAAGTTATAACATAAAAATACATTAGAAACTTGTTTTTATAAAATATGACGCCTTCTCTGCTTAGTAAGTGATTTTCACCTCATTCCACTTAAAATCTGATTGCAGATTTGACTACATGTTTTATGTAATATATAAATCAGATAATCTGCATCAAACATTTCATAATTTAAGAATTGGTTTTGATCAAACTTTGATTAAAGGATGATTCTCGGTTTGGAGAACAGCTCCTGGGCTAATAATTTTTTTCATGAAAAATATAGAAATATTACCCAAATTAAACTATGAATATTCAAAAGAGGACATTTAAATCTACAAGATGTAAAAATAACAAATTGGTCAGAAGCAGGGATAACGCTCAATTAGACCGATTCAATAAAATACAAGTCTGTTTTGGGGAAAGAAGTTCATCAGTGTACTAAATCTAGAAATATTACCCAAATAAAATTATGACTATTCAAAAGAATACATTCAAATCTATATTATGTAAAAAAATCAAATTTGTCCGAAGCAGGGATAATGCTCATTTAGATTGATGCACTTTGTTCTCCAAACCGAGAATCGTCCTTTAGTGTTCCTATTTCTGTATCCCGATAGACAATTTTACTCTTTTAGTGCTGATCTTGATGGCCCTTATAAATAACTGTTATGGCCATTCATGGGAGTTTGGATTTGAAATATTAATGCCATTTTTTATAAAGATATAAATTTTATGACTGAGCAAAGACTATCTCTTTCTCAAAGAGTGTGAAGTGGATTTCTTTTCAAATTGTGAAAGTTGTGAAATACAGGTGCTCACATTTCAAGTTTTTTTAAAAATGGGAGTTGATGGGAGATAACTAAATTGGGACCAAAAAAGTGATCACATTGAGAGGTGTTTAGATAAGAGGGGTGTTCAGATTAGAGAGGTGTTCAGATAAGAGAGGTGTTTGGATATACAGGTTTCACTGTAGTTACCTTGTGAAGTTTATTAGCATGATTCTTCAAATACACTTTTTATTTTCAGATAAAGTCATTGTCATCCTGAGCATTGCAGCTATAGTAGTAGTGGCTTTAAATGTATATTTTGCACACAAGCAGAATGACCAATATGTAGAAACAACAAAAAACACCAAACCAAAAACAGTTGATCAACCACCTACTATTCAAGTATCTAGTATTCAGGGAAATGAAAAAGCAGATGACCGAACTGAAATAAATCATAACAACAACAAAAGGAAACACCGGGCCATAAAAGAAAAATTCCCACCTTATTTCCCTGAGAAGCCTGACAAGGTGCAAGGCAATCAATTTGACAACAAGTATATCGTCATACAAAATGGTTTTGAATATGTCAATGGCAACCCAGAGGGCAACCATGGGGATGGATATGATTATCCCGACGAAAGAGAGGACTTTGGCTTATCAGGCTATGACTTCAATGGTGGGTTACAAGAACAAATTGATTTATTGCAAAATTATCCAGATATGAGGCGAAGGCACAACCAACCGCAAAACTACCTTTTTCTCAAAAATAATTTGAGGAACCAACACAAATCAGAAAATAGAAATGAACCTAAAAGTGGTTTTAAAAATTAAATATGACAATTTTACAGAATGGAGATTCCAACACGACCATGTCCTAGCTAAATCAACTCTATGCCTCCATGTTCTGCCCATGGACATATTGTATGTGCAAATGCAATTGAGAGCTCATATGAAATTTAAAGCTTTTACCTATAAAACTTTAAGTTACTAAGAGGTCTTACATGTGATCCCATTGTGATTATGACTACAAATTAGTCTTACAATTGATTACAAAGAGATCTAAACTACAAAGTATTTTAACCTACAAAGTAACCTTACTTACAAAGTGAGTTTACATTGAATTATATCTTACATAGTGATCTTAACCTTTATACAGTAATATACCTATAAAGTGATCTCACATACAAAGTGATCTAACATGTATAAAGTGATGGCATATTTAAAGTGATATCAACTGTAAAGTGATTTTATACAAAGTGATCTTCCCTACAATGTGATCTTATATACAGAATGGTCTTACCTGCTCCTTACATTGAGATCTATCATAAAGACAACAAGGTCAATCTTTGGCCTCTCATTACTACCAGTAAGAGGAGGGAGAGGCAACTCATTAGCAGTGCGGCTAAAATAAAAACACAAATATACTAATATTTTTTCATTATTCTTGCGGGGTTAGAAAAATAAGTCATGTTCCCCCATATATCGGCAGATGTTGTTGAAACGTTATGCAGTTAAAAATTAACACATAATTGACCTAAACAGGCTTACTCTAAAGATTGAAATGAGTGACTCAACTCACATAATGTGAAGCAGAAATTGACATTCTATTAGCTTGAAGCAGCTGGACCTCTCAATAACTTCCCCAATAAATAAATTTGTATCTAGGCCTATACCAAATACTATACATGTTTTGAACTTAATTCTGCATTACATGTACATGTAGTTGTATCCATTCAGAAAGAAACACCATGATGACTAATATTGAATTTAACATGTTGCCATCTTTTAACCTTCACTTACATTTGGACAGAATATGGGGTTGGTATTCCCAGTAAGGACTTTGCCAGTTCATGCTTCCCTACTCCATGTGTTCCAACTATCTGAAACAGATAAGAGTCAAACTTGAGACAAATGTACAAGGTATCCTGGAAGTATGGGACCCCCTTCCTAGGCAGACATATTCCAATGTATCCATAGTATGTCAATGTGTCATATATCATTTTAAGGCTTCTTACATTGATTTACAAGTATCATGGTTCAACTCACAAATGGGAAAAAGTTACAGGCATTTCAAAACTTAATGTTTAGCCAAAACTGAAGTTCAGTTCAGTGTCCCTGACTTGAATGAGACCAAAAATATCGTCAAAAATAAGATGGATATTGAATTGGAAAAAGAGGACAGTAAGGGCAGATACTCCTTAAAAGGTTTCTTGAGGGTTACAAAATGCCACACCCCTATTTGAAGCTTGTTTTAGGTCATATCTTTAAGGTGCTGAAAAGGTTTTTTCATCATGTTTAGGGTCATTCTGACCATGTACATTGTGATCATGATCATGTAAATGATATGTGGAAATAGTTAAATTGACTGGAGGTCAAAACAAAACTCTGTTATCTTTGTTCAAAAAATGTCTAAAAATGCATAATTTTTTGTCACTTCCTGTTTCGTCATTTCCTGTAAAGTATCATGGCACCTTAAAGGTGCAACAAGTAGTGCAGAGGGCCCATTCAACGATCATGGACCAGTGTCAAAATATATTTAAGTTTGGATATTTCATCAAGACTAACATCTACTATCCATACATTTTAAGAAAATAGGTATGTCGAAGAAGACGTTAAGCCAACTGTTGCCTTGATAGCTTAGAAAAAGTTAAAATTTTCCTATTTTCTCTCTACAAGCTTTATTGCCCCTTTAATTTGTCAAAGTCTGATACTGAAACATGGTTTACTTGCACCTTAAAGAATTGCTGCTGCTAACACCAATCATTATTGTTCGTCATGTATAGCATTCCTTGTAAAAGGTCAATTGGTCTTATTTACATTTGCTTAGTACTTGGCTTTGTAATTTGTATCATAAATAACATTATTATTCCATTGAGTTAAAGCACTGGAAAGGAATTGGAAGCGAGGGAGGTTTTGCCTCATATCAAAATGGCCGCAATGAAAATGAGCATTTGGTATGATTTCTTCTTTTCACGATTTAGGTGCTTTTGTCCTCCAAATTACAAGTAAATATTTGATGTTCTTCTCCCGAAATATATACAATAATCAGAAAAATGTGTATTTGCTGGCCTGACTTCAATTTCTTCATCAAACGTGTGACAAATATGCAAATTGTGGACAGCTGACATCGATTGTCATTGACATTGTTGGTTACTGACGCTGGAAGAATACGTAATAGCCATAGATCTCATACATCTACAGTTATAAAGTAACTTCAGGATGTGAATATTCTTTCAGGTTCGGTCACCCGGTGAATGTTAGGACTTGATACAGGTTCCTGTTCCTGTGGAATTTTTAGTATACAGGGTGTTCCATATGTTTCAGGAATGATGCTGTGTTTTATTGATTTTCTTTTCAATCTAACTGAATTTTTGACACAATGTGTCTAAACATGTTTTGAATAAGTTGAGAAAGTTTCATATCGTGAAGTTCAGTAGTCTTAATTCTATGGTTGCTATAGTAACCTAGGGGTAGGGTAGGTGGAGCAGGTGTAACAACGCCCAAATATATGAAAAATTGGTAAAAAATAGATTTTTTGTATGAAGTGTGGCCAAGTATTAGGTTGTCAGAGTTGGATCAAACTTGTCAGTAATTAAACAAAAATGAAGGTGGATTCCCAGAAAGTAAATAAAATGTCACCACCCTTGATCACATCACAATTTAAACACCTGTCAAGTCATGAGTCACAAAGGAGAATAAACACAGGTAATTTTGGATGAGCAGCCATCTTGAAAAAGTCATTAGCAAAGGAAAACCTTCGACTTAGGCAACACACAACAATCTGTGACAAGACATCACATGTGTGAATAACAGCAGACACAATTAAACTCCTAATGAAACCACATGGGGACTCAATGATGGTAACCTCTAGAGTGTATGAGTGGTACAAGTGGTTCAAATCTGGAAGGGAAACTGAGACCGATTATCCAAAATGTTGACATCCGAGAACAGTGAGAGCGCTAACTAATGCGGAAGGGATAGATGCTGAAATAATGATGATGGCTAATGAAGGGTGTGATAACATTTTTAATTTCCAGGAATCCACCTTTATTCTTTTTAATTTCCAACAAGTTTGATGCAACTATGACAAATTAATACTTTGAACACTTTATACAAAAACTACTACTTTTACAAAAATGTCATGTTTTGCGCGTTGTTACACCTGCTCCACCTACCCTACCCCTAGGTTACTATAGCAACCATATTATTCAGTCTATTGAGTTTCATGATATAAGTTTATAAGTTTATAAGTAATTTTCCGTCCTAGGCAGACATTGCCTGTATGACAGTTCTGATACTTTTTGAAACTAACGTAGCTTGGGGGCTACTTGTACGCCAGCAATTTCGTAATTGAATTTTAAAGAATGGTGATACCAATGTGCATCTAGGCGGTTCTTGAACTGGTTGACATGGACTGACTGCACTACGTACTCTGGGAGACTGTTCCAATTGTTTGTTACCCTGTGGCTGAAAGTGTTTTGTCTCATTGAGGTTTTGCAGTTGGCTTTTAGGAGTGGTTGGGAATTTCCTCTTCTATTGTGTGTTTCTCTTGCTTGGAAATTAGGTAATGTTGCTGTTGTGTTGACATCATAGTATGAGTTGATGTATTTGAACGTCTCTATCATATCACCACGTAGTCGAAATGAAATTTTTCCAACTTATTCACAACATATTTGGACACATTTTGTCAAAAAATCAGCTAGATTGAAAAGAAAACCAATAAAATACAGCATCATTCCTGAAACATATGGAACACCCTGTATCTATGCCTATACACACTCTATTATCGCCCACTAAAAAACAAAAATTATTCAGTTTTACTTTCTGTCTTCATTTTACTAAATGCGTTGTGGAATATAGTGAAAATAATATTCTCCGGATTCTTTCTGCTTTCAAATATGTAGAAAAACAGGAATTACTTACAAGCACAGTTGTAGTGTTCAAACTAGGGACTTTACTGAAAGGAGAAATCGCGGAAGACATTTCAAAAATTCCGCAAAATCTCACTCAACAGAGGGCGCATCAGTATCGAGAAGAAAGGAAACATGGCGGACGCAGCTGAAGGAAAATTGGTGAAAATGGAGGTGGACTACAGCTCCACTATGGATGAAAAGCTGCCAAAATGTGAGCAGTTAGTGAAGGTAATGTATAAACACTATTTTGAATCCACATTTGTACTTCAAATACTTCTAGTTTCGAGGAAAATAATCATTGACTCCGATGTGTTTTTGCAAGTCACCGGCATCAAAATTGAAAAAATAAAAATTGTGAACAAGTCACCTATTTTATCAGAAAGGCGTTTATTTCATAAGTACATATGAACTTTGGATAACTTGTTATATTGAGTTGAAAGTAATTTACCATTTTTGAAGGAATTTATTCGGAAATTTTAAGAAAAAAGATCCTCTATTAGAGCTCTATCGCCCACATCAACCAAGCCACTGATCATTAGCCGAGGCCTATTAGTAATTACCCAGATAAATGTGGGTTTGATTTTTCACCTCCACAACTGTTTGTGCATTGAAATTCATTCTTGTTTAGTTTATCTAGTTCCAATTCCATTCTGGTCTTGGGAGGGTTCAATAGAAATTCAGGTTAGATTTCAAAAGTCTAAAGAAACTGTGCCAGTATTTCAAAATGTCCGGCATCATTGAAACTTTGGAAATTATTTCTGAGTGCATTGCGAATTACCGAATCACCGAATCGAGGCCTTACATATCCAGTATTAGAGTCCATTTCACTGCTTCATTTCGTCAGTAGAACGGCAAAAATAAGAAATTGGGAGACCATTGTGCAATAATATATGGAAAAGTATGTTCATAATGTACATGAATGACATTTGTATATTTCAGATTTTTTAGTTTTTTGTGCAATAAGCCTGTGCCGTCTTGTAATTTGAAGAATTTCAGCCATGTTAATCTTATTGAAAATAACATGGCAGAGAAACATCCAAATATAAGAGGCCACACACTTTATAAGCCAAACTAGAAGCAATCCAAGATATACAAATGTCATTCATGTACATTATGAATATACTTTTCCATATATTATTGCACAATGGTCTCCCAATTTCTTATATTTGCCGTTCTACTGACGAAATGAAGCAGTGAAATGGACTCTAGTAACCAGATGTGTAAGTCCTCAGTTCGGTTTATCTTATTCTAAGTCCATGTAAACATGGTACGCTGATCATGAAACCCTATTTGCTTTCTATCTTTACGCTGCCTCTAATGGACGATTGCTATTCTTCAACTGAAATATAATCCACATACACTGTACCTTCATTGAGTAAAGTTGGATGTTCTTACTACTTTTTTCAAGGCCTGACTGCGTCGCTAATATGCTAAATATAAGAGTTAGCTGACGTTTGGGAGTCTTAATGAAACCATATCACCTTTGTTGCGTCGATGATGATGCATAAACATAGCATTTGATAGAAATTAGCGTAAATGCTTTTCCGACTTTTTCATTTTTCATCAATGTTGACTTCCGGGAAGGCGTTGTAGTTATCACGAAATAACGCATTGACCCTTGAACTTTACTTTGTTGACGTGTCAACCAAGCATGTCTGGTGTGAAAATTAAAAGAATATTAAGCAATGTTCTACATCCGCCAAGCTAAGTGAAGTAGTCAATATTTAAAATTACCAATTTCAAGTGAAGTACGCAACGAACGAAACTGCGTGATCTACACTCCCACTATTGGTCTGAATGAAATGCTACATAGAAATATGAGCCGTCTGCTGTATTAGTCGATTAATAGAGTAAGACCTGTTGGTGATGCTTTATAATTTAGACCAAAACATTGAAGAACAAACGAACCTGTAAATCGTGAAAACAACGAACAAATATTCGGTTTTCACATATGTTCGGTAATTTTTCTTATTGAAACTTCTGGAACTTACAAGGAAATCATTCATTTTCTCGATCCATGATTTACCTCTTGGATGTTGTGGCAAATGCTCCATGGTTGACGGAACAAAGGTGATATGGTTTCATTAAGATTCGGGTTCTAACCTTTAGAAGGTAAGTCAGACTCCCAAACGTCAGCTAACTCTTATATTTAGCATGTTAGCGACGCAGTCAGGCCTTGAAAAAAGTAGTAATGCAGGTATACTGTGCATTGAATGAATTTTGGTCTGTAAAAAGTATATGGGATCCGATTGGCTTTCTAGAAAGAACGAATTTGCCCGTATCTTCCATATAATCATCCTCATGACATGTAATTTATTTTCTAGGATGGTAAGCTTAGTGAAGCTATTGATACCCTTCTAGCCCTTGAAAAACAGACCAGAACTGTAAGTATAATTATATCTGACATTAATTTATGTAATCAGCTTAATCTCTACATTTTACCTTTATCTGTAAAGAGGTCATTGCATGTGTAATATGCTTTAACTAAAAAGTAATACATCCTCAAAGAACAAAAATTCTAAAATGTTTCACTAAAAATTGCCAGGAGATGACTTTAAAATAATGATAAATTCTCAGAAATGTCTTGTTATATTAGATTATATCAACAATGATTGAATCATACTTCATTTTAAATACAACGTTTTACAATTATGATAAAATCAAGTCTAATAAATAAGTCATATAACATGAAAATCTTGTACTTCAGGCTGCTGACATGCATTCCACATCCAGGATTTTGGTTGCCGTGGTGAAGTTTTGTTTCCAATGTAATGAATGGAATGCTCTCAATGAGAATATCATTCTGCTTACTAAAAGGAGAGGACAACTCAAACAGGTACATTTATTAGTACAAAATCAATGCTAAGTGAGTGCTAAAATGACTGCAGAATTTGGATAAAATGCGATTTTTTGTTTGAAGGTGTTGTGTGGAAAATTCGAGATGAAAAAAATCTCATTTGAAATTCTCAAACAAACAAAATATAAAAAACATAAAAATAAAATTCTTTCTAATCCATGCTTACATAATTTTTCAAGAACAAAGATACACTTCAATCAGTAAAGATAATGAAATGTGAAATACAAGCTTTTTAGACTGAATATTAAGAAAACAAAGTCTCTAGATCCCATGATAATTGGAGATGTTTACTTAATGTGTTCTTACATGTCTTATTTATCATTATAAATTACAGGCTGTTACCAAGATGGTACAAGAGGCTTATACATACATTGACAAAACACCTGACATGGAAACAAAACTGAAGCTTATAGACACATTGAGAACAGTCACTGCAGGGAAGGTAGGATTTTACTTGTGTCATTAATTATTAATTAAGGAATAAACACCAAGATTTTATGATTTATGGCGTAATATATGACCAAAAAATTTATTCTGTTCATTGTTAAAAGACCCAAATCAAGTAGCGATTGAGGTATTTGGTAATGGCCAGAATAAAATTTGAGGTTATATATGACATAAGTCATAAAATCGTGGTCTTTGTTATGATTCTAATATGATAAACAGACAAGCAACACAACTATTTGCATTTATGAATTTTAGTGGTCATACATACTCCAATATAGACCAGAAAATCAATTGTTCTAGCTATTGTGACGTCACATATCATATTAGAATTAATTTTAGAATGTTTGATTATAGTAATGATCATTTTTAAAAATAGTCTTCTGAGAAGTATTTGTACCCATTTTTGCTGTGAATATAATCTCTCTGAATTTGATTGAACTAGCTGCTACAATATTATTCAAAACAGGATTGAGCCCTTCAAATAGTTTTTGAAAGTGATGGCCTATATCTTATCTGTAGTCATCCTAATGTTTATATTTTCAAAATTGTAAAGTTGCTGATCTATGGGTCAGTTGTCTATTTTGAAAAGAATGTACTGTCAAAATTGGAGAAAAATTATTGACTTGCATTTTTTACATTTCTGTGACAAAATAAACTTTTTCCGTACTTTTATGAAGATATTGACCCTTATTTTGCAGATCAGTATTACTCAAATATATGCTTCAGAGAAAAAGTGCCATCTTTTTATCTGTTCGAGAAACTAGAATATATTGGCTAGATGTATGATCTCATAGGTTTTAATTTTTTTAAATTAGCAAGAAATTAATACTATTTTTGCATGGACAGATTGCTACCTACAATCAATGAAATCATCAATCTGGCCAATATATTATAGTTTCTCTGATAGATCAAAAGATGGCACAGTTAATTGATAATGTCAATTGTATAGATATTGAATTCGGTCTTTGACAGAAACTTTTGTGCAAATCACAATTCATGGCTGGTCTCCTCCCTATACTACAATACTCATGTTTTTGAAAAAGGAAATTGACTCGAAATATTTTTTATTATTCCAATATTGAAGATCTATGTTGAGATCGAGAGAGCAAGATTGACAAGGATCCTAGCAAAGATCAAAGAAGATGCTGGGGAGATCGAAGAAGCTGCCAATGTTCTCCAGGAACTTCAGGTAATGAGACCTTTAAATAAGAAGTAACTTTTTCAACTAAATAAATAGCAGCCAAAATTTCAAAATTCGCCCAGTCCACCAAATTAAAGCAATTTACAGTTCTCAAATATCACACTCTTAGCAGGATGAAACCTAATCTTTTACTTCAGAGGTGCTGAATTTCACTAAATGCGATTTCCAATATTTGACTGGGATTTAATTTCGCCCCATTCTGCTGGATAAAAGAGAATGGGGATCAGTGCTTGAACTAAGCGTCGGTCCGTCGGTCATGACTGACAGATTCATAGAACGGACCAGCTGAGTTTAAAAACTGATGGTCAATTTGACCGGCATGGACACCATATCTCAGATTACCCCAACTTATGAATGTCCGGCACAAAAACGAAGTAGCTTCTTTAAGTACAATTTGCTTACCTTGAATACAATGATTCTGAATCATCAATTTGATGAAAAAGTTTACGAAATTTCATTTTTAGTTTCCTCTCCGTTTTCGCTAAAGCAAGTAATTTAACATGATATAATTCGAAGATTTTGATTGGTCTAAAATTAGTTTCTCGAGGAAACAGCTAGGGTATATGTCTCCAGGAATTTGATTGGCCGAAATACCGGAAGTATCAAAAAGGTGTCACTCCTGTAAATCATTGAAAAATATTGAAAAAAATCACAAAATTCAAGTTCTGGGGTACATATCGCCATTTTAGAACGAACTAGCCCATACAACGACTATATTTCTGCGTTCCCCTATACATAACCTTCATCTTGACACTATATTTAACATAGGGTTTGCGTCTCGATTTTTATATATCACTACGCCAACATAGGGACTCATTTTCAGGTAAAATCCCTGCTTCACCGATGAAAATTAACGAATAAAGTAGTTCCAGTTTACGGGACTATATTCTTGCGATTTTTTTCTTAAAATGGCACATTTAGAAAATACTTGGCCTCAGCTTTACATACATACCTCAAATGGCCACATTGCATACACTTAAACTTACTTTACACACCATTGAAGTTGGCATGGCTTCGTTTTTAAAGTATTAAAAACACTGTCCTACCAGGAAGTGCTATTTACCGGAGTGACACCAAAATGCCCAAAATTTTTTTAAATAGGAACTTTGCCTATACTTGATAAAAACAATAATACATGTAACTCTGATCATTCCGATTATGAGTCAGACTCAGATATTTCTTTCAGGGACAGTGATTCATACTCAGAAGATGAAATGGATCTAATGAAAGTCACAGCAGATCTTTAGTCAATATGAATATATGATGTAGAAAGGTGCTATAATATAAGAGTAGATTAAAATTCATGTTTTTATTCTTTTATTTTGATTAACAGTAAAATATATGTATGACCAGTTCAATTTTATACGGACCAGTAACTTTTTGAAAAGTGCTGGTCATTTGACCAGCAAGTTTTTTTACGGACCACCTGATACATTAAAAGTGGCAGTCCGTATGACCAGCAGAAAAATGGAGCTTAGCTCAAGCACTGATGGGGATGGATGTTCAGGGGGTTGATGCACGACTTATTTTGATTTTTAATTTTACTTGATTTACATTGTAGGTTGAGACTTATGGTTCTATGGAAAAGAAAGAGAAAGTTGAGTTCATCCTTGAGCAGATGAGACTCTGTATAGCCAAGAAAGACTACATCAGAACACAGATCATCAGCAAGAAAATCAACCTGAAGTTCTTTGATGAGAAAGACTCTGAGGTGAGTTCTAATTTATTTATTAATAACGCATTGAATGTTTCTGTTCTTTATTTTATGTGCAAAACTTTCACATCAAAGGAACTTATATTTACACTGGTTTCAAGTAGAACTGCATATTTTATAATATTTTTTCATACCATATATTCACACCGGAATAACCTGACAATGGTAAAGTCTGTTACCGTTGTCACAAATGGCGGACACAACCGTCTTTTCAACTCTTTAATCACTTGGTCCTCATTTCATGGGATTTTATCGTTGCTAATTCTGTGCATGTATTATTAAACTCTTGTGATGATGTATCATATGTAATCCCAATTTTGATCATAATATAGCGTCTTCGATATCGTCAATGACAACGGAATCTTAATTTGAAATAATTTACAAAGACAACTGCATATGGTAAAACAGTGTCCATTGTCCCATATCTCATTTTGATCGGTTAAATCAAAATTCATTTCGATGGTAGAACATAATTAACTGTACAATGAGTATAAAGACATTTTGATTGATTGTTGATCCCAAGGAATTTAGTCTAGGTGCTCTATTAAACATACAGTTCATGAAAATCTAATTGAAGCGACGGTTATGTCCGCCATTTGTGACAACGGTATCTGACTTAACCGTTGTCTGGCTATTCCGGTGTGATATTATTGTTCTGGTTTTTGCATCATATCATTTATTGAGGTTAATTGTTTTGGCTCTTCATCTCTGGTGAATTCTATAGTTTTGCCATATTGTTTATTGAATGATACAGCAAGATGATTCTACTACAGGGACAACTGGACCGAGTCTTTCAATGGGTTTCTCAGATTTTTTCCTTGCTCTATAGTTCAATAAAATGCGCGCAACATCAACACTTTTGTTTTTCATGGCATGTTCATATGCTGTCAGTCCATTGTTATCACGAGCGTGAATGTTGGCACCATGCTTGAGTAATACTTTGGCGCATCTAACACTATTATATATGGCTGCATACATAAGTGCTGTAGTCCCTTCTTGGTGCGTTTTGTCAGTATCTTCATCATCACTAAGAACACTGATGACTTCAACTTCAGTGTTGTTCATACTTGGGAATTTAGGATCAGTTCCATAGAAATTGTGTGGAACATTAGGATCAGTTCCATAGAAATTGTGTGGAACATTCACATCAACACCATGGTCAATAAGAATACGAGCTGTCTCTACGTTGTCATTTGTTGCAGCATGCATGAGGGGATTTTTGCTGTTAATGTCTGTTGCTTCGATATCTGCACGATTGTTTACCAAAATACGAACACACTCTATGTTATCATCTATAGCAGCATGTATAAGAGCCGTCTTTTCATTGTCATCTGTAGCATTAACTGTTGCCCCATGGTCAATCAACACTCCAGCACATCTTGCATTATTTACCTTTGCTGATTGCATTAATGCAGTCATCCCATGTTGGTCAGTGGCATTTACATTCGCACCATTGTCGATCAGAAGACGAGTGCTTCTAACATGATTTGCAGCATGCATAAGTACAGTCATTTCTTGATCATCAAATGCATTCGTATCTGCATCATGTTTAATTAGTTCTTCAGCACATTTAATGTGATCACTCTCAACTGCATACATCAGTGCAGTTTTACCATTAGTTTCATTCGCATCAACATTAGCATCGTAATGAATTAACAGACGTATTGAGTCCACATTGTCATCTCTAGCTGCATACATAAGTGCGGTACCTCCATCCTTATCCTTAGCATGTACATCAGCTCCATGTATTATTAAAGTCTTAGCACATTTTTCAGCATGTACCACTGCATACATGAGCGCCGTCTTCCCATAGTTATCTCTCTCATTAACATTTGCACCATGATCTATCAACACACGTGTACAGTCTATATTACAATCCTCTACAGCAAACATGAGAGCAGTTTTCCCATCTTCTAGTCCATTCACACGTGCCACCAGCTTTTTGATATGCCCCCTGTTGCTTTTAACAGCATCAGTCATGTTTTTCAGAAGAGCTCTTGCCGGATTTGCCATTTTGACTTCCATTATGCAATTATATATACAAATATACAGCTTTTAATGGAAGAATTTATTTTTGTTTCTGTTTGGTTTATAATAAATTCTCTCTATATTGAGTTTTCCTATTCTGTTATACTACTAATGAATGTGTAATCCTGCGCTGTCACCTGTCATTTATAGTACTAAGGACATAGTGATGCCTGAGAATGTCTTTATAGGGGGTATTATGTACGGTTACTCAGAATTTAGCTCTAGTCAACTGCTAAGTAGTTTTTTTTAAGTAGGTATTCCTTTTCAGGAAATAGATATATGTATTTATAAATTCAGATTATTAAGGATGCAGTACCGGGTCGGTTTTCACATCTGTTTGCGCAGGTTTGACTTCCGGTTTGAGAAAACTAGCTCCCAAGAACGTCATTTTCGCATTTAGTCTTATTCAAAAATTATAGTTTATTTCGATAATGGTGTTTCCAGAAAATAATTAAATTGCAAACATTTTATCAAGCATATTTTATCCCTTTCACTTTTATGGGAAAACTTATTCTTGAGTCGCAATTAGTGGATACGAAAACCAGGGTTCGAAAGGTGCCAGCTCTATTGAAAACTCAAAAACGTAAAAAGATTCATTTTGGGTGGGTAAAATAATTTTTTTATTTTGTAATTACCAGACGGTCAATCCTCTTCATATTGCACTTGAATGATGATAACATCATAGTGATACATTGTACAAAATATGAGCAAAATCTAATGTCTGGAACTTTTTCTACACTGACCTGGTACTGCATCCTTAAATCAAAATGATCAACAAGAGTGAGATTTATTTTACCATTGAACAATATTGAGAGAGAAATATACTTCCGTTCTGAAATTCATATTAAGAATATATTTAAGGAATATTTTATTACAAACTGGGGTTTTGCACATATGGTTTACATTAAAGTAAAATACAATGCCATGTTAAAGTTAATAAGATAGTTTCTATGGAATTGTTTCAAATGTGTTGAAATAAGACAATAGATTCAAGTTAATTTATACATTGGCTTTAAAAAGAACATAGAAACTGAATGTATCTACTTGAGAAAGCAAGCTTTGTTCTTATGTTTCTTAAAACATTGCCAGTAGCTTGATTTGTCATAAATCGCTGAATCAACAAACACCAATTCATGGTCACTCAGGTACCAAGTCACTAATGTCATATACAATTATTTTGAATTGTGGGAATAAATGAAAACTTCATCCTGGTCGTGAAAACAAATATTGTAACCATGTAATGACAGACATACCTGTAAAGGAGTGGTATTGATATGGTGAACTTTTTGAACACGCGTTTCTCTTAAACCAGTCATCAAAAAATTCTGAAAATTTTACACAATGTCAATTTAATGGTCATCTTTTAGATGCTAACATTATACAGGGTGGGCCAAAAAAAACGCCACTTTTTTTCAAGACACTACAACTTTATTTTCCAACCTACATACCCCAAGTTTTGCAGTTATATAGTGCCAAGGGTTCCTAGTAATAATATAATGTAACAAGTCCTTCAACTTGGATTATATTTGATCTAAAGGGGGAGTTAAATTGGTCCGCCACCCTAATTAATGATATATTTTAGTTTTAGTCGCCTTACTGATATTGCAGTATCAATGAAATGTTAGCTAAGTTTTTTTCAACCTGTCTAAATTGCCAGCTTTAGTTGAGCAATTTTCTAGATGGGGTGCCTTCATACAATCTCCTGGAGACCTTCCAATACCCTATACTCACTGGGGTTTGCATCAGGGCTATTAGCTTGGCGATCATCAGGCCGTATCAGTTCAGGAACATTTTGCAAATTATGCTTATTTCTCATGGCATACCACATGTTTAAGTGAGACGCTGGTGACATATTTTATTCAAGTAAAAGTATATAATTTATGATCCATGACTAGATAACAACCTCAAGTTTCATTTGGTATGCAACTTATGATTAAATATCAAAATTTCAAAAAGTTATAGCATTTTGAAAAAAAAGTGGCGTTTTTTGGCCCACCCTGTATATACATAAGTTTTTGCATACTAATTGTAAAATCAACCAAAATTTCCTTTGTATAACTATAATATTGAGAGGTCTAAGAAAATGTTGTATATGCTATTTTGTTCCAACAAGGTTCGGAAAGACATTTTATTTCATTCTCAAGAATTGGTAGAAAGGAACAAAAAACAATTGCACTAAAAAACAAAAAATGTTAACAAAAACAGCTATATAAATATATATAAATAATTATTGCATTAAATTGTTGCCAGTCGGTCAACATTACATAAAGGAAAAACATTGTTGAATTCAGTTCACCATATTGATACCTATCCTTTACTTATTTTTGAGAAAGTTATTTTTGTTATGCAGTTTGCCCGACTCAAATATCTATGAACCTATGTACCTGAAAAATAATTGCATGCAAATCTTACTATGGTAACAATAAATGAATAAAAATGGAAACATAAACAAATTCAAATTGGTGTCAGATATGGGATCTGAAGCTGGTTTTCTACAGTTTATACAAAAAACCAGACATGAAATTTAATTATGACAATTGCAGGATTTGAAGCTGAAATTCTACAAGTTGATGATAGAGCTGGACCAACATGAAGGATCGTATCTGTCCATATGTAAACATTATAGAGCTGTGGTAGACACACCAACCATCAAAGGGGACAGCCATCTACGAAATGAGGTAAAGTACATGAAATCCAATCAGCTATGGATTATCTCCTCTTGATAACTCAACAAACACATTGACTGTTGAAGTTCTAAATTTCTTAAGAATCTCACTAGATTCATCAAGTTTTTTTTTCAATAGTATATTTAGAGTGATTTTAGTGAAAAATCATTAAAATTTGGTCACAATTTTGAAAATAAGAAGTTTGCACCCACTTGAGAAAAAATCAGGGGAAACCCTGAATATTGGGCTATTTTTAAGATATTGGCCTCTCCCTTATGCAATCATTTGTTTAAGTAAGAGGATTGTGTGGCTTGACTCTGTGGATAAAGGGTACAGTGTGTTTATAATTTGCTTGTAGGCTTTGAAGTGTATGGTCTTATACCTGTGTCTATCACCTTATGACAATGAGCAGAATGATCTCATACACAGAACCAAGGAAGATAAATTACTAGAAGATCTTCCACTATATAAGTAAGTGAACAGCAGTTTAATAAAAGGTTTATGTTTACATTGGTTACCTTAAGAACAAATTAGAAAAAAGACTAATTGAGAAGGTGACCCAGTGTGAATTAACTGAAATACATATTTTAAACAGACCAATTGACTGTAAATTGTTATTACTGTAATTTTGGGGGTTTCGTCCCCACACCTCTCTTAGTTTAAATCTTAATCATCTTTCTACAGTTATATTAACTAAATGCAAAATATCATGATTTGTACATGTATATTCCAGACAACTGTTGAAGCAGTTCATCACACAAGAGATAATGCAATGGGGAGAACTAAGTCGGCTTTATGAATCAGAACTCAGACAAGGGTCCCCACAAAACACCGCCACTGATGTTTTTGCCAATACTGAAGAGGGTAATAAGCGCTGGAAAGATTTGAAAATCCGTGTAGTAGAACATGTAAGTATTTCAGTGATTTTTCCCAGGTTTTAAAGCAAGTGGGCACTGACATTCAATTGAGGCTTTGAACAAATAGGGCTTGCATCCACCTGAAAATCCAATTACCCTCACTTTAAAGAGATCGGGTCTCCTAAAAACACAATTAGAGTAACCCCCTGATTTTTTCGTGTTATTTGATGTAAAACAAGTTTATCAACTTATCAATTCTGAGGCTTGAATTAATTCGTTAACTGCATCAATTCGATAAATTTCCCATATCGAGAAGTACCTGTATCCTTTGTCATTATGTTCGTTAAGAACTAAGACAACCTAGATTTGGACCCTAAAATGCTTAATTTCGATCCCATTAAATTATGGTATAAGATATCATTCCTAAAGATTAACCAAAAGGTTGTGTGATGTGTGGATGATGCCAAGTAATCACAATAGAGGTCCATTACAAAATGGTACCAAACTGTATGAGTTTTCAAAATCTAAATATTCACTCACCATTTTAGTATGGTGATTTTAAAAATGGATCATCTTAAGCCAATAGAGAGCCTCCATATAGTGTTCTTTACAATTTTATTTTGTGTTATAGAACATTCGTGTAATGGCCAAGTACTACACCAGAGTGACTACTAAACGAATGTCTGAGCTGCTAGATCTGTCTGAAGCTGTAAGTATCCTTACTTCTACCAACCATCCTTATTGGTAGAAGTAAGGGGAATGTGTCCAGAAAAAGACAATGTGAAAATATTAAGTTCCAGAATTGTTTTTGAAGAACATACCCTCTGAAAGTCAATGAAATATTGCCTTACCATGGCAATATTTTGAATAACCATTTGGTCACACTCTGCTAGATTATATTTCTAATTCAATGTGTGAACCAATTTGATCAAAATACAACGTTTTTAAGTCTTGTGGTCATTTAAATGAACTTGTCTCCTTTATTTTTAATATGGAGTCTGGAAAAGACAGAAAATTCTGATTTCAAAATATTGTAGCTCCCCTGTACATAATTTTTATACTTCTTGGTTGTAATCCAACCTTCTATATATTTACCATTCCAGGAGACTGAGGAATTCCTGTCTACATTGGTAGTGAACAAAACAGTAGTAGCCAAGATAGACCGTCTGTCTGGAATAGTGAACTTTGCACAGTCTAAGGACCCCAATGAGCACCTGAATGAATGGTCATACAACACTAATGCTCTTATGAACCTTGTTAATAAAACAACACATCTCATCACTAAGGAGGAAATGATCCACAAACTGCATTGATGTTTTGGAAATTATAAAATTGCTCTATATAACTTCATCAGTGTTTCGTGAACTAAGATGTTTCATAAAGTATAAAGAGGTTTCATAAACTACAAAAGGGTTTCATAAATTACAAAGATATTTCATAACTACAAAGATGCTTCATAAACTACAAAGATGTTTCATAAACTACAAAGATGTTTCATAAACTACAAAGATATTTCATAACTACAAAGATGTTTCATAAATTATAAAATTGCTCTATATAACTTCATCAGTGTTTTGTAAACTAAGATGTCTCATAAAGTACAAAGAGGTTTCATGAACTACAAAAGGGTTTCATAAACTACAAAGATGTTTCATAAACTACAAAGATATTTCATAAACTACAAAGATGTTACGTATTTAGAGGTTATGTCACTATGACGTGAAATATGCCTGAGTTCTCCCAATATAGGCCGACCTTGGGAGGCTCTATATTTGGGCAAGAACGAAGGCATATTTCACGTCATAGTGACATAACTGATGTATTACATGCCTTTGTTCCCATGGTTACTTTGTATCAATGACGTGACGTCATGATATTATCATGGTTATTAAAGAAATCTAATATCAAAACGAGGTAAGCGGGCTATATCGGGGTAATCGGGCAATATCGGTGGATATAGCTCGCTAACTTTCCCATTGACTTCCATACAAATGCTTCGCTAGGTATGTAATACACATAGATATTTCGGAGAGTGGCCAGAGAGAGAAATGTGTTAATCTTGCATAAGTACATCAACAACAGCATCATCATTAGAAGCCAATGAACGACAGTATGTTCCATGAATACACCAGTCCTCATATCGAATCAAGATTGAGTGGCCAGTGACCAAGATTCATGTGTTTATATTTCATTACAACATCAAATATCTGTAAACTGTTCCTCATTTGTCTTTAAATTGTATCAGTGTTGCATAAAGTACAATGTACTGCAGATTATCGTATGATCTGTAAAATGAAGCCTTCTGATTGGTCAGTTCTTGTGCTGTACCAATCTGTATTGCTACTGAGATTGTCCGCATTGATCATCTCCGTCACAATACAGAAAATATTGGTACGGAGGAGACATTCTCAGTAGCAAAACAGATGATCACACGATAAAAACGTCTCGATATTCTGTATTGGCACTCAACTTCGTCTCGTTCCAATACGGAATTCCTCGAGCAGAATATATCCTGTATTGCACTTCAAATCATTCAATAACTTATATTATTGGTCTCTTTGCTACATCCATTAAGTCCAAGGGGGTTCCAAGACCCATCTCATTGCTTCATAAATTACATTGATGTTATGCGAACACTTTGGGTTCCCGAGGTGAAATTGACAGGTAAAGATGGACTACAGTACTGAAGCCTGCAGTTTTCCGTAATGATAATTTCTAGAAATTGCTGGGGAAGTTGCAGAATTGTGATTTAATTGTCAAAGATAGGCTAAATGTACAGATTTATAGAACCATATGTGACATTGACAGATTGTAATGAAGATATTTGATGCAAAATTATGAATTCTGGTTGGAGAATATACATCATTACATTATTTTAAGCTTTTCTCATATTTGTCAGTGTGGCTTACGAAAGAAACATGACATGTCATTGAAATACTAAATGCCAAAATAGAACATAAGAACATTCAAACGCCACCTGACAAAGTGGTTTCCTTGAAATAAATGCAATTATTAATAAGAAATACATTTTGTGTTGTCTTGTTATTATATGTATCACAATTCATGAAGTATCTGACAAAGGAATAAAGGGTTATAATTGGTACTCTGTAAATATGTTTACGATTCATACAGATGGCAGCCAAAAGTTCGACATTTGTAGATATGTAGCTAGACCGTTTTGCGCTAGGCCGGTATTGTAGATTTGAAATTGATTGAAAATTGGAAGGAGGATGTTGTCTTAAAACTGAATTCCAATGCCTGCAGAACTAGTATTATACCTAGGGTATTCTGAACACCCTTTAATGTGCCCTTTGTCTGTTTGAGGTACATAAGCAAAACGTTGGTCTCCATTCTCGAATATAGATTAGATGATACATGGTCTTTTTATATAGCTCCAATAATAAAAGTAAACATGTCCCCTTGTTTTGCAGTTTTCTCACCTAATGGTATACTATTGTAGTTTTTCAAGGTATTAAAAAATCGAATCCACTTAAGTAATGGCGGCCTGTGTTGATAAAATATGAATAATATTTTACTAGATATACTGTAGTAGAATAGTTTCACGTTCATGTTTACCCATTTTCAAGACTTTCATGTATCCAGGATTAATATAAAACGTTTATATGTTAATATCAAATTAATAAATATATAAAAAACTGATGGTTGTATCAATGAGCAAAAGTCTTTTCTGGGTCACCGCGAATGGCATGATTTCCTCGAGTCTCTTCAGTTGCAAGGCAACCATACTGGGACCGATTCGTGTCGTTCCACTGCTGCCCTTGGTGGGGACTCGCTACCATACTGTATGACTCCCGCCGTCTACTATAGCCCGTCAGTGGAGGAACCAACCACAGTCTCACAATCTGTCTCCGACAAGAGCAGTCAGAGAACCGACCCATGCCAAGGGCCGGAGGTTGGACCTTCGGGCCGAGTGCCCTGTAGAACTATTATCAAGAACGCCGTACCCGAGGCTCGAACGCGGGACCTTGTATCCCTCGGTACGCACGACCACAGTCTCTAACCACCTAGGCTACACTGCTCAGGTGTCAATACTGCTCAAAAATGTAATATTTGTTCTAATATTTTGCTTGAATGAACATGAACGTGGCTATAAGTAATCCTATTTTCTCAATTAGGCTACTTGTATTTTGTATTCGAAAAACTAATTATAAACAACGACAAACACCGCATGCTTGCAAATGTTTAATTGGCTCTTCATGTAAATGTGTCGTATACAAAACTAAATTTCCATACTGATAAAAGATAATTCAAAAAATTGCAAAACTAGTAGAAGATTTCCATATACTTCAATTTTAAATGTAATAGTATAAATTAGTATACCTACAAACCCTCGTGAGTGCCCCCCCCCCCCCCACCCTGCATATCTCCCCTAGAAGTTAGGAGTTCGTGAAATAGATTGAGGACTCCATTGTCCACTCACAAGTTTCACTCCAATATACCTCTTAATACTCAATGTGACTCTTTTTGAGCATTTTTTCCATGTCAATTTCCTCTCAAGATTGAAGCTTTTCATGTTTTAATTCCTCTCAGACTTATAAAAGTCAATTGTATTATGTCCATGTTGAATTCCTCTGGAGTTTGCTGGGACTAAAGTTCGTTCCCGAAATATTGTTGAATTGACTAAAAATTCACTTTTTGAATTATTTGTCCCTGACCTTGGCAACTGATATAACCAGTTCAATGCCATTTTTGAAGAAAAATTTAATTTTGACCCCAAAACGGTACTTTCTTAAACAATTTCCATGTTTTTTCGTCTCGGATTTGCCAGTTTCCATGGTTTATGCCCAAAGCCAAAATTGGTCGTACTGCACATACCTACCCAAATTATTTAGAGTGAACCCCCCGGATGTCTTCTTAGGCATTTATTAATTATAACGAAAAACGTGTTTAAAAGTATCAATGTTCAAAGTTTTAATATTTATTGGTTGTAAAACGCCCTGCTTTCCCTATAGTTTTGGTTCCACGTGCGAAAATCTTCAGGACGCACGTAACATATTTACTGTACAATGAAGCTAATTGTACTTGATACCAAAACATATCATGAACAATTAGCTTCATTGTACAGTAAATGTGTTACGTGCGTCCTGAAACGATTTTCGCAGATGAACCAAAACTTCGACCTGGGGAGTCAGACAGATCTTATTGAAAAATAATGAAACGTATTCAAAATCCCACTCCCAGTACTATTTTATTGTCACCTCATTATAGACTAGTCTTTTGAACGACGGTAAAACATACTGAGAAACTATGTACATCTCAGTAATCTTTAATCTACGTATCCAAAACGAAATCAAATGTACAAACCTGGAAAAGGTAAGACGTTAATTCATTAAAGGTCTATTTCTTTTTTTATTTATTAATCCATAAAATACCGAGTGTACATGCAATGTACGCATGTGCGTAATTTGCGTACGCAAAGATTGCTTATATGAGGTTCAGGATATTGGGATTATATCGAGGTCAATATAATATATCTACTCAACTGTTAAGCCAAAGCCAACATAATATGAAAGAAAAATAACAGAAGGTAGATCACCCTATGCTTAGTGAGCGGACCTAATTTCAAGGGTGATGGTAAAGACGAGGCATGGCGCCCAAACCTGGCCTGTAACTAGGTGCACTGATGCTTTCTTCGCAAATTACATCGCCATTGCTCGTCATCGAAATTCTGATCGCCGAATAGACACTCTAGTAAACATTCATTTTGCATTGGATGTACATAACTAGAGACCGCCTTATTTCGCATATATGAAAAAATAAAACATATCTAGGTACATATATCTTTATATGTGACATCGATCAGGAATTATTGACATATTGACAATATTAGGTTGTAATTTCTTGCGGTAAATTCAAATTGTATCTTTAAACGACCGTTTCATCTTAACTATTCGTTTTATTGGATGTAAAACAAACGGTATGCATAGTTTAACATCTTTCACTTCTAAAACAGCATAAAATATCACAATATCATCACCTTATGCTGCAATAATACGACTTCAAAGATTATGGTACTAATATTTTTTGGTTTTTGGGCGCCCTGCCTCGTCTTTACCATCACCCTTGAAATTAGCTCCGCTCACTAAGCATAGGGTGTAGATGTACATTTTGTTTTTTATTTTGTTCAACATGATATGTGAAATATTACAACGTTTGGTACAACTTCAATAAATTATTTTTACATCGGGCGGTGAAGGTATCCGAATTATTGAAAAATAGAGTAGGTTTTCAAAATGTATTGTAATTGTATTGAATCTTTACCGGAGTGTTGTTAGATCCTTGGATATTACATATCTGAATGAGAAATAATAACATTATATTAATAACCAGTTTTCTAGATACAGGGTGTCTCAAAAATAAAACAGAGCATGTTTCGGATCACCCTGTACAATGGCATGATTACATTATAATTGCACCGACTTACATCATATACAGATTTTGGCACAACATGGTATTCTCATTTTGACTAAAGCACACATAATCTCGGCATCTTATAACATATTTAGACATACTGCTTATATTGCTTACATACTTCTTATACAAACCAGATATCTCAGCTTTTACTTATACATGCTGAAAAATAACCTTACGTGGATCAAATCAAAATGGCCCATGGCCTCTTGGTTGTATTTTAGGTAATCCAGTCTACTGGACCAACTCATCCTTTGTTGCATAAAAATACGTTAGTACTATCTTCAATCGTAATTTGATCACAAATTTCAGACAATTAGGTCCCAATTCAACTGTATTCATACATTTCATCCATCGAGAATATCAAGAATATTTATACAGGGTGGTCCAAAAAACGTGAACCCCTGCAACTGAGGCTATATTCTCCTTAATACATGCATGAATTGGCTCATATCATCACATCTTGAAGAGAAAGGTCTAAAATTTTGTTGATGCCATAATGTATTCTCAGTCTTGAATTTTGAAGAAATTACAAGACTTAAACAAACATGCCTGAAATTAGATATTGTGCAAAATTTTACCAATGTGATTCATGGAAATTGTTGAAACACAATGGATGATCTTAAAAAAGCTTACAGTGAGAGATATAATTTTAAGCCATACCATATGACAAATGGGATACTATTTGGGCAGAAAACACATTTTACACCCTCATTGACCATTTTGAAGCAGTTTTAACCATTCAACAGTTAAGGGGCATGTTACCTCCACAAATGGTTAGAGTGGGGCAAAGTTACCCCCTGTGACCCAAAATCTGAGAAGACCTTCATATAAATATCTTACAAAATCAAAAGGACATCTAATATTTAGTGTTTTGAGCCATATTTCATTAAATTGGTCCATGATTATGAAGATATTGACATTTTAAGACCATACAGGAATATGTTGCGATTTCACTGGAAGATGTTTTCGTCTTTGGAAACTCAGCCATTTCTTTTGATCACAATAACTTTGCAAGTAATGAAGGCAGGATGCTAATTTTTACGCCATAATGTGCGGGATTCTTCCTCTACAATATGTCAAAATATGAAAGTATTCCTGCAGGTAATAAGGGAAATATAGCCTGCTGCAACAGTTCACTTTTTTGGACCACCCTGTACTTCATTTTTCATAAGATGCCGTCCATAAATAAAACTTCATTTAAAAATATTATATCTTCTTATTTACAAGCTCCACTATGTACTAAGTGAATATAAAATCTTGAATATATCATATTTACAAATATAAAAAGGCAATTTTTGTACAATGTGCAGTAAAACTTGTATATCCAAACACCTCTCTAATCCGAACACCTCTCAATGTGAACACTTTTTCTTGGTTCCAAATATTTTATCTCCCATTTACACACATATTTAAAAAACTTGAAATGTGAATACATGGTAAGTTCCATTGGAGATCAGATTAGACAGGTTTTAATGTACTTAATTGTTTTCAGTCTTTCCTATGTATGAGCATTTGTAAAACTAGGTAAATTACAAAGTTCAATATTCTCATTTTTGCCTCACTTGCCTAAATTTGCCTCACCTGTTTAAATTTGTCTCACCTGTTTAAATTTGTCTCACCTCATTTTAAATCCTGGCTATAACCCTGATCTGTTTTATATACATTATAGTTCCTAAATCATTCATTGATGGTATCAACAATGATCTCTGTCATGTGACCAGCACAATGATAATTCTCCATCATGAACATATACTATAATACAATAATACTGGGTGGCACAAAAGTAGGTTTACAGTTACAGTTTACCGATTGGTGAATAAATGTAACCTACTTTTGGAGCACCCTGTATATTAAAAAAACTAGGATTAGGAACTATTTTCTGCACAGTTTTTTCCTTTTTTAGTTACTTTCAGTCTAGTATATGTCCCATTACCTATAACCTAATTCATGTATATCAGAATTAAGACTTTTAAAATTCATGATTTTGTCATAGTGATATAAATATAATATTGTTAGGCTTAAAAGACAGGTGTCTTGGAAATTGCGATAAATAGCTTTTTGAAGGAAAAGTGTATTGATTGATGATCATGGGCATACACAGCAGATACGATTCAAAGATTTATTATTTAGATGTTTTTTATACTGCAGAAATGAAATCCATTGTAAATCATTTAGGCTTGCCTTGTCTATTTAAATTCACCCCTGCAGTTTTTAGAATTTGGATATGCCCTTGAAAATTACTGATAATGGATATGGAACCCTAATAATGACGCCCATTGAACAATGGGTTGACCTTCATATTATCATAGGGATTAACATTGGGATACATGTCCTTGTAAATGGCAGGATTTTTTTGTTGACCTGATTGGGGTGGAATATCTCTAGGGCGGTCAAAATAATTTGGAGAAGAGGGTTTCATGTCAGGCCTATGGGGATCACCAATATCATCCCTAGGGGAAGCAGGACCAATTTTGGGTCTTGGGATATTTCGGGGTCTTTCATCCAAGTCTGTGCCACTAATTGGTCGCCTATTCCGAGGCTGGTTTCCAATACGGGACACCATACCCTCAGGGATGTCATTTGGGTAGCCCTTTCCTGGGGATGATGGTGTATCTATTGTGTCTTCTGGAGAACTGAAAAAGGAAATATTATCTTAGTGACCTTTTATTTGAATGCATTCCTCCAATAATATATCCTTAATGAAATTTCCAATGACTATAATGTACAGTACCCAGTATGTAAACAGTGTTTAAACTTTAAAATTGGTATTATAGGTAATGGGCTACTATGGTCATATATTATATAGCACTCTTATTTTTCAATTAATTTACAGCACAACTTCTGTTATTCAGGTAATACAAATTTAAAAATCATTGAATGAAAAAGGCATATAAGGTGATTATTATTCATCCAGCCCCCAAAGCAACTTACAATTGGTTGGTTTTAGCTGTTGTTTCAGTATGTTCTGCATCTCAGTAATAGTCCCTATAAACCAAGGTGTGAAAGCATGGTGAGTCAGTGGCCAGTTTCCAAGGAATATATGGCGAATTACGATTCTTAAAATTCAGTTCTTTTCCCAAAATTAAATGACATTGTACCAAGGAAAGATAATCATATTTTATGAATCGTAAATATTGTTATTTCTAAGAAATGGAAAGCAAATTATATACATTTTGAAAAGCCAATTAATTAATATTCGATAATGCACCAGGAGTCCATTTTGATGATGATTTACAATAAGATTGCCCAGTCAGCTAAAAAGCAATGGTTTCCAATCTTAAACTAAATTAGCAACAAAATAAGCCTCATGGAATAGTAAAATGGTTCTGATAATATTTTGTGCTCGTTCCACAAGTTTTATAATGCAATAAATGCAACGTAATGTTACGCATTCACTGAACCCCCCTCCTCTACCTATATTCCCTGTGCAATTGTTTTTTCATTTTGGGTCAATGGATCTTTTTTGGCCGTTATGTTTAAAACTAGTCATAATTTCGTTTCTCAAAACACACACATCTTTTGTGTGCACCCAGATTTCAAAGATATCCCCCCTTGCCAAATTTGAGATCCCCTGTTCCTAGGGTAACTGCATGGTGTAAGAGTGAGTGAAGTGAAAGCTTTTATGGATTTTATATTAGGAGTCCATTTTGTGTACATATGGAGTGGTTCATTGTACAAAGTGGAGTGGTTCATTGGACCTGAATCCTAAGCAAAATGAATTTGAAAATTTAAGTGTGTGTAATGTTGAAAACTGCCACCATTACATGTGCTTACAAGGTGAGTCTGCCTACTTTGAAAATGTGATATTTTGATGTCAAAATTATCCAAAACAAGGCAAAAGTAGAAACCAGGGCCAATGGTGTACATTACCTGTATTACCAAAAATTGTTAACAGAATCACTTAAAGAAATTCATGATTTTTCATCTCATTTCAAAGTTATTTCCATTGAATATCCCTACTTGAATGAATTCATATATAAAAGTGTATAACATAAGCTTGCCATTGAATGTGCTATTTATACTATGCTTTCTACTCCACTCTTCCCTACCATGCAATATACCAGGCAATATAAAATATCATCAAAGTCATACTTGTTTAAAGAAAAATGAACTGACCAGAGATCAGACAATGCTCAAGCAATGCTTAAGAAATTAACTATTCTATATAAATGTTAGAGCTCCAGTCACTGACAAAAACAATGAGTCTGATTACCCAGAGTTTAGATTTAAAGAATAGAGAATGAGATTCTAGGATTTATAACACAACAATTTTATTCTGTTTGTTGTTAAAAGCCAGAAATTGCGTAGATATTGTGAAGCACATATCATACTAGATATCAGGTTATAACCCTATCTATATTCCTTGTTAATTTTTGCCTTTTGTTCAAATTCACAAAACGAGTATGACCATTTTGATGTTTTATATATTCAGTTACCATTATGTTTATAATTGTATCTCCTCGTAAGGCACAGACCCGTAATCTCTGTAATCATAGGAAATGAAATATACTGTAAGTTGTATATAAAGTACCATAATGATAGTACACCCCCCTAATAATGTTTGGTAACCACAACACCGCCATTTACTGCATCAAGTGTTTAAGTTTGGCCATAGAGTCAACTAGAAAAACAGCAACTCCACGGAGTAGCAAATCCCACCAAACAAAACATATTATGCTTATTATAGCTAGGCTAGTGTAAATATTGAAATGTTTGTGCACTTTGTGATAGAAGCATGAAATTTGGCACAAAGTTAGTTTATACCATTGTGAACTAGGCATCGTCATATAAAATTTGAACCAAATCCGTTCACTGGTATATGAGTTATCAAAGATTATGTTTTTTCCGAAAATTGGCCGCCATCTTGAAATTCAGCCGCCATCTTGAAAATTATTTCTTGAACAGAGCAACTGTGTCCCGAGGCATAATCATATAAAATTTCAACAAAATCTGTTCACTGGTATTTGAGTTATCAAAGATTACGTTTTTTACGAAAAACTGCCACCATTTTGAAATTAAGCGGCCATCTTGAAAAAATTTTGTCGAACATAGCTACTGTGTCCCTAAGCATCATCATATAAAATTTGAACCAAATCCGTTCACTGGTATTTGAGTTATCAAAGATTACATATTTTTACGAAAAATGGCCGCCATTTTGAAATTAAGCGGCCATCTTGAAAATCTCTTTTTGAAACCTTTGTCCCTAGGCAACAGCATATAAAATTTGAACCAAATCCATCAACTTGTATTTGAGTTATCAACGATTACATTTTTTACGAAAAATGGCGGCCATAAAATGGCGGCCATTTTGAATTGAGCGGCCATATTGAAAATTCCTTCTCGAGCAGAGGTCCTACACTCATAAGGCATAAGCCTATAAAATTTGAATCAAATCCGTCAACGGGTATTGGAGTTATCGCCCGGACACACGGACGATCGAACAGATGGACGAACGAACGGAGGAACGGCTTCTCTATATCCCCCTGGAACTTCGTTCGGTGGGATAATAAAGACTACCTGTTGTAATTGAGCAGGGTTAACGACTGAAAGGTTGAAAAAGGGAAAGGTTGGAATCATAATTTCCAAATTTAACATACTGCCATTCAGACCCTTGCCAAAATATTCAACTCTTTTCTCAAATTTCAATGCCATGGTTTCAAGCACTTCACAATGGGGAAATAAAATTGCCAAACATTTGGAGGGGAGTGTACCATAGCAGTCTCCATCCCAAGCTAGACCCAGCCCTGGCACCAAGGAGTTAGTAAGCCATATACTGTAAAATGATAACAGTTCCAACCTTCATATCATATACAGGAAGATGTATAGTGAAAGTTGGTCAACTGTATCAATCTATTTTTGTGCTAAATGATTTCAAATGGCCTCCTAAATACACTATTTTCTTATATGTATCAATGATATAACAATCTTCATATTGACATGTATTGGTGGTTCACCATTAAATCCCATTTGAATTCACGTAGCACATTCACTGATACTAGTGGACTCCTTGACCACTGTCTAACCTATAGGCTTGGTTCTGATATCCATTCTGCCTTCCATTATGATAAGGTTGATCTCTATGCTGATTAAATCCAGCCTCTTGATCTCTACTCTCTGCCCACCGTGGGTTGTCCTGTTGCATTCCAGGGGCTCCACCAACTCTTGCCCTGGGGAGATCTACAGATGGACGGCCTTGGTTGTACTTGGGGGACCACTCTTGCATAGGTTGAGCTTGGCTTTCATCATATGCCATAGTTGCAGCAGCAGCAGCACCATTAGATTCGGGCTGTTTTCCCTTCTTTTTGAATTTATCTTTAAATCTAAAATATGATTTGCATGGCATACACACAAACTAATTGTCAATGGATTTATGGACAATGATTTAAAACTAAAGTACAAATACATATATCTCCTTCATACATATCTCTCTTTCATATATCCTGTACTTTTTATCATTAGTGTTCATCAAAAAATTTTGTGTCAATTATTTTTGAACATTTGGATAGCTAAGCCATTAAACTTTTAAATCATTCATGTATAAATTCCCCAAAAATATTTACTTTTGCATGCCCCCCTGAGAGTTCAGTGGTCTGCCCTCCCCTTCAAATGGAGTAACTTCACTGTAGGGTTGAGTCTTCTTGAACTGGTCCACCAACATCCAGGCTAACACCATTGCGGGCATCATGAAGAATATACACCAACCCATGGCAAACCAGAAACTGTTCTGTAACAGAAGAATATGAATATGTTACAAGCAGAATCAGGCATTGCAAACAATATTCAAAATTATTTTATACAAATGAGTCCAAATTGTTAAAAATGAGGTCAATAATTTTTACAAAGGGCTAAATATTATTAAAAAATCAAGGCCTGAAATTGGCCACCGTTTGGCAATTCAAATATTCACCTCTGAATACAATATCTCAAAAATAAAAGGATAGTATGATTTGTGATCTGGTGGATATTGTTAGATAGTACTATTGTTGTTTAGTTCTGATTTTGAGGTAATTAGTATATTCCATCTGAACTTACAAATGGGTAGAGTACATTCTTGCAAGCAGCTATAACACTGTTGTCTAGGGCAGAATATACCACACCACATCTACCTATGTTATTCCTGACCTACAATAAAATGTGTGCAATGCATACATGACTAACCCAAGATATGGTGGGGCAAATTGTAAAATTGAGGCAAATTTGGATTAAAGGCAGTACTATTATTGTAAAAGTGAGGCAAATTTGGATTAAAGGCAGTATGGTACTATTATTACACAGGTTTAACTGTTCACTTTTATATATCTTCATAAAATCATCAGAAGGTGTTTAGATAATTTAAATACTTACAACATAATCAAGATTGGTCATAAAACTCTGTAAATTGTCACGTATTGTTAAGGTGAGGTTGGCACCTATACTACGTATTGCAGCAGTTCCATTTGTCTGGATCGATTCCTGACTTTTCTCCATCTCAGCTACAAGACTGTTGGATGCGGCCTATAGTTGAAAAATATTGAATCTAAAATTAAGGTTGTCGTTTAATAATGAATATGTGAGATCCATCAATGCTTCTGAACAAAGTTTAGACTGAATTTATAAGAATTCTGAAGGATCACACATTTGGTATTTGGCAATAGTTGATCTACTAATAGTTGATACTACCGTATCCTCTTTCATGAAAGCATAGTGCACTTCCCAAATTGAAATTGAAAAATAATGGATTTCAATTAGCACACATGCAAAATATTTAGAAAAAATATCCCTGATAATGTTTTTAGTTGTTATCATCAAGGCTTACATACTCTCCAGCTCCTGTATTTCTTTCTCTGCATTAGATATAATCAGCAATCGAAGCCATGTGTTAATAATCGAAACTAATGCATTACACTTTGCATTTTCTTGAGACCATATTCATCATAAAAGTTGCATGTATACTCATTGGAACTATATGCCTGTGCACTCATTAAAGAGATAATAGTGTATAACTTACAATTTTTCTTTGAATATTAAAAAAGAATATTGAAAATAATTTGATATAACATAACTCATATATACTTACTGAAAGATCTCTATTGTCTTCAAGGACCTTGACATGACTCAATATGTTGTTCTGAAAAAGTAATAATCAATATTTCATACATGTTATATGTTACCTTGAGCGCAGAGTCATAGACTCTGTAGTCATAAACTACCCTCTGCTGTATATAGATTATATTACAGTACAGTATTACATTAGCAGGCCTGTCCCAAAGATTGGTGCCTAATAAATATCAAATTTTATAAGCAACATAATGCTTATTTCTGATCCTAAATTACAATAAATGTTAAAGAAATCATAACAAGCTGCAAAATTGAAGAGCACAGTGGTTAAGAGCTATAAATGTAAATCAAGTCAACATTTTACTGTGTGTAGACTTACTTTCAAGGTGGTCATTGATGGAATAAAAGTAGCTGCTAGATTTGTCAATTCATCTGCTGTAGAATTCAAATCAACACCTGGAAGCTGCAAAGATATTTAATATATTCAATATATATTTCTAATTCTTCACTGAGAAGTATTAATAGCATTCTGAAATGTAATGTTGTCTTCTCAGACTGGCATTTGTCTGGCATTTGGCACTCAATGCTATTCCTTAATACAGATAGAATTAAATTATAGAATATTATAATTAGTTACACTACACATATTTCATTTTATTTGGAATCACAGGTTTTTAGCTGATACAAAGATGGGAGCAGTGTTGGTTCTTTTAAATTATGAATATGATATATGAACATTTATGAACTTAAATTGATTGACTGATTGTACAATTGTTAACACTGTCATTTTTAACTAGATTATTTCTCTCACATTATAATTTATTTAATAATGTATAGATATCATAAAATTTTATTATCATTTTATTGTTTCCTTACACCTGAGCTTGATAAGGTCCTAAGGGTGGCAGCATAGGTATTCAGGTTTATTGCTGTGACATCCTGGTTCAACTGTAAAACAGGGTATTCAATTTTATATCCATCGTCACCTTTGAAACAATCCTTACATGACCAAGAAGTGGACCATATTTTTGGGACTGGCATTCAGCATCAGTGGTCAGATGGTTTATGTCTTTAACAATTGTTATACTTTTGCAACCATTTGTTGGCACTATAGTAGTATTTTGTCACATGATTACCTTATTAATTGATTACTAAATGACTTTGTAGTTATAGCGTGCTAGTTAAAATATCAGAAACAAGCAAACAATTGACCAACTAAGAATGATGTATAAATAAAGAAAACTTATCCAAATAAATTAAACTAATTACCTCATTTTTGATGATTGTTGTATTGATCAACATAAGATCAATTTGTGAAACATTTGATAAAATGTTCCTCAACTCTGGAGTTATGACTTGGACTCCACTCAAGTCAACGGTTATATTGGTCAAAGCAGCGAAATTCTCTGTGATATTATACCTCTGTAAATAATAAAAATTCTCTGTGATATTGTGCCTCTGTAAATAAAAGGTTCTCAGTGATATTGTACCACTGTAAATAATAAAAATTCTCAGTGATATTGTGCCTCTGTAAATCAAAAGCTCTCAGTGATATTGTACCTCTGTATATAAGAATTTCTTTTTGATATTGTACCTGAGTAAATAAAAAGTTCTCAGTGATGTTGTACCTCTGTAAATAAAAATCTTTAATTGATATTGGCAATTAATGGCATTAGTGACATTTTAAAATCATATTCCTGATCATTATTATTTCATGAATACTCACATCTATATCCAAGTATTCTGTGATATTAGCATAACTGTCAAAGTTTATTGCAGTGTACAAGGCCATATTGTTGGAACATTGTCTGCAAAGAATATACAATATATTTTAGGAGTATTCAAGTGATGTTCCAAAAGTCAGTGAATGATGGTCATAATTATAAACTTGCTTCCAAACTTTGTACCTGGTTTATATAATTCTAGTATACATGTAGATTTCTTATTTCATTAACATATCAAAATATTTATGTACCTGATGATATTTGTAATTGTTGTATTGATGTTTATTGCTTTCTGCAGTTCCCTCATAACAAATGGATCAGTTATCTACAAAGTAATATAAAATCACACCTTGAGATCAGTTTTCTTGAATTTTCTATTCAAGAATCTATTCAACTTAATCTTTATACACCAAAATATGTTTCAATTGTTATCTTAGATTTCATACATAATTTTATGACATTATTAAATAAGCATAAGTAAGGATATGACACTAACTACATAAATAAAATAGCACAGACGTTTTGCCACATTTCTAATAAAAGTTGCCTTGTGCAGGCCACTTCATAAGGTTACCTGTATGATTTCAGAGTTTTTTAGATCTACCACTCGGTTGCAGACCTCATTATGTGCCAGACCTCCACCAAGGAACAGAGCCATGGTTATCAGCATGAAGAGCCAGCCAAAAAGGAAAGTGAAGACTATACCTCTGAAACAATAAAACAATGCCTGAATGAGAGAGCAAAGAGGGTGTTTAGCATTATAAGAAGTTTTTTCTAATAAATGTAACTGTTTGTGTTCGAATGGCATACTACACCCCCAAAATGCAATCTGATTTTCGACACCATTTCGGTACCAAATTTCGGTGCCGAAACGGCACCAAATGGACTGACTAGTCCGGTAGCAAATTTTGGTGTCGAAAGGTTTCGGGACCGAAACGGTGCCGGAACAGCGCCGAATTTTTTCGATGCCGAAACGGTGCCGAATTATATTGGCTGTGTATGGGATGACCATAATGAGCATATTGTCATTAATCATGGACATGTTAGTTGTTTAATGAATAAACCAAGGTTTTAAAGAATTTTAACATGTAACATTGCATCAATTGAGATTTGGTCCAAGCTTCTTTAGAAAAGTTGAAAAAGTTAAAAAATAACTTCAATAACGTAACAGTATAAATCAAAGTCATCATTGTAGAAAACTTTTCACTGAATTTAAATCTGTTATTAAAAAGAAAGAAAGGTACGTCATTCGAGGTTTATTAGGCAAATCTCTTAAAATCTCATGAGAAGAATGGCTGCTATTAACAAAGCCTAGGGAGACACATGGACTTTTAATTTTGTGTAAAACTGAACATAAATTTTGCCCAAACACTAAATCTTGAGATGCCTGTAACTTTTCCCACTTTAGAGTTCAGTCATGATGTGAGGCAAATCAACGTAACTTTGGATAAGCTTTATGATATATGACACAAACTATGGAGACATTGGTATATGTCTGCCTAGGGGGGGGGGCATACTTTAGGGACACCCTGTAGAAACTCCTCTGTTAAATGCTTCATTTTCTGCTAGCATATTTACTTTTTAACAATACAATATATCATGCAAATCAAATGATAACTTACGATTTGAAAAGACAAGATCCATTATTTCTATTGCAGTCAGTAAGGTCTTCATAGGGGGCTTGGCCACAGAAGCCAATCAAAACAGCCAAAAGGTAGCATGTGATTATCAGCACTATGATAGAGCACACCACAATGCAACCAATATACCTGTAACAATGATACATTATATTATATTATTTTTGGATGATACTTGGAAAGAGGTGGCTAGATGCCAGATATCATAAAACATTTTCATAAATTTGAAACAATATGGAATTGAAATTTCAAGACCAAATTTTAACTTCTACTTTGTTTTTTTGATGTAAGTACAAATTCCTTAACATATGTAATGTACATTAGCATAAAAAATGATAAAAAGATATTGGCATACTTGACCTTTAAAGATAAAACAGTTAATACAGATTGATGAAAGTGAACAGCTTAAATTCAAAAAAAAACTGTATTTAGCGTGCATAACGACAATTTTGCTTAAAGTTTGGATAACTTACCAATAGTTACCATACTCCCTCACAGGAGGTATTAGTGTGCCATTTATGTATTTTGTTGCATCTTGAAAGAATGCCTGAAAGTTAAAAATACACAATGAAAAAATGAGCCAATTGAGTAAAAACTAAGCAACTAAGCCTGTCAAACTATAATGATTCCCGAGTGGTGAGGGGCGGAGGTGTTAGATTTGTTTTTATGCTTTTGTTTTGATCACAGTTTGGGATATAATCTGGATTTAGAATTATTCTTTTTCTTGCTTGGTTTGTAATAAAAATGAAAGCAAAGAGCCAAAAGGGAAAGTATAACATTGTTCCATTTCATGCACTTGGGCTTATATATTTTCTTATCCCATAGTTGAGGTCAAATCTATAGAATAACACATATACAGGGTGTCCCGAAAGTATGGGGCCCCCCCTAGGCAGACATATTCCAGTGTCCTCATAGTATGTGTCATATATCACTTTAAAGCTTGTCCAAAGTTACATTGATTTGCCAAGTATTATGGTTTAACTCCCAAATAGGAAAAAGTTACAGTCATTTTAAAAGTTTGTGTTTTGTCAAAATAAAGTTCAATTTTACACCACATTACTAGTCAATGTGTTCCCCCTTGGCCATGTTAACAGCGGCAATTATTTTCAGATATGACCTTAAAAGCCCTTCGAATAGGAGTCTGGAATTTTATAACCCTCTTAAAACCTGTTAAGGGACTTTAGAAGAGTTTCCTTAGAGTTTCTACCCTCACCATTCTCTTTTTCCAAATCAATATCCATCCGACCCGAAAAGAATTGCTGCTGTTAAGATGGCCCAGGAGGACACATTGACTAGTGATTTGGCGTAAAATTGAACTAAATTGTGACCAAACACTAAATTTCGAAATGCCTGTAATTTTTTCACATTTGAGAGTTGAACCATAATACTTGGTGAATCAATGTAACTTTGGATAAGCTTTAAAATGATATATGACACTTACTATGACGACACTGGTATATGTCTGCCTAGGGGGGGGGGCCCTATACTTTCGGGACACCCTGTACATGTATATGTATATTTATGATATTTTGCAAATGCGTGGAAAAAAGCGATATCTGTGGAATACGGAGAATATTCCACAGAGACCACTTTTTTCCATGGATTTGGAAACTCCCACCAATGTAACGTGCATTGTTACATGAGCTTACATGGTAATTTCATGATGTCACAAATATGGAAATGAATAATGTTTTGGCTATAGTTCAGAAAAGACAAAACAAAACTGAATGTTTTGGAATGTTTTGGAATGCTTTGTCAGGTGAACTATGGGATAAATAGAACATCCTATGATTTTTTTCGTGAAATCATTTTAATCCACTAGTTGATAACAATATCTGCACTCAATCACTACACTCACTCTTCCAGACATTGATATCAACTTGTGGATAAAAATGATATCTCTAAAATCATAGAATATCCTATACATATATTATCATCTTGTAGAGCATAATGGTAGCAACCATACCACACCTGTGTATCAAGTGCATTCCTTGTCTGGTTGATAAATGATGAAAGTTGATCTTGGATTTCATCGGTTCTTAACTTTGCCTCTGAAAAGACAAAAATAGATTGAAATTGGTTCACACATGTTTTCATTCAAAGTTCAAAATATTGGTAGTTTAAAAAAACTGAACCAATCAATCACAATGATGCCATTTGTACGATAAAAATACAGATGCTGAGTCTAAAGCCATACCTAAATGTACAAATAATCAATTTAGCAAGTCTTACCTGATATAATTGGGGCTGTGTTGTTATTAATGACATCTGTAAGCTGGTCAAAACCCTGTCTTATCTGAAAGTAAAAATATGAAGATATTCACAAATGTCTTTACACAGGAAACGTTTTAGAAAATAATTATATAAGTTGTCACTTGTCAAATCTAAATACAAATACGCTAAGAACAGATGTGCTCCATGAAAATAGATGAATCATAGGTGGGAGCTCGAGGCAGTGTGTTCTTGATGTCAAGCGTTCAGTAATAAAGTCAACAGAAATGGGAAAATATGTACCACAACATATAAGAAGACTGATATTTATATGTAGGCTTTAATGGGTAACATCTCCTTAAAGTGTGTGCAAAACTATATTGCATGCCAGGTGTCCATACTCGGGGACTATAAATAGGCTCAACCAAAGATGGCTCAGATAGGTGTGAGAGGACGGTCGAAACACATGCTAAACTATAATCCATATGTTTGCAACTCTAGCTATGTAACATATTCTATATTGCAAATACGTATTCATGATGATACTCGTTAGGTATAGGTTCATGTATTGATATAGTTTTGAGTATATATTTTGGATAAATATTGAAAACGTATACTGCATTTTTATCAGACCAATACATATAAAATATCAACATGTCGTGAATGATTGTACTTGTACACCAAGATACATACATGATTACATGCACAACTTACTGGGTACATGTATATGTACACTACATTGTATGTACTGTATATTGGCTGTGGACAGTGAAATGCTACATCTAAAGATAACCAAAATGTGACACACATGTATCGAAAATAATGGAATGTGTAGATACACATTAATTTTACATTTTTTATAAAACTGACATCATGTGGCTATAGTACTGCAATACTTGTTTATTTCTGCATAATAACAAGTGAGCCTACAACCAAAAAAGTAACTAGACAATGGCAACTCCCCGAAGTAGCAAATCCCAACGAACAAAATATCAATTACCAAATTCCAATCAATTATACTCATTACTTTGGTTAAAATTGAAAAATTTAGATTTTAGAATTGCGAATTCCTGCAAAGCAGCCATTTTGAATTTTCTGAGGTACAAATCTGAAGACTAATACCATAATTGTGATCTACTCCAAAATTCCTTCAATTTGAGTATAATATAGCCATACTTTGAAGGGATAGAAATTTTTTTGCGAAATCGTACATTAGACGGCCATTTCGAATTTTACTAGCTTCCTTCCTTTACTAGCTTCCTTCTGGAATCGAACCCGCGACCTGCCGCACCTGAGGCAACTATCCTGCCAAAAGACCACCTAGTCAATTAAGATTACTTAAGCAACGAGACAGTCAAGTTGCAAGTATTTAGGAAAACTGAGAATTATTTTGTATTGCACGAAATGTTCAATGTATACACACCTTCAGAATGAATAAACCCTTCTAATCCGAAAATGTAAACACTTTGGTCAATGTAGCTAATTTTATGGAGTCCCTTTAAGAGCATTGGGTATCATATTTAGGGCCAAGAGATTTATTGTTTGGAACACATTTTCTCTATTGTCAAATCCTGGAATTATAATAGGACACAGCAATTTGTAATAAATATATAGGCTAGCAGGTGACTTTAAGTCTATAAAAAGATGTTACTAGTGTATGGTGTGCATTTGATCCTTTAAAAAGGTATATTTTACCATACCTGTTCTACTTTACCAGTAATGTCTTGTCCTATAACCTCATTCAGGGCCTCAATGGCAAGTGTGAGTTCAGCAACTGGAATCTATAAGAATGTTATATTACGATTAATATTAAACATTGTTTCTTTGCAACAATAACACTTTGATATTGAATCTAAATTTTTGATTGCAATGTTTTAAACAGAGCAATTTTACATCTTATCCAGCACAAAAAGTGGCAAACAATGTTGTTGATGTGCATGTTCAACAGCACTAAAGTGATTAAATGTAAACTAAATTATAATAGAAACTGTATTACTTACATTTGCTACATTTATATTGACTGTGAGTTTTTCGGCTTCTGCTAATGCATCTGCACATCTGGGATCATTACACGAGTTCAATTTATTTGTAACATCCGTCTTTACATCATTCAGCTGAGATGTTAGAGTTGTGATATTTGCCCCTAGTGTTTGAACTCCATCCCTTATACCAATCAATGACCCTTGAACTGTTTCAAGTTCTGAAAAGAGCATCATAATGCTGACAACTGAAATCACTGAATGTAAATTAACATGTTGCAAATGTATATTGTCAAACACATAAGCAGGTAAAATCATAAATAACTTTGGAAAAGGGATGCAAATAACAAGGGATTCACTGAATTGGAAATACCTGAAAGAAATGTAAATTGTTGTTACTACTACTTACGTGTAGCTAATTTAGTGGTATCATCAAACAGTGGCCCAGCATTAGATATCTCCTTGAGAATAGTAACTGATGTTACCCCAATGCCTAGAAATAAAAATTTATATTAAAATTTTGAAAAATGATAAGAACATACCAAGATATACATATGATCAGAAACAGATCAATAATACTTACAAGAAAGCTTTGATGAAATCACAAAAAAGTTCAAACAGTTACAAACTCAAACTTTCTAACCAATGATCGTACACACAAAGAAACAGGGCCAAATGGCACACTTCACCCAGTCAAATAACATTATTAGATTCCCAAACAACAAAACCATGGTCCTATTTACTGAAGATGAAATTACAAAAATAAGACAAAATGTTTTCATCTTCTAACTGAAAGAAGATTTATTTGAAAAAATGTATGGATTTGATAAGATTTAGCGCTCCATACTTTCTTTTTTTCTTCAAATATAGTTTATTCCAATTTAGGTTTTTACGATACAGAAATACAATGATACAATTAATTACAATAATGTATAATGAGTTATGTTTTAATCATTTTCCATTTGTTTTTAAAAAATACATTTTTATGAGTACAGATTTCAAAATTTAAAGTTTTAATAGTGCCTTCAAAATTACGCTTAATACCATTATTCAGTTCTTGAATATATGTTTTATATATAACAAATGACACAATACTTATAAAATAGTTTAAAAATTCAGTATGATTGTCATTTCCATCGTAACCAATTATCAATTTTCTGTAAGTTACTCTTAACCCCGAGATATTATAAATATGTTTCCAAATGTTTTGAGAATATGAGCATGAAAATAACAAATGTTTCAAGGTACATAATTCATTACATAAACTACATTTGTAGGTTTCACTTTTACCAAATATATATAAATCTCCATACTTTATAACGCCTAGTGACAAATTTTCGGAAGCAATACATTATGACCTCTATACCTACCATCAAGAGCATCAAATACAACATTCCTTGTTCTACTGAACCCTGTCATCACCTCTGTATCCATATCCTATTAATCAAATCAAATATATCGAATAATGTGAATCTTAAACTTGCTAGGTTTAATTGGGTTTAATTGCTAACTGGCCTAAATCCATCAAAAGCCACTGGACCCGATCTTATTCCGACTAGGGTCCTGAAGGAATGCAGTGACAGCATATCACCAATCCTTCAAATAATTTTTCAACAGTCTATCGATGAAGGCTTAGTGCCTATGGACTGGAAACATGCCAATGTTACTGCTATCTACAAAAAGGGACGAAGAGATGAGGCTGTGAATTACAGGCCTGTATCTCTGACGTCAGTTCCATGTAAAATAATGGAACATATTATATTCCATCATGTTATGGCCCACTTTGACCTCTATGAAATTCTAGTAAAATTCCAACATGGATTCAGGTCAAAGCACTCATGTGAAACACAACTTGTCAATACAATAGAGAATATAGCTCGGGCCCTCGACAACAATAAACAAACAGACATGTTGGTATTAGACTTTTCCAAAGCGTTTGACACGGTGGCTCACGAACGCCTCTTGCTCAAACTCGACTATTATGGAATTCGCAATAATAACTTGAACTGGTTCAGATCCTGGCTTGTGGGAAGATCACAACAGGTAGTGCTCGATGGTGAATCAAGTTCAAAAACTCCAGTAAAATCAGGAGTTCCTCAAGGAACAGTTCTTGGACCACTCTGTTTCCTTGTTTATATCAATGATATGGGCAATAACCTATCATCCTCAGCCAGTCTTAAGCTTTTTGCCGACGACAGCCTTTTATTCATGACAGTCGAAAGCAAGCAAGATGCATTAACACTACAGGAGAATCTTGATAAACTGGTCTCCTGGGCATCAACATGGCAAATGAAATTCCATCCATCAAAATGCTATGTGCTAAATATTCACAAAGGTAAATCCCCTATCATGCACAATTACACCATGCTAGGGGAAAACCTTAAGTCGGTAACACACATCCCATACCTAGGAATTGACATCACAAATAACTTACGCTGGACTACACATATTCAAACTATTGTATCCAAAGCCAATAAGGTGCTTGGATTTCTCAGGCGCAACCTCCATCAATGCCCTGAAAAAGTGAAGGCTCAGGCGTATAAGTCACTAGTCCGGCCTAATTTAGAGTATGCCAGCTCGGCATGGGATCCGTACCGACAAAAAGATATTGATATGTTGGAACAGGTACAGAGAAGAGCAGCCAGGTTTGTAACCAAATGTCACTCAAGGGAACCAGGCTGCGTCACCAAAGCTCTTCAAGACCTACAGTGGGAGCCACTGAAGGAGCGTCGAGAGGCTGCTAGAGTTTTCCTTTTCTACAAAGGAAAGCAGAACCTAGCAGCCATCGACGTGCCTCCATACTTCCGCCAACAGATCAATACCAACACTAGGTTGTATCATCCTTCTAAGTTCATACAACCATCAACTAGAACGGATGCATACAAATTTAGCTATTTCCCTAGGACAATAGCTAAATGGAACACTCTACCTGGTGACATCTTAGACTGTGACAGTCTAAGTAGTTTTAAATCATCATACTATGCCTATGTCAATAACTGCAATTAAATAGGTGTGTTTTTAATATAGATCTATGTTTTAATGTAAAGGGTCCCCAGTGCACAGCAACAAGCCTGCACTACTGGTAAAGAGGGGTGATGTCAACGCGGTTAGCCTGACAGTCTCCCCAGGTAAAATGAGTTGTAAACCATAGATCTATTTTTAAATGTTAAGGTTTTAAATTATATTCTATTCAAATTCTATCACTGTTAAATTATATATCTGCTTTATATGGGCTTATTAGCCTTTTGCGGATTATTGACATAGACATAGTTTAAATCATGCATGGAGAATATTCATTTAAAAAATTAATGTTCATTGGATCAGATGTCCTTTGTAAATGTTTCATTGTTTTATTTTCATTGTGTTATTAACACTTTGTTGTAAGTTGTGTCTAATAACTAGTCACTGAGGGTACAGTTAATATAAATAAATTAAATTGTCGCAACCACTCACTTGAATGGCAGTATCCTTGTATGTCTGTATGCTGTCCATACTTTCAGCGAGTGTAGAGAACACACCTCTGTTATTAACATTATCTGTCTGATCTCTAAGTGCTCTATTGGACAAGAATCCACCAACAACTCCAAACCTACAAACCAGCAATGTTATGAGTTAAAACAACAGGTAGAAATCAAGACTGGGAAATCCCAAGTTTGACTCCAAAGTTCACCTACGTGTATGTAAAAAACTTAAATCTTACAAAAGAATATACATGTAAGACCTTCATAGCACCAATAACTAATGTAATGATTTCCCTATGAAATTGTCTCATAGTTTTGCAGTTTTAACAATGAATGATTCCTGGTGGGGGTGGGGGTGTTAGATATTCATGGCTTGTTATTTTATAACTGGTCTTTTCTTAGCATACATGCTTGTACTTACAGAATGAGTATACAAAATGCGGCAAGGAAGCTCAACATCAGAATCCTTCCAACTTTAGCATATTTCCCTTCTTGAGGGTCTCCCTTACCCCCACATTTGCCACAAGATCTGCAGCAGCAGGTAATGCAACCAGCCAGGGGGAATATTAGAGCAAACAAAAGACCAACTACTGCACATGCTATATAAGCACCAAAATAGTTCAGCCACTGAAATAAGAAAAAGGTTGTCAGAAAATATAATATACACAAATGAAAACACTCTTAACAAAATGAGGAATAATGTGCTATATACTTGATTATATTAGTAGATTAACTCATTGTTTTAGATTCTGCAGAATCCCAAGTAACATAAATCCTAAACAGCTAGTGAATTAACAACCATGTTACATCTGAATTCTACAGAATAGAGAACATTGTACAAGCATACACCCTTGCTACCATTCCCTTCAACTACCGTGAGAACAAGTTAGATTATTCTACTTACTCTGTTAAAATTCCCTGCTATGTCATCTAAGATAACCTGGGGTCCCTTGGACAGATCTGAAATAAAAGAGGAACAATTACACTTAGCATAAGACATTTTCTTTTTGTGAGAAATATTGTGGAACTCCGTGTTTGTTTGATTACACTTGAAATACTGAAATATTCTAAAGATCAAAAGAGGTCACTTGAGATTTAATCATGACGCAAGAATAAATAAAAAAAAATATCTTAGGCGTAATATTTGAGTTTGTTTACCATTAATATATGTAGTAACGAGTAAATATAAAATTTACATATTTCAAAACATTTTAGGAAATGGAGAGTGCAATATCTACCTAAAGATTACAATTTTCATTTTTAATCCTTAATTGATTTAAATGACTTCCATTATATCTATTGATGTGAGACTGACTTAACCCTGGAACACTGTATGATTGAATTTTTATTTTTATTTTTTCAAACAAACAAGTAAGCCACGAGCCAAGTTTGTACCTTGTGGATTGCTACAATCAAAACTAGGCGAGACAAATTTAAATAAAAAGGTGAGGGAAAGAAGATTAGTATTACTTCTTGAAGACATAACATTCACATTTTTTTCATGGAAAAACAGAAGACTAATGTTTTGCCTAGAACGTTGTCTTCCCTGCTTCATAACTAGCTACAGGCCTTTCAAAAGATTTACTGACTTACCCAATCCACCTATCATTGATGTCAAGGTATTTCTTTGTATGGTACTGAGGAATCCATTTGTCATTGTATAGAATGGGGAAAGACCCTTATTTATTGATGTTACATCCCTAGTGTCTGTATCAGTGCCATTGGTTTGGCCACTTGTTGGTGAAATACACACCATGAAGCATATCCAAATTGTTAACATCCGTATTTGACTCCTGTTGAGATTTAATAACTCCATCTTTGTATTGTAATTGTTTTTCATCATATGAGTGTTTATTTCTTGTTAAGATAACATTTCTTGTCCTCACAAATCCAGCACTAAAATTGAAATAACACTACATATATCTATAGCTATTGTCTTTATTTGTCAAAATGTTGTTATCTGATAATCTTACGTGCATTGAGAAATATGAATAAACACAACACGAGACAGAGTGAATCATCGAGTAAATCATGAAGTAGTACCTGTATAAGGTGTGTTTTTCTGAGAATATCTAAACTGATCTTTGGACTCATGTGTTAACCAATTAACATTCACGCAATGGTATAACATTAACATTGTTCACACTTGTTGACATATCATAAAAACTTACTTTATTTAAATATTTGATCAAACTGGTGATTCTTCTCTTCCTGTTAACAAAGTGTTGTATCCTTTACCTTGTGTGGTCCTCCGTATTGTGTAGTCCTTTATCTTGTGTTGTCCTTTGTTGTGTGTAGTCCTTTTTCCTGTGTAATCTATTGTCTTAAACAGTCCTATTTTACGTTCCAATACTGGGATATCTGATCCAATACTGTATATAACTGTCTGGTAGACGAATCAACTTACTAGTAATGTGGGTGGGGGAGATGATAATAGTATATATATATCAGTAATTGATTCCCATAATTAATATTTAAGTTCAGCGTATGTTAATAATAGAGGTTCTAATTTGGTCCCAGAAATGCTATCCCTTGTGCTTGTATATATTTATACGTATATCTAGCCTTATGTGACTCAATAAGCTATCTGCTTCAGCCCTCTTTGCCATTGAACCAAAGTAATAACTGCATGTAATACTGATAAGACAAAATGTCATATGTTAATAAGTCATATAAATCCCTTGCGTTTCCTCTTGAATGGAGAAAAATTAGAGAAGGCAAAAGAAATAATGCAAGAATTAGTCCCAAAATTAAAGACAGGAGCAAGATAGTTATCTCTAATGAGGCATCCTTTATAGAAAAGCTCACAAAAATGTGACATAGGTAGAATATTTGGCTGGGTGTTCACAACATTGTGGACCTTCACCTCGCTGATAACAGGCATGCAGTAAATCACTGTAACCTGTAGTAGTATTGCAAGAATAAATTGTCATATACACTATTTCAAATAGGCTAGCAAATTGTAATTTTCATAAATATTCAACAGATACAACGAAATTTGAATTCTTGATTTATACCCAGGTGATACAATTACACTTACATCGAAATGTTCGGGAAACAAAACTCCCATTTTGGGCCATGTGGCGTTTAAGTGTTGCAACTTTAATAAATCTGTCAAATGTAATTTTCCAAGCTATTATTACTGATGAAGAAAACTGACATAGATTCAAACATAACCAGACTTTAACACCCTATCCAATGGGGACTTTCTGTTGCTATACCTTATCGAGGGGGTGTAATAGCAGCTAAATATTGTGATAGAGAAAAAACATATCCACATGCTGGAGACAAACCAGGAAATTTTCAAAAACAATGGAACTTTTAATGCTATGTTACTGCCATGTAGAGGCCAACCTTGATATATTTAACAATATTTATTATCTATTCACGTTATTCAGGAAGTCCCTTTAACCTAAACTACTCAATGAAGATGAATTTTGAACTTTTCAATAGCAACCGCCACGATTGAACATCACAGATAAGGAGTGTTTGTTTGTTTATTTCAAGTGATATCAGGGGGTTGTCTATAATGTGTTGTATCTGAATCATACCTTATCACATGTTTTGTTAATAAATAACAACCTGTCAACCCTTTACCAGAGTTAACATATACTCTTCAGTGTTCTCCACAGAAAATTGGTGGTGCATTTGGATTATCAGCTGGTTGGAAGCCTGTTTTAAAATCTCAGGTGGATGCTGCGTCTACTTTTTTTACCTTCAATGAAGTATTTTACCTTTAAACCCCTTTAAACTAGTAAATCAGATCTTAAAGACCTTCACAGCAGCATAACTGTAAAACCATCTGTGATAATCAGAGGGTATACAGTATGCCAAAGTTAAACAGGGTACAATGCTTCAAACCTGACAATGGTAAACATATTTTGGTTACCACTATTACATTAAGATATTCTGATCACATTCCCTTCATATTAGACATGGCTTGTGGAGCCCATGTAGAGATTGGCATGTTTTAGTTTTTTGTAACTTTCAGAGTCATATATATTAATTTGGGTTAATCAGTATTAATTTTTTAATATTTGCATTGTACTTTGCAGTAACCATGTTAAATGAAAAAATCAGTCACCAAAATGAATGTACCAGGTCAATCAATAAGTTCTGAGAAAAGCTCTTAAATCTAGAATTTTGTGATTTTTGAAATTTTATGTTTGGGTTCTATGGTAATTCGTGTTTTGGATAGGCAGGACAATATTTCCCAAAACTGTATTTGGAAATGAAGAGACAGAGGTTTAAAATTAATTTGTTATTCACACTTTTTACGTCAGGTAACGACGTAAGTCAAACAATTTTGTTTGTTCTTCATGTAAACCTAAGTACACTCACATGAAATGAGGAGTTATTCAAGTACATTTTGAACGTTAAATGTGCACTCAATTTCTTTTATTTTATAGAATACATATGAGGTAAAATATTAGTATCCTTCTGTGCTGTCACTTTATGTTCTATTTCTCTAAATTACAACCTGACTGAATGAAGCAAGGTGAAGATGTATATGAGACCCATATGGACTCATCTTCCAAATCAATGCCCAAATACATTCCGAAATTCAAAATTAATCATTTCCTCATCTAAATATAATTAGAATATACTCCTCGAAAAAAGTGAAGGACCAAGTTTAACATGGGATCTGCCATTTTTGTTAAATTTCATGAAATTCATCAATTTTGACATTAAATTTTGACCCAATGTAATGGAGATATAACATTGAAACGTTGCGGACTTTAAAGGGAATAGAATCAAGATACAGATTTATTTACTTTATTGGGATTTCTTTTGTTCCCCGCTTAGAAAATAGTCGTTCAAACAAATATGGGAGTTTACATGTAAACCTATGAGGAAAACCACTGGTCCACTGGAGTATATATGTAGTAAAAAATTAACAGAATATTGTATACAGAATTTATAGTTTATTTACATTACTGTATAGCATAATAGTATAAACCTTGTACATATCAAAATATACAAGATACCTGCAAAATGTACAGAAAAATATTAGGTGTAAACTGACAAAAGTTGAATACATTGTTTTTATTTACATATTTAAGTTTTTTTTAAATTTAAGTGTGAAACACATTTTTATATTTATAAATTCCTAATAGAATAACTTGGACTGTGTTATTTTTGTAATCAATCTCATTAGAAGCAAACAAGGCGACAAGTAAATGCATTTTTTTTAAATAGCAGGATAAAGCTTACTGTAATAAGGTGTACTAGTTTTATTTCCCCATTTTGACCATAATCAGTTTTTTAAAAAGCAATATGATTTTTTGTATTCTCAAAATGACTAATAAACCATGTTTCAGGCAACAAGATCTACTAGACATAACTTTTTGTAAAATGGCAGCTCCAAAACAAACTATTTCTCCAATATTTATTTCCATCTTCCAGAAAAATATTAACCCCCTACCCTGCCCATGCACTTTTGATATTTAATTTTTATTGATATTTTCAAATATAGTGATATTTTCCTTTTTTAGAGACAGGAATGTGGACTTTCTTTGGTTCAATTAAAAAGTATGTTACTTATATTTTTCAGTGTTTCCTTTTGGCTTTTTCAATTTTATATTGTCCAAAGGAGCAGGGAATACTTTCAGATGACATATGTGTCATGTTTTGAAATGAAAAATGAAGTACAGAAGCATGGAAAAAGTAAGGAATAAAGTAAACTGGCATGTAGTTCATACTCTACATTATACAAAAATTTGAGACAATTACGCATTTAACTTCTTTTTAGTGAGATATCAAGTACTTGAATCAATGAGTGAAATTTAACCACTGTACACGGTTAACAAGACTTTCACATACATTTACAAATATACATCAAAATATAAGCAAATATTTCATTTTATGAAGGGCAATGAATGCTTAACTTTCAATAATTTTGCATGGCTTAATCAAAGACTGTATTGAAAGTGAAATTGAATATACTGCACAAAGAATGAACTATTTGTTTTAACATATCAATACTAGATATTCTCTCGGTTAAGAATATACAAGACTGTAATATGCTGGGCAATAAGCATTCAAAATTCTAGTAATGATATAATAATTTATCGTATGATCTGTAAAATGAAGCCCTCTGATTGGTCAGTTCTTGTGCTGTACCAATCTGTATTGCAACTGAGATTGTCCCGTTGATCATCTCGGTCGCAACACAGAAAATATTGGAACGGAAGTGACAATCTCAGTTGCAATTCAAAGGATCACATGATAAAAACATTATAGAATGATTTATTATATCGTATGTTTTAACAAATATTGTAACCTCATTGTATATGTATATAAATCATATGAGAGATTGTGAAACAAGTTAGTTTTTTCACAAACACATACTAAAACATTATTTTGAAAATATTCATTTCCGGTTGTTAATATTAGTTAATCCTATGGACACTGGTGAAAGCAAATTAACCATTAACTAGCTTTGTACAAATTCTTGGTTAAACTATATGATATCATACACTTTGCTGTACATATTCCCAGTATGTATAAAAGTTATTATGTTACTACTCTAGTGACTTTCTTGTTTAAATATACCTAAAAAATTTTGGAGACATGTTTCCCCCTATTCCCAGTATAAGCTAGCTCTAATGAAATGAAGACCTGTATACATGATCAAAAATAAAATAACTAAATATAAAATAAAACTAAAACAAGCCTATAAGTAATAAAAAGTAATGGTATGATGTCTTTCATACTGACAGTGACAAGCCATAATATCTCAGATAGTTAAGTACTAGTCTCTTCCTGGATGCAAAAAGAAAAGAGATTAAAGTATATTTTTTCAACCAGGCAGTGCAATACATAAAATGCTAATTTCACTATTTCACAATTGTCAATAGCAAATCACTTGGAAATTGTAAGATATATTTTGTTTTAAATGTTGTAAAGTCTATGAGTTGTGTATCTCCCCAGACACCAGACACACAAAACTGATATTTTATTCAATGCTATATTTGTGATATAAATACGAAATCACAATATTTGTGATAATTGTTGTTTCTTATGATTTTTCAACAGAAAATGAGTGCAAAACAGAATCTTATCTCCACCGTCTGAAAATACAGGATTTACGTCACACTGACCAATCAGATAGCCAGAAAATTCATTCAAAGAAATCTGGGACATGTATTCAAGAGAGTGTACTTACTTAATTTATTATCTGATTGTGCTAAATATGAGACATTTAATGGCGTTTCCTATGCCGTTACATTCATCTGTCCTACAATACACTGTGCTTCTATCTAACTTATACTAAGGTTAATTTTAGCAAGCAAGAAATATTAAGTGTTGGTGCAATCTTACGATTCAATCAATCCATTATAGTCCTATAAAATCTAGGATACTTGTACAAAAATATACATTACTTCTTTGAATTTACTAAAATCATTATTTTATGCACAATTTCCATACAATGTCTGAGTTTCTTTATTGTGTAAATTATACTAAAATACATGATTCAATTTTTATGATTCAATATTCAATTCTAGATGATGAGAACTGAATATCTGTTGGTAGAAAAGTACATTGTAATGTTACATCCATAAATATTAGTAGATCGTAACAATTTCATTCATTAACTTTATGATGTGTACTTTATGTCCTAGTTGATACCATACTGCAATTGTTATCCACTCCCAAACTTGGGCATCACTTCCTAATTTGGGCATCGCTCCCAAATTTGGACATCACTCCCAAATTTAGGCATCATTCCCTAATTTGGGCATCGCTCCCAATTTTGGACATCACTCCCAAATTTAGGCATCACTCCCTAATTTGGGCATCGCTCCCTAATTTGGACATCGCTCCCAAATTTGGGCAACACTCCCTAATTTGGGCATCACTCCCTAATTTGGGCCTCCAATGTACATTTGTAATTCACTGTCCTCTCTTAAAGTACATCAAGCACCTCTCTTGTGGGTGTAATTATAAGTCAATCACACCCCAATTGCTTGTAAGTGCGATTACAATTTCAAGCATTCTTCCAATGTATAGGGATGTGATATAATTTAAGCACCCCTCTTATAAGTGTAACAATATTAAGTCAATCACTCCCAAATTCTTAAGGTGCGATTTTAATTTCAAGCATTCCTTCAATGCTTGTGATGCAATAATCCAGACACCCCTGTTCCATTGGTGGGTGCAATACTGAGTTTTAAGTTGAGATTTTGAGTTTATTTTTGTGATCTTTTTCCTCCCAGCTGTCATCATCCGAATCTTGTCACATGAAGTATGGCTGATTCACCTTACTGAAAATAAAAATAAAACCTGAAAAACTCAAAAAATCCTAAAACATCTGAAAACATAGGAATACTCAAACTGTATTTTATATAATAAATGTTAATAGTAACTATATTAATAAAGCATATTTATTGTTAAATTTATATTTTAATTATACTACATAAGTCAAACAAAAATACAGATTATAATGGTATTTAGGCTAGAATATACATTTAGTATTTATTTTATGTTTTAAAGGTTTCTAAATCATGCATCTTTATTTTTACAAAGAGGAACAAATAACTATACTGCATAGTATTCATTATAAATCCTTAAAAGTATTTTCATTAGAATAATACAAAATACAAATAGGTAATAAAAGAACTAGGTATAAAATTGTGAGGTGTTGGCGCATTGAAATCAACCAAATCAAAAATGCTTGCAAAAGTAACATGCAGCATATTGCATCAGGGTGCAAAATATTGCAAGGGGTGCAAAATATTACTTGTTGGACTATAGAACACCTCCATCGAGCAAAAATGAAACTTCTCTTTGTTGCCTTACTATCCTTTGGCAATATACAACCAACAACAAGTTCAAGTTTTGTCTTGCTTCACAACTCTTCCCAAGGTTTTCCATTGCATTACCAAGTTCAACAAATGTTGATTTATACAAACTTAAAGTGTAAGATAACATTTGGTGATCTAGGTGGATAGCATTAAACCTCCACTGTTAACTTCAATTTCAGCTAATAATATCCATGATTTCAGTAAACATTTGAATTCTGTTTCATAGAGTAGGTACACAATTTGCATTGTTGACCTCTGGACGAGTAAACAATTTTATATTATAGCCTTGCCACCCCATAATTTTAATTAACCAACAAAAACCAAATACACATAGTTACAATATATCTTGGAGGTATAAAATATAGATGACAAGGTAATATATAGATATGTCTCCAACACCAGGAACCATCACATCAATCAGCACATTCTACCTTGCCCCAAGATAAATTTCAACTTAAGGCTGACCCTGATCTTCAATGAGTATTTGGCTCCCCGTGGTTATACATACTCAACACCAAGCAGGTTAAGATGGGAGACCCTTATATTCAGTTAAATCAGCCAATAGCCTATAGTAGCTCATGTTTCCTTGGGGCCGGCATTTAGAATGCAGTTCTATTTGGTTACCAGTATATAGATATATTGTTCTGATGTGGTGGTTCCATTAAGTACAGCAGGGATACAGTTGTAATTCAAAATTTCAGATGGTACAATGTGCATTTTTGTGCTCTAAATATATCAAAATACAAGTGTGACCATTTAATACATACATGAGTAAAAATACATACAACTGTATTCAAACCAGTTCTAAAAGACCAAATTATATATCTATTTTTTTCAAAAAAATATTGAACTCACGTTTCCTGATGAACAACCATGACATTTCATGATTTTGAAAATCATCAACATATTCATCATGAAACATTACAGAGAGAAAACCAGGAAAACCTATAACAAGTGTGGGTGAAGGTTGTATCAAATTGTAAGTTCTATCAAACTAGAGACCACCTTTTCACTGGTGAACAAACCTGCCAACCTAATAGGTATGTTACTTACATTTGAGCAAAGCTTTTTTTATTCGTATTAGTAAAGAGTCTTGACCAAGAATGTCTTCTTCCAAAAATATGGTATACTGTACTTTCATTAAAATAAGTTCATTGCCACGTTTACTTATAACATCCATCCTTTGTTCTAAGTTTTTGGATTTCAACAATTCAAATATATATTTCAATGGTACATTCAAGATATTAAAACACTAGGCCTCTAATCGAGCTGAAGATATCTCAAGCATATGATAGGGTTCAGCTGGATGGTACATGTGTATTTCTTACAATTGAAAACAGAAAATTGTTTCATTTTACAGTCCTTTTGGAACATACTTTAATATAAGATTGGCTGGCAGGTCTGTAAAGTGCTTTATTTAAAGGGAATAGTTTAACAGAGGTAACATTTAATTTGTGTGATGAGCATATTCAGATATGATATTTAGAATCAATCCAATTTGTAAACAAGCTTACTTTTACCTACAAAATGATCACTGGGTGTTTTCCAGATGAAATGTTCATAATAGGATCAACCATTATTGGCTTATTGCACACTAACTTAAACAAACAGACAGTCTTCTTTGCCCAATGAATGCTGGGAGCATACTTTCATTAGAAACTGAGTAGCAAATATATATTGTTTAATGTAAAGAAATTTCATATCCCTGTCAAAACTGAAAATGGATACAATTTTCCCCATCCTGCGACTCCAGTCGTAACATCATCACACAAATTAAACACCTTAAAGGTCAAAAGTGAAAGGTCAAGGACAAAGGTCAAGGATGTTGGTACACAGTTATGTAATGTTACCTTGTTTGTGAAGTCAAGATCATCTACGCTCAAGTGGCATATATCCCTTCCTGGAATGAGGGAAGAATCTATGCTGTAGATAGGACTTACAATGAAACTGGATCAGACTTTAGATGTCAATCCACCAACTCACACCATTGGTAATCATAAGATACCCTGCCCAATTATTCAAAAAGACCCACAACTGCCGGGTCAAAGTTCACAGACATCTTTACGTTTTACAGTTACACTCCATTGATTAACCATGCTATATTCAAACGCAAATGTATTACTAATACATACGTATAATGTATTATGATAATGAGCTAATTGTGTAGGTTATTCATGATACTGTGGTGTGAGACGATGATTTAAGACATATTAGTATCACGCGAGTAGCAAGCAAGCCAAGCCATGATGAAGCCCAGTGGTAGATGCAGGACAGCATGCATTGTGAGTAAAGTATATTGTGATGTCACAATAAAAAATGATATCACAATGTAGTGTTATGTCACAATACAATACAATGTGATGTCATAAACATTGTATGATGACTCACAGTGTGAAGTCACAATGGACACATGCTTTACTTACCGTCCATTGTAGATGACACTTATCTATAGTTATAGTGGTACGGGGGATTGGGTGCACGCGAGGCGGGTGGAGGGGGGTAGTAATTATCAACTTCATTCTGGTAGTCATAGCGACTCATAACAGCCTGGCTAGTTCGTTGCTGTGGTTGAACATAACCATTGTCATGGTAACCACCATAGCCATTCGCAGTAGCGGGTGAGTTGTAGTCTACCATGTCTCGATTATCACGGGACGGTCTCCCATACCCACCCCGAGTCTCAGGCCCCGGGTACTCTGCTGCAGGTGTATTAGAAGCCCTTTGGCCAGAACGATTCTTTGACTTCCTGCGTGGTGGGGAATCGTCAGTCTGATAAGCACTATTATGTAAGCCACGACCATCCCGATAGTTCTTACTTCCCTCCATACTGTGCATGCGGGAAAAAGGCATCAATAAGAATATGATTGAAAAATAGGTTAATTATCTAATGGACCTTCACCAACAAACAACAAAAACAACTAACAAGGGGTCAATTCAAATGCTTATGTTTTGTACCAATATCTCTATGTACGGTATATCAGCACTGAGACAGAAATGGAAGAAAATGTGCTTTTAAAAGTGGAATTATGAACCCAAAATCTTCAATATGTTTTCCACCTTGTTTATGCCAAATTCTTTGGATATTGGTTCAAGTCTAAGAGGAGGGGTTAAGCCAAGAATATAAGGGAATTCAAACCTTTAGCAAAATTTGACACAATTTTCAGTTTTAAGCAAAAAATCAAATCAAAATGTTGACAATAAAATTGCTTTGGACCAGAATTTCTGTGTGTATTTGTAATGTTGGTACATAACATATCATCTGCTGGTTAATAGTTACTTAGACTGTGCAGCCTTTAACATGTGAATGTGAGGGGGGGGGTTTATTATATCCAATGTGGTTTCTTATCTATTCTCGGTCTGTATACAGCAGGTTCTAAACATGTTTTAGTATATACATGATGTAATTTAAAGCTATAAATTTATGTAACACCACCCAATACTTTTCCAAACCATATTCCTCAATTCATGCTCATACTTTTTATCATCATGATTTTTGTCATACACATACACTGTGCCCTTTCCCAGTTCCATGGTTCTCCTCCACAAAACATTCAACCCTCATCTGTAAATTTCTTCATAATAAGTCATATTTCTCAGCAACTGAACATAATTTTGACAAGCAAATATTACATCACTGTATATATCTCTATAAATTCAAATATGCATTTGGTATTTTCTTACATTCAAATATGTCATTTGTCTTCACATCATTCAAATATGCAATTAATAAAATATTTATCTCTGAATTTCAAACTTTAAACATTGCCCCCTACACCATACAAATCAATTGTAGCATTCAATCTAGTCTAAATTTTTTACAATCAATTTTCTCATTCTCTTGCAATGTTGAATTGTCATTTCCCCCTCCATTCCAATATTCAAATCTTAATCCCACTTCATATTCAACTCCTAGTTTCCCACATCATAAACCATTCATCTCAATATTCAGCTGATAACCATATAGCATTCCCCCATTCTAACAATGAAATCTTACTGATGTAACCAATGAAGGACTATTTTGCCTGGGGCTATATATTCTGGGACCCTGGCTCCTCATTTGTTAAGGTCAATGGCTGCTGTGATCCTGACTGACTTTGAGACATTGTATGTAAGTTGAACAGAATACTGTCATAGCCACAGGGGTAGGCAGCTCCTTCACTCCTAGTACAGTAGTAGCAACAGATATAACCACAGGGTGAGACAATTATGCCACACAATGAGATACTTTAGCCACACAATGAGATTATTTAGCCACATGTTAATTCAGCTGCATGGCAGATATAACTACAGGGTGAGACAATTTATCCACATGGTGAGATAATTCAGCCTCACAGTGTGATAATTTAGCCACATGGTTTAATTCAGCTGCTTGGCTTTACTTAGGTGACACAATTTAGCCACACAATGAGATAATTTAGCTGCATGGTTTAATTTAGCCACATGTTGAGCCACATGGGTTTATATAGCCACATGAACATAAATAAACTGATCACAATGCAGCCCCCAAAGGGTGCTATAAAAACAGACAAATAGTTTGATGATGCATCCACATGGACATCAAATTCGCATCAGCTAAACTCAAAGATAGATAAATAAGCCACATAGAATATTCATGATAATATTGGGAAATGTTGATGGCTGGTAAACCTCATTAGATAAAAATGGACATGATAACAGGATGTCATGACAAGGTTGACCAGTCACATATTAAGTCATGACAAGAAATAAATAAATAAATCATGCTATTATGATATTAATAATAAAAAATAAATAAACACACTTTAAATACAGATAAAAAAATTATGTATAGATAAATATAAAAATTGATTTATGCATTAAAATATACTTGATACTTTACAAATAATCTTTAAGTTATGATATTAATGATTAAAGATTTTAGAAAGCTTCATGTAAACCTAATGGCACTGCAAAATGACCCCAATATAGGCTAAGGATGTTAGTTGACGAAATGTGATATTAGATTTTGCACCAAATATATTTTCTACCCAGGTTCTATGTTAAACACAATGTTTCTATGTTAAACAATTTTATAACTGCATGAGAAGCTAAAGAGGTAAAGTGGGTTAAAACACACTTATATTTATTTTATTATACAATCATGATTCCTGAATGCAAATGAACGGTCATGTGACATACCCAGCCAATAATATCAGTCAGATGATGTCATGTGACCATTTCTAGCCAATCAAATCAGCAAGATAATGTCATGTGACCATATCTAGACCATTTATCTGCTTAAGATGTTGCAAAAACACCACTTCAAGGTTAGATTCAGTAAGGTCAAAAGTTTAGGTTTAAGAAGGTTGATACGAGTAGAAAAGGGGTAAAGTACATAAAAATATGCATTAATTCATAAAATACAATCAAACCATTATATAATCAATGTATTCATTATCTTTATACTACTTCATGCATAAATGTCAATAAAAAACTGTTCAGTTTTACTTAGCTAATCACACATATTAAATAAGGTTCTTTTCTTTCAATCTTGAATTTGAAGTATAAGTTGTAGATACAAATATCTCAAATACACATTTTTGTATTGCACTACATATAAATGAAATAAATATGTGGATTTAGTAAACAATTATGATATTTTGGCATTCAATCCAACCTTCCATGCCAGTTATTTGGTTCTGTTAGACACAAACAATGAAATGTTATAATCTAAACAGTAAAATTCCCCAGAAGTGAGAATTACCATTATAACACATGAAAATGTTACACAAGATAATAGCATGAATTAAGGAATAATTAAGATTTATTTGATAAGGATCGTGTATTCAATTCCAATCAACCTCAACTAGAAGGTACGTAGAAAACAGACTTATTGTGCATGTGTGTTATTTTTCAGATATTAATACACCCCTTTAGACCTTAGTATCTCACAACTAGAGAACACAACCAAACTTAAGCAAAAAATGCCAAAAATTGTCTTCATGTATTTACAGGGTGATACAAAAATGCAGCCATGTGTGCAATATTTTTCCAATGCACATTTTTGTGTCATTATGCACAAACAGCCATTTCTAAGTTGGTCATGTTCTCTTGTTAATAGACTCGTAGTACATATTTATTACACAAACACCACTTAGATTGCATGTCATATGTGTATTCACCACTATTATAATGTATTAATACTTAAACTAAAGCAATATAGGTGGGGTGTCCACTCACATCACAATACACATTCAACACCAATTGGTAAAAAGCACCAAGCTAAGAAAAAGAGCTATAATAGGAAGCTATATAGGAAGGCATTATCAACAAGTGTTCAACAGACAAAGGCCACATGGTACTATCATATAGAACAGTTGTGTGCTAGATTAACCACCATGTGTTCTATAAAAACCCACATGGTGCTACTTAGGCGCTAGATTGACACACATGGTGCTACTGATGTGCTAAATTCCAACACTGTGTGCTCAAGGAGTCACTATGTGAGTCAAAGGGTGCTAAAGGGAGCAGAGAGGTAAAGCAGAAGCACACCACTTACTCAGTCAAGGGTATATTATCGCCCATTTGCCCATTTGCGGGTCCAGAATTATAAGCATCATAATTTCTGCAATACAACAACGATGTTTACAGTACGTGTCAAAGTTCTACTGAATATGTTTCACATCTTCCTGGACTGCTTTAATTGACATTAAATTGGGCACTGTGTGCAAACTAAAAATGGAAATTTTGAATCATTATTCAAATGGAAAAAGAAATACACAAAAGATAACTCAAGTCAACATACACTATTTTGTGAAACTTCATCTAAGTTTAACTTTAACATGTACTGTATAGTATGCAATCCCATTTAGTAATAAAAATAACATTAATATATAGATATATATAACACCCATACACGAACAATACTTAATACTAAGTAACACACTTAGCCAGCTTATGCTAGTGGTATGTGTAGGCAAATTGCAATAAACATGCATATAAAATTCATGCATATGGTATGAATATGAAAATTGTGCTAAAATAATGAAATGGTAATATATGGTTTTGAACTGGCACAATCTCATAATTGGTTGACAAACCGTAAGCTGAAAAATATGGTGTTTTTGACAAAAATGGTTACAAATTATAAATAATGTTATAATATTTCTCTAAATATGAGTATTTTTCACATCAAGTAATTGAAATTCATTGAAACTTAAGTATATTTACAGCATATCTGCCTAAAAAATGCATGTAAAAAGTACACATCAGCCAGTAGAATAAGAGTTTACACATAAGAGCATGAATACATGTCAAACACTGAATATTCAGCTGAAAAATACATGCAGCATTTACATAATGAACATTATACAGAGTGACCCAAAAATGCAATTCATAAATAAAAAACATACATAATTTTGATTTTCATTGTGGGAACTACAGTAAAAAAAATGAAGTGGAACACCTCCATTGACTTAATATAAAATGTAAAGTTGAACATTCACCCAATATAATGAGGTTAAATAAAATGAACCTCTGTAAGTTGACCTTTCTCTTGCTAAAATGAGGTGCAAAAGGTGTTCCACTTACACAGATTTCACTCTACACAAATCTAGAAAGTAAATGTAGCATCTTAAAACATGCATCAGATCTTATCAACTGTTTAAAGTCCCCGTCTAAAGTTTGAAAATATTTTTTTATCATTCATTTACTATTTGTCAGGACTTAAAAAGTGATTTTAGAGATTTTTGAACAAAAAAAAAATTTTGAAAAAAAAGTTGTGAGCATTTCATTTCTCAAATATTCAAATTTCCCGCCATTTTTCAAAAAAAGTTGAAATTTCTTAATCATTAAATATTTCTTAATGCATTTCAAAAAAAGATTATCTTTTTAACACCAATGCAAAGATTGAACAAAAGACACACTATTTCAATAATAAAATGTCATATTTAATGGGGCACTTCAATGTTTTAGCTTATCAAAAATATTTTGAAACATTAGTGATGTCACTAAGGTACCAAAAACTTTTTGAAAAAAATTGAATTTTTTTTTTCGATGTCAATCTTTCCTAAATATGCTAGACTTTCATAAAAAACAATGTTGATTGTCTAGCCAGGTTAAAAGGAAGAATAAATTATGTTTTAGATATCATTGTACCATTGGTTTCTATGAGAACTAAACTTTTGAAATGCATTTTTCTCAGAACCATTTTCATGCACTGATAAGTTCATTTCTCGCTTGTTTATCAACCGATTTTCTTATTTTTTCGGCAAAAAACATGGGAGGATGAATGCTATGCATTGGTATGAATTGTGGCTAATTAGAAGATATGAGTGACCTCTAAAAGTTGGTTTTAAATAAATTCACAAATTTTGGAACAAAAAATCTATCAAAAACCACTTTTTGAAATTTAAAAAAAAGTTTCACATATCACACTTTGATAACATTGGGTAAGACTACAATATAAGCCAAAGTGGTTTAAACTTTACACGGGGCCTTTAAGATAAATATCTGGGTCACCCTGTACATAAATCAACAGAAACACACAACATTGCTAGTTCTGTCTGGTATGTTATATAATTGACTTACAGGCTCCAAATTCTGCCAGACATGCAGTCATTGCATTAGTATATTTATTTGTTATTTTAATTGAATCTTAATATGAGGCTGCTGTTTATGAGGAATAGGCAATGTGATTATTTGTGAAGAATAGGCAACATTATTATTTATGAGGAATAGGCAACATTATTATTTATGAGGAATAGGCAACATGACTATTGATCAATGATTATCAGCCAATTTTATTGCATTACCATGGAATGACCAATATGGTTCAATATGAAGTATTTGCACATTTCAAATACAATGTACATGCTTTAGTTGTTTAGTAAAGGTCATCATTTTTTGCTGATATTAGTATACACTCCATATTCATTTTCGCATCAATTTGTATCTATACAGGGTGTCCTCAGAGTACATTTAAGTAACAGCTGTACTTCTGAAGCACCCTGTATATATTATATATACCCTGAAATGCTGCACGCGTGGACCATGAATTCGGCACAAGCTCAACAGTTGAGATGTTTATGATCATAAACTTTTTCTCAAGGAATGTTGAATTAGGAGAAACTCATTTTATTTATCTCTAGCAGATTTAGTTCTTGATAGATATCAAATAAATTGGGCATCTCTATGAAAAAAATTCAGAAATTCCAAGATAATACTATTAATTATTTCAAATTGATTTTAACCACTCAGAAAGGAACAAAACTGTGCTTTAATCACTTTAATCCAGGAGGATAAGGGTTAAACTGCATAAAGATCATTGCCAAATTCATGACCCTTGGATTAATAGTAAGATTCAACACTCATTTAGAGCTGTACTTACGGATCTTCAAATGACTTGTATTTGTCAAATTGTTCTGTTCTTCTGTATTCTGTTACAAGAACTAATGCTATGATGAGGCAAGGCAGCATGAAGAAAAGGCACCAACCAAGAGCAAACCAGAAGCCATTCTACAATAAACAAACAATGTTTAAGTACAATATATACATGGGTATATTAGAGCCTCTCATCCAATCAGATTTCAAAATAGCAATAGATGATCGTTCATGGCATCATGCAATCTGCATTGGGGTAACTGCATTATGTCAGCGTACAATACAAGTGTCAGTACAGTTTCACTCACCTTCAGTTCATTAGTACGACTCATTTCCCAATGAGTGCTAAATTTCACCATGAATGAACTATCATTATTTATCCCTTACTAAATATATAAAGGAGATTTATGGTACTAGTGGATACCCTTTATTTCTAATCTTGTGATATAATTGAGACAAGGTATCAAACGAAAAAATGTAACCACCTGGTTGCAAGTACAAAAGTGTAACAATTGTTACAGAAAATGAACACCGATGCCAACAGAAAACTTTTGGGTTATCAACATGGGTGCAACAGTATGTAAAACCTATTATGAAAATAAAAGAAATACTCACAAATGGGTTTAAGACATTCTCACAAGCTCCCTCTGCTACAGAGTTGAGATTACTGTATAATGTGTAGCACTTTCCCAACTCATTCTGGAGCTATGAAAAATAAATACAATTAATTCAAGAGAATACTAAAATACATACTTTAGTAATACTACGATTGAAATGTACATATACGTTTTGGCTAAATGTACATCTAATAAAAGTAAACTTGCATACATTTACAGTAATAGTAAAGAAATGGAAGAAAACTATGAACCATGGTTTCAACTGAATACTTCCCATGCACAGAATAAGAATCTCATCCCTACCAGCCATTCTACAGGTTATCATGGCAACAGTTAAATTACACTCGTAAAGTTATGATCCATTCACTTCAGTATAATGCTATTCATTTATGGTTAACAATTAGAAATTAAGGATTCTGTTACATTAAATACAACTTTTAAACACATACCTTAGGACTCAAACTAGTTACATAATCAGTGATCTCTTGTTTCACAAAGTTAGAAGTTTCAGTCAATTTCTGCAAAACAAAAATAAAACATTATTTCATCAAAATGTTTTTAGTGTTCATACTGTTTGGAAAAGTCCTATTTAGCATAAAATGTTCTATTGTATTCTGTATTCATGGAAAACACTTGACCACAACATTGCTCCATAACATTGGGCGATAATTATTATGTATGTATCTTTCATTTCCCAATTGATTGCTTTAGGAATTATGACATTGAAGGGTGTATTGGATTCATCAACCATTTTTACTGTTATAATATTCCTGTTCTATACTCTTATTTTTTCCTGAAATTAATTTGAACACTCAAGAGTAAAATATCATGAAAACTGCATTTGGCATAATCAAGATCATGATAACAGCAGTTTACGTTATAACAAATGGCAGACAGGAAGGAGATATTGGGAGGTACTTACATTCACGATGGTAGTGCTGCCAGTTGTTGTAATCTTGTTCTGCGCGGTGTCTAGATGGCTCAACAGGTTATTCACTCTAGACTATAAAACATTTAAAATTCAACTCCTTAATAACTACATAAAAATAAGACATACGACAAAAATAAGTGTGGTTATCAATTCTCATGCCGGTCCCTATTAAAAAGAAATTTAGATCCAACAATTAAAAGTTATGATAATACAGTAGAGTCCAACATATTTTATCTTTATTCTTAAATTTATAAACTTCACCTAACTTAGGATATAAGGTACAGAACATTAACAAAATTAAGAAATTATTCAAACCCCCACTCAAAAAGCAAATTTTACTTTCCCATTGAAATAATTACTTAAAATTGTGAAGACCTTCCAACAGTTGATACTTTTCCTCACAATAAACTACAGGATTTCAAGATTGAACTACATAATATTAGACATTATATGGCTTTAACTCAAAGTACATATATGTAGATAAAATATTTCGATTAAACATCAATTTTTGCAACTCCATCTATGTTTCACTCTAACATGAAACAATTCATTGACCCATACTGACATCTTATTTCATCGAAAGGGGTATTTGTTACACAGCATCGTTAAATTGCTTCATTACAAAACATTTTGACAAAAAGCTTTGTACAGACATGGTATTTAACGCATTAATTGAAATCTCAGAGGGATGCGATACAATGACTAATAACACATTCTGGATTTCCTAATTGGCAAGCAAGTATATGATGTTAACGTACATACTACTGTACTTAACTTGGAATAGAGGTATGAATAAGCAATATTATGAACAGAGGGTTTGCAAGGACTGTACATTTAACCTTGACATAACTGAAAAGGCATTAACATGCAAAATGTCACCACCTGTCATTTGTTACAGACACTGACTGCCAAACACCAACCACCATCCACAAAAAGTTGGAGACTAAGAGATCATCACTTCTAGTGGTGACATAAAAAAATAGAACTCCCAATTTTTTCAAAATCTCCCCAGCCTTTCAATTCCCATACAGTAAAATGTTGACCTGGCACCTAGATTTGGTCTATTAACACGCTATAATTCAGTACTTGAAAGCGGATTTATAGGATTCAACTTGGTCATAGTTCCATCACGTCCTGTTGCAAAACTGAGTAAATACACACTACATACATGCACCTAGTATTCTATTATGAATAGTCCTATGTAAAATAATGACTACAATTACAATTCATGCATGTTATAAATATCCTAATTTACCTCCAATCAGACATTCAAGGCTTAACAAGCTGATTGAGGGTCAAATAAATATTCAACCTAAGACGCATGACTAAAACGAAATTAACACCAACCTTTTGCATTCTTAATATTTTAGTGATTTCTGGGTGTTAGGAATTAAGGTTCAGATGGATACAAATGCTACATGCAGATGTGGAGGTTTCCTTAGCAACAGGCAAACTTTCTCCAGTATTTTGACCAAATCTGAGAATTTGAGAAATCTGTAATTGTTTCCATGTTAAAGTCAAGCCTGCCTGTTGTTAACAATTCTAATGAAGCCCCGTGAGAATACCTCCAGTAGTCCTCCACCCTCTAAACATACGTCAATTCACATAGCTTACTGACCGGTTCTCCTAGCATTTGAATAGGTCTGACCCATTCTGATACTCAGACCATCTCTGCTATGCACAATGTTCTAGAATTTTCTAGAAGGAAACTGAGAGAAGGCTGTGATATCTCACGATGGGTCTGAACCTTTATGTAATTATGGTTGAAATGACGGGGTTCTAAAAGGTAGCAGTACATTTATATGTTTTGACCATGCTTTGATACACTACATTACAATATACCTGAATAGCAATAGAAACACCGTTCTGGAATTAAACATGCAAATGAAGAGATATGAAATATAAGACAGACCAATGAAGGTTGAGAAATCTAATTTGCTTTAAAATTGACAAAGCAAATGAGAGACATAGATACGGGTTAGTTAGATTGTGTTGTTTGGTATTTTCCATTTTTCTCTCTGTTGATTGGTTACCATGAGGCTAATTTTGGGTGATTTCAGGAAAATAATACAAAACTAAAAAAAAGTAGAGTTTTGGTGTTCACTGTTTATAAGTGTTTCCTAAATTGAGTTAAGTGTTTTCCAAGCATATTTTGAGTTTCCTATTTTTAGAGGTGCAACCAAAATTTCCAAAATAATTAAGGTGACAAAACCTCTAACACAGATATAAAAGCTATAATACTTTTTAAATCTAGTTAGTGGTAGGGCCACTTTAGGTATTTGAAATGGTGATATCTGAATGGGTTAAGGACTGGTTAAAGACTAAATGGTGTTCTAAAAAAATGCTTAGAAAGTGAACCATTTTATCCTTAAAGGTCTCTTTGCAGAGAAATAAGTAAAAATATTGCCACTGTATTAAAGGTAGAATCAAAGATGTTTTTTTTTTACTTTTTTTTTCAAAATGCATCTCAATTCCAGAAATTGTTGTCATGGTTATTGTTATTTCTTTTCTTCTTAAAATTTCAAAAGTTCATACCCTTTTTACTGATTTTAATATTTGCTTTTAATGGCAATAACCACATTTTTTGATATGTTACAGAAAAATAACACAATTTATCATTAATTGTAATCTGATTCTACCTTTAAATGCTCAGCACAACATTTACAGATTAAGCGCAGGTGAAAACTTACTTCTAACTGAATATGAAAAGAATATACAGAAAGAAATATATATTATTTAAATTCTAGAAATGGTTACCCTAGATATACATGTAAATCTATTCAAGTCTATATTCAAATTCACGACATTAATGCACTATCAAAGGTTTGTATGAGACCTACCTACATGGGGGGATTGAGAATATTACACAAGGAATTGTCCTAGGGGTGAGATTTTAACAAAGTTCTTCACCTCGAGACAGGGACTTTGAAATGCATATCCCAGGTAATTTGAATTTTGACTATATTTGACCAGCTATCACTGCTCCCAGGGTGGGAAAAGTGACTCACTAGGTTGCTCCTAGGCTAGGGAATTTGACAGACCAATTTTATTTCATCCCTAGCGGAAAGGAGTAGATCTCAAACAAACCTTTAAATGGTGCAGCAGCTTTTAAAACCATAAAGATCTGACAAAATATGAAATTAAGCAAAGAAAGAATCAATGATGTAAGCTACAGATGTCGCATTTTCTCATCTATTTAATTAAAAGAAAATTTATACATTTTTGCCTATCTACAGTTGTCCACCATACTATAAGGTAAATTAAAATAATTCTGTTTTTTAAAGAATAACAAAATATTATTTTACTAACCTGGAGGTCAACATCTTTCTCCAAATCATCAATCGCTTTTTGTAAATCAACCTGTAAAAGTAAGTTACATATATTTCATCATTGTATATTAATAGCCTAACTATTATTATATCTTGGTTACCGCCATATTTGGCGAGCAATACCTCATTGGTATATTCCGTATTTACGTATTTTACACTTGAAGATAGAGCCAGAAACCCCTCCTTGGAGGAGCCCTGTGTTTTTTTATGTGCACAGGTACACAGACATACAGGTACACACCACAGCCTTTTATATGAGTCGTGAACCACTCAGTCAAACACCCAGAATTACATAACGCACAAACAAACTTGTCTGAACCGGGAATCGAACCCGGGGCCAAGCGATATTGGTAACCTTGACTCTCTATAAAATGTTGGTTTGAGATATATCTAAATATTTTGGTAAATAGCATGAGATAATACCATTTTTTTCATTTAGAAATGAGTGTTTTGGTGATATAGCAGCTCTAGCGTGAGTGAATCTTTAGAATTTAGTGTGCAACTTTTAAGATATCCCTACTCATAAAACATGTTTATTGAACTGTGCTGTACCGTTAATGTGTTCATTTCTGCCACAGTGGTTGCATTGATGTCTCGCAGTCTACCAGCCTGTGTTCTCAATGCACTTGCTGTAGCTGGATCACTCTACAATAAAATACAATTAAATTCAATTGAAGTTCATAACTCAATTTTCTCAATGGCAGTGAATACACGTAAGGAATCTAGATCTCATTTTAACACAACCAAAAGCATTTTGATTTATCTTTTAATTTCATCTGACTACTGTATCCATCTTCACTACACGCAACAGATTCCTTATAAGTAGTATATCACATAATAATATAACATCTTCCAATATTCTTCCATGACATATCCTCAGGATGCTTAGTGAAAGATTTAATATGTAGCTTTAAACATATTGCTTACCCCCTCTATAGCTGTAGCGAGGCTTTCAAGGTCATTTATAAGAACTCCAAGGTCAACACTTGTGAATGACTTATTCAACTGCAAAAAAACAAATATTATATACATAATAAACCAGAACAACGGCAACGCCAAAGCGTAGCGAATCCCATCGAACAGAAATGGCTGGCATTTTTACAAACGAAATATACAGCAAATATCATAAAGACACACCAGAAAGGCCACCATTTTCAAAATGGTTGCTCACTAGCCAAGTTGTCATCAGAAGAAATAATATGCTTTTAAGTAGCCACCTATAAAATTTTTGAAAAATCGCACACATGTACTTGTAAAATAACACACATAAAAATGGTGGCCATTTTTCAAAATGGACGACTACACCCCAAAGTTTTATTAGACAATGTGCCATGCTTAGAGTATTCACATATCAAATATGAGCAAAATCGCTTCACTACTTTTCAAGTTATAGTAAAAAACGTAAAAATGGTGGCCATTTTTCAAAATGGCCGCCTACTACCTAAAGTGTCATTAGACAGTGTGCCATGCTTTTAGTATTCACATACCAAATATAAACAAAATCGCTCCACTACTTTTCGAGTTATAGTAAAATACGTTAAAAAGGCGGCCATTTTTCAAAATGGACACCTTCTACCAAAAGTGTCATAGGACAGTGTGCCATGCTTATAGTATTCACATATCAAATATGAACAAAATCGCTCCACTACTTTTCGAGTTATAGTAAAATACGTTAAAATGGCGGCCATTTTTCAAAATTTTTTTTCAAAATGGCCACCTTGTACCAAAAGTGTCATAGGACCGTGTGCCATGCTTATAGTATTCACATACCAAATATGAAAAAATCGCTCCACTACTTTTCGAGTTATAGTAAAATACGTTAAAATGGCGGCCATTTTTCAAAATGGCCGCCTTCTACCAAAAGTGTCTTTAGACAATGTGCAATGTTCATAGTATTCACATACCAAATATGAACAAAATCGCTCCACTACTTTTCGAGTTACAGCAAAAATCGTAAAATAACGAGTAAAGGCCGCCATTTTTCAAGATGGCTGCCATGTGGTTTTTCAATATCTACATTTGTAGCTTTGTTAATGTCCTTTATAATTTTTTTACACTAAAAACATATTGCTATTACAGTTTTACATATTGCACCTAAATTACTGTAAAATCGGCACTAAAATGGCCGCCATTTTGAAATGAGCGGCCATTTTGAAAATCGGCTTTCGAGCAGAACTCCTACCCCCATAGGGTATATGTGTACAAAATATGAACAAAATCAGGCCTACGGTATTTGAGTTATTGCCCGGACGGACGGACGGACGTACGTACGGACGGACGTACGTACGGACAGACGGACGGAGGCGTTCCCTATATCCCTCCGAACTTCGTTCGATGGGATAAAAATTATTTAACAAATTGAGTTAACCTTCATATGTCAATGTACACACAATGTTGACATGGAAGAAACATAAGTCTACGCCAATGCTTACGCCAATGCTTACGCCAACCGCTGAGTACCAACGGCCAAAGGCCAAACACCTTCCACAAAAAGTTGGAGACTATAGCAACATGCTTTAAAAATGTCATGCCCAGCCTATTATATTGAACATCCCAATTTTTCCTACTTTCATAGAATGGCATTTAAATGATATAACAAAATATGGTCAACTTAGGATTCCAAAGCTCCATAAGATATAATACTTATTAAGTACAGGTAATGTTTCTTTCAAATAAAATTTTCAAAACTATATATTTCTTGGAATAATAAATTAAATTTGAAATTCATCTTACCTCCGCTCTAAAGTCATCAAAATCAATATTGCCAACACCGGAATTTCCTAGATTCTGGAGTTCAGTTCTTGCATCATTGCTGATGATATTAACGTTAGATAGGTCGATGGATACATCATGGATCTTATCTATCTGGCTAAGCATATCTTGGTAGATTTGCGACTGGAAAATAAAATGTACGTTTTTAATTATTGAATTGAAAATATCTCTATATTTCATAATTAGAGTTTTGGGATGCAAAAAAGTTAATTTCAATTTCCAAAATAATAAAATATAATCGTTAAATTTATCAACATGGGAGTTTTTAGGTCATTTTAAAACTGCTACAAATAAAATGGTTATTATTCTTATGATTTATTTAAATAACCAAATATTCACAAGAATAGTGTCCTATCATAAACCATTTAGTGCATTAATATGGTGGACTGCACCTTTAAATGTAAGAGTAGAAACAATGAAACCAGAAAAGTGGAACACCTCTAGAAGTGAAAACATCTCTGTAAGTGGAAAATATTTCAGAGTCCCAAGACCAACTCAAAGAACCAAAAGTGTTCCACATAGACAGGTTTTAATGTACACAATTCACCAAACTGAAATATTTTCTGTATGAACATGTATTTAATTTTTTGGACCACCCAGTAGATACAGCAGCACAGTATGTTAACACAATGTTCTTTACTTACATTTATATCAAGATATGGTGCATGTATTCAACTTTTTTGAACCACCCTGTACATATAGCACAGTATGTTAACACAATGTTCTTCACTTACATTTATATCAAGATATGGTGCATGTATTCAACTTTTTTGAACCACCCTGTACATATAGCACAGTATGTTAACACAATGTTCTTTACTTACATTTATATCAAGATATGGTACATGTATTCAACTTTTTTGAACCACCCTGTACATATAGCACAGTATGTTAACACAATGTTCTTCACTTACATTTATATCAAGATATGGTACATGTATTCAACTTTTTTGAACCACCCTGTACATATAGCACAGTATGTTAACACAATGTTCTTTACTTACATTTATATCAAGATATGGTGCATGTATTCAACTTTTTTGAACCACCCTGTACATATAGCACAGTATGTTAACACAATGTTCTTTACTTACATTTATATCAAGATATGGTGCATGTATTCAACTTTTTTGAACCACCCTGTACATATAGCACAGTATGTTAACACAATGTTCTTTACTTACATTTATATCAAGATATGGTGCATGTATTCAACTTTTTTGAACCACCCTGTACATATAGCACAGTATGTTAACACAATGTTCTTTACTTACATTTATATCAAGATATGGTGCATGTATTCAACTTTTTTGAACCACCCTGTACATATAGCACAGTATGTTAACACAATTGTCTTTACTTACATTTATATCAAGATATGGAGCATGCATTCAACTTTTTTGAACCACCCTGTACATATAGCACAGAATGTTAACACAATGTTCTTCACTTACATTTATATCAAGATATGGTGCATGTATTCAACTTTTTTGAACCACCCTGTACATATAGCACAGTATGTTAACACAATTGTCTTTACTTACATTTATATCAAGATATGGTGCATGCATTCAACTTTTTTGAACCACCCTGTACATATAGCACAGAATGTTAACACAATGTTCTTCACTTACATTTATATCAAGATATGGTGCATGTATTCAACTTTTTTGAACCACCCTGTACATATAGCACAGTATGTTAACACAATTGTCTTTACTTACATTTATATCAAGATATGGTGCATGCATTCAACTTTTTTGAACCACCCTGTACATATAGCACAGAATGTTAACACAATGTTCTTCACTTACATTTATATCAAGATATGGCGCAATGTCAACCTGACTCTCCAAATCTGCAGCTTTATATATGGCCATATTATCCTTACAATTAGATCTACAAAAAAAACATTATATATAATAAATAAATGATGCATGAAATGCAATAATCCAATATGATATAATCAAACGATATATGTACTAGGTTTGTAGCTATTACTATTGATATTGAGCTTTTTGAAATTATAAACAATAATATAGTTCATATTTCTGTAAAAGTAAGTTGCCATATCCTGAATTTTAGTCCAACTACCCAAAAAATGAATTTGAGGTCAATGTGACATTTTGTCATTTACTTGTCAATATATGAGTTATCTATCATGCAGAATTCATCATTTCAGTAAAAAATCATCCTACATAATACTACATATACATGAACATGATACTCACATGATTCCAGATATGTTCACGGTTGTATTCACTTGGGTTTTGATAATATCTGTAAGCAGCTGCAATGTAAAACATTATGTGATTTAAAATATTTCACTATGGTCTTCAATGTAAAGTACACTCTAACAGGTCATCTTGGCTGAGCTGACTGTGTTGAGTGACTATTGATTAACTTGACTATGAGTCATTTGTGGATTAAATTGACTATGGATTGAGTTGACTATGGGTCAAGTTGACTATGAATTGAGTTGACCATAAGTCGATTTAAGTAGACTCTTGGTTAAGTTGACTGTGGATTGAGTTGACCAGAAGTTGAGTTAAGTAGACTATTGGTTAAGTTGACTATGGATTGAATAGGCTATTGGTTGATTTTACTATGAAGTTGAGTTGACTATTGGTCAAGTTGAATATTGGAAAAGTTTAATACTGAATAAGTTGGCTATGAGCAGAGTTAACTATTGTTTATCCTGGCTGTGGGTTGATTTGACTCAATGTTTGGGTATATCATTTCATTAATAGATGTCACTCACCTTCATTCCTGCTTCATTCTCGATGGGGTAGATGTTTCTACATACTTCTGTTTTCAGAATGCCGCCTGGTAGGAAGAGAAGCATTGTGACAAGCATGAGAAGCCAACTGAATAGGAATGTAAAGGCAACTCCCCTGAAAGTTAAATCAATTAATGTATATTTAAGGGATTTATATGTATACTACTCATTAATCAATTTGATATATTATTGCTAATTACAGTATATTTCACATTACATATAGTATTACCAGATAATAAAAAAAAGACAAGAATTTGATAACAAAAGATAATATTGATGAACGATAAAGGATAACAATAGGAAGATAACAAAAGCATGATAATAAAAGATAAAAAGGATGATAATGAAATATAACAGAAGGAAGATAACAAAAGGATGATAATGAAATATAACAGAGGGAAGATGACAAAATGATGATAATGAAAGATAACAGAGGGAAGATGACAAAAGGATGATAATGAAATATAACAGAGGGAAGATAACAAAAGGATGATAAAAAAATAAAACAATTCCTTAACATGCAAAATGTCATCACCTGCCATTTGTTACAGACACCAACCAACGAACACCATCCACAAAAAAACTTGTGGTGGAGGCATATCAGAAAGAAGATAATGGAAGGAAGATAAAAATAAAAGAGAACAACACAAAAATAAAATACAGAAAAATAAAAAACAAGAGAAAAATGTAAACTACTTACGCAATCATCAAATTACCACCAATATTACGATCGCAGGTTTTGGAGTCCTGGTACTTAGCGTCCCCACAAAATCCAACTGCAAGGCCGAGATAGTAAAATAGGATGATGAGAGCTACAATAGCCCCGAGTCCTAACCCCGCGTACCACCTGTATTGACCATATTGGGTAACATCTGCATTTATAGCGCTGATATTTGCTCTATAAGCATCGATATCTATCAAGGCAGGCTAAAAATAAATAACAATGAACACAAATTAATTGGTTTTCAGCATTTTTAAGCGTATTATTCGTATTTAAAATTCTAATTTCTTGTATGAAAAAAACATCCATTGTTCAGGAAGTTTATAGTAACAGTGAGAAAAGTGTCGATTATAAAATTTATTTTCTGTACTGGAGTAGTAAATATGCATCTATATAAATAAAATATACAGTTACCTGCCCATCAGCTGGTGTAATAAAAGATCGCACGGTGTCTAACGCATTTACAACCTCAACTCTTATATCATTTGCCTGCACTTTACTTTCTGTAACAAAAAATACATTAATATATGTTTGTGGTATCTTGATTATAAAAACATTCATTAAAGCATAGAAACCCTGATTAAAGAGCCTTGGTGCCAAACTCCTATAATTGCTCCATTAACAGACTCTCGGACAGATTAAACAAACTCTCTGTATATAAGTACAAGGCTACAGATTAGGGAAGCAATTTTTAATGTGAAGTTTTAATGTGAAGAAAAATTTGTGTTGTGAAAAGATTTTGCAGAATATGCTTGAAGGGTGTCACAGTTCACAGTTCAAGTCTTAGCCTTTTAAAGTATTCTGTAAAATTTAAAATATATTTCTTTCTATATTTAAGTGTATTCTTAAATCCTGCCCTTTGTTTTACATATGACTCACCATTTATGGCTGTATTTGCCTTTGTCTCTACTTCTGCTACAATTGAATCAAAGCTGTCTTGTCCCTTGAATAAATAATTAAAAAGTTTCAAATAAATGAGCTATATTCTGAAGAAATGTATTGGTCCACAAGACTTTACAAGATGTTAGGATATTTTACAGAGGGGTAAATGAACTTGCTGTGTAAATATCATATTTTTATAATTCTCATTTGCGAATCAATTTAATATAGGGTTTTAGGATATTTAAATGCAAATAATGTAATGGATGCTCAATTATCAACAGTTTTGGAATAACAAAGATAGTTTCCTTGGGGGGATAATGGTTTCGTTAGCGAAGAGTGATGATTTTTTAATATTCAAATGAAAGAAAAATCAACAATTTTAATTTTGTTGTATGAGGGAGGGGGGAGGGGTCAGACCATATTGAACTTCAGTTTCCAGGACTGAACATCATATACCTATGTCTAATTGAAAACATATATAGGTTATTTACTGGGAGGGATTGAATATGGGTTTTATTCCGAGGGACAATATGATATTGACCGAAGGGTGATATGATATTGACCGAGGGAGCGCAGCGACCGAGTGTCAATATCATATTTCCCAAGGTCAATATCATATTTTCCGAGGAATGAAACCCATATTCAATCCCGACCAGAAATAACCTATTTATTCCATAATACATTCCTCTAAAATGTCACATTTTGAAAATGCTTTTATCAATTAGCTAAGGTTAAAAATAACAGGAAAACCAAAAATAGGTTAATATTTTCCAATACGATTTTTTTCCCGGGGACAATACGATTTTTTCATGTAATACGCTCCAATACGATTTTCTTCCCGGGGACAATACGATTTTTTCATGTAATACGATTCAATACGATTTTTATTCCTTCATATTTCCCTGGGAAAACAGTAGTATTATGGAATAAATAGAGGATATCCTATGATTTATGAGTGATATGATTTTTATCCACGAATGGATATGATATCTGCACGAGCGAGCGTAGCGAGAGAGTGCAGATATCAATATCCATGAGTGGATTAAAATCACATCACGAGTAAATCATAGGATGTTCTTTTTATTCCATAGTTAAAGTCATCATCAGAATCGTCGGAAATTAAGTGATTTATTTCGAATTTTCCAAACGATCCAGCGATGTTTACACTAAGCCTCGTTTTGAGTCTGAAGTAGCAAAAATCCATAAACCATAGCATACGACGTCGTATGTCATGGCTAAAAAACCATATGCTATGGTTAAGTGAAAATTTGTCAAAAATATCATATTTTACCACTGATTACAAAAATACCGTTTTTATTTCCATATGTTATCCTATGAATATCATGCTAACTATGGAATAATACTCAATATTTGATGATCAGTAATATGGTATAAAACACTCACAAAATCGGGTTGATAGCACATAGATTTGAGAGTTTCTGGGATCCCATGTAAATACAATGTGACTAAATGTATTCAAGAGAATATAATATTTGCATACCTGTTTGATCAATGATGTGAAGTTTTGTTGAAGAACACCCCTAATAGCTCCAATAACAGACTCCACACTGTCAACCTTTAAGATAAAAAGTGTCAATGTTAAAAAACTTTAGGAAACATTTAACAGGGATTTCATAAACTTCAGGCAAAATGTAAGTTCCTCATCTTTTGCAACTGTTTCAATGTTTCAGCAATTTGTGATTATCATATACTAGATTCCATTGGAGATTTACATCACAAAGAAATAAACACTGCACTAAATACAAGGGGTGATCATAAAGTGCTCATAAATTTCTTTAATTCTTTCTCTGATCACCCTCATTTTCAACGATCAATTTGAAATGCTTACTGTAGAGTAGTCAACTTGAACATCAAGATTGCTCAGTTTGGTTCTTATATCATTACAGGATTGTGTGCTACATCCACTAATACTACTTGTCGTATCTGTCTTCACTGATGTCAACTCACTGGACAACCGGTTTGTTGTGGTTACTAAGGCCTTTGTTGTAGTATTTACGGTGTCAAGGTCTTCTATGATAAGTGATGTTCCTACAGAAGTGATGAAATGTATGTATAACATATGTACATTCAATGGTTTTGAACTTATGTTTGAATTTACTTTTATTTTACAGTACATTTCTAAAGAAGAGATAATTCTTGTATAACATACATTTAATGGTGTTGAATTTACTTTTATTTTATTGTTCATATTTTCAAGAGCTGAGAACGGATAATTTTTTCATAACATACATTTTATGGTTTTGAACTTAGTTCTAAAACTACTTTTATTTATTGTTCATATCCCACACCATTCATTGATATATCCATCGTCGGGAATTTGAAAAGCACACCTTTCAACCTTTTCAAAGTCCTAAATGAGAGCTTTCAAATTAAAAATTGGAAATATCTTTCATTAAAAAGAAATGAGAATTTTGACCCTGCCTTTAGAAATTTTATTAAGATTACTTACTCTCAGAGAGGGCAGTCGCAGATTGTAGTAATTCTGTAGCATTTGTAATCCCTCCTAGGTCATCCTTAGCCTCTGCTGGGAGTCCTGAATACACATATACATCACATTAACATGGTAATAGTACTGACTATGAAATATCATGACAACTAATCATCAGTGCCCCCCCAGATTTATCCTCAAGTGAGCCCAAAATTCCTGTCAGAATTAAGAACTAAATCTTGGGTTCAAACCCAGGGCCCAAAAAGTGACATTTCTATCATAGGGTCATTGGTTTTAGTATTTTCCAAAAGAGGTCAAAGTAAAAAAATTGCAGACATCACTTTACCCATACATAACATCTTCACTACCTAGAGTGACAAGATTTCTCATTACCTATAGAGACTAGATAATCTGGCACAAATAACACAGATGCGAGTAGGTAGTTACCAGTTTAACCACCAGGAGTTCTGTTTTAGTGGTTCAATTTTCATATAACCCGTATGTATCTAATAGTCATGCAAATTAAAATATCTCCAGTAAAGAAAATGTTATCTGTCCAATACAAGAAAAGATATTTCACTTTTTGTGATTTTGTAACATGCCTATGGGGAATCAACCCGAACTAGAAGTCACATTTTCAAAAAAAAAAAAATTTTCAAAGTTAATAAACAATTTTCGAACCCATATTTCTAGATGTACTTATACATGTAGATTTCAAATATGACATCACTTTGTGTGAATTTTGAATGTTTAATAACGTAAATCAAGGTTATTTCTACTCGCATCTAGTCTATTATGGCACTAAAAGTGCCTTTACAAAAAATCATGACTACTTTCCAAGCCAATATTAAAGCCTCAAAATCAGATGTTAGAATTGTAAAGGCTATTTGAACTTACTGTCAAGTCTTGCAAAGATTGTATTCCTAGTAGTGTCGTACCCTCCCAGTATAGTTGAGTCTAATTCCTGAAAAATATATGAATGTATAACATTAGGAGAAATTAAATTAATCAAATCAAGTTTAGCTAATCTACACAGGTCCATTGTCAGCTTTTACCAAGAAGGTCAGTTTTTTTAAATTAAAGGGCTTAAACATTCTGATACTCATAGGATCTTTCTGTTTCACCTGAAACATCTCAGGGCTGAGAATATTTGGGATGTCATGGTTTATCATGATGGGGCTTAAAGGTTAGGTGAAAAACTGCATAATTTTGAAAGAATTTTCAGCCAGGGGGATACATATTTTATAGCTTTGTGAAAGATATGTAAATAATATTTTCACTTATAATAAATATATCACACCCATTATTGAAATATATGATATTATTAAAGAGTTCAGGTCATTACAAACTAAAGATTTCAAACTAACTTTTTTCATATACCAATATACAAAAGGTCTAGTAGAACTCTTTTCACTTTCAAGTTTTAGTACTCAAAGAAAACCATTCAAAAGTACAGTATGTGTAAAACTTCATGTCATTCAAAATGAATAAAATGAAAAAGTTATTGGTGAATTGTTTCTGACAAATAAAGATATAAATGCCATACTATGTCTAACTTCAAGATGGTTTTTATGGAGAGCTCAATGAAATAAACGTTCAAGATTTTTACTAATCTGGCATCTCATATTTTTTCTGTTGCGATTTAGATGTGCTGGAGTAGCAGTGATGTTAACTTTTTGTTAAAAGTTAAAGTTGTATTGTTGTAAGTTATGTTATGAAACAAGGATGACATGATTTACAAACCAATGGCACAAAATTCAGTAAACCAGAACCTTTATATTACATTACATTTTCACAATCAGAATCAGATCTATAAGGGGGTCCAAAACTGCAAGCTAGATTTGATATTCCATTTAAATACCTTCCCGAATCAAGATGGTTAACAGAGCATTCTTATAATAGGAGTGGTTAAAAAGTCCAAACATATGGTTAAAATAAGGTTTTATGGTTCTGTTAGGTGCACGATAGTATTGCATCAAGCAATAATGTTTGTAAGAGGTGGCAAAAGAACATAAAGGCTCGACTCAACCTGAAGTGCACATGCGCTTACACAAAGGTTATTACACAAGGGCTTGGCGCATGCTTAAGTGCATGCGTACTTACATCTACGTATGCTGTCATATAGCTTTTTACAGAGCCAAGTGAACTATCCACATCGCTGAGATATCCTGATGAAGTAGATTTTCCTAACTGTTCGTAAATTAACTCATTTGTCATAAAACAACATACCATGCCGGCCCTGCAAATAAATTGGAAAGCAATAAGAAACAAATTACTCCCCTGCAAAAGGTTATTGCAAAAATAAATTTGACTGCAAAAAGTAGTGAATATTTCTCTACAAATCTTCTCTTAAATAATAACTTATCACCCTTGTGGCTGGCACTACGTATTTGTAGGAATGGAGGGATGAAAGAGTACATGAGAAGTAGAATGAAGGAGTACCCCCCCAGCATTAGTCACCAAGCATGGGTGTAGTATAGGTATTGGTATAGCCAGGCATGGGTGTTGTCAAGTATGGGTAAAGTCAGGCACAAGTATAGTCAGGCATGGGTGTCAGGCATCGATGCAAGTCAGGCATGAGGCAGAAAAGGAAACTTCCTCACAAAAGTTTAACAAAAAAATATTAATTCAAATTGAGAAATGAAATCCTTTGATAGCATTTTAACTCACATGCCTTACAAATCTTATTTTGCCTCCGACAGCCAACATCCAGGGCTTAGTAGAGCTCAACCTATGCATGCCTTAATTGATTTATACTGACTGTTAGATGCATTGTGTATTCAACACTATTGTGATGCATCAGTGTATATTAACATAGAGGTTGATGCTATAGCATATTACTACACTGACATTGTAGTGACTTCATCTATAATGAATGTATTTAGTCTAATCAGTCCTCGCCATTGGTGGATGGTGTAATAATGATAAAAATGTTCATGCAGTGTTTTTTCTAGATATCACAATATCAATTAGGATGCTATATTTGATTAATATGGTAATGGATATCAATGTTAGCTCTGATAGATTAAGTTTGGATTAACCATCTCCTCAAATTACATAGTAATGAGTATGGTATTATAATTACATAGTACTGCTCCTAACAAGAATTTGCCACATATATCTTTTAAGAGGGATTCACTCGCATCTATGTTGAAGTGTTAATTTCCGACATCAAGGTGACCATTTTGAATTATCATATAATATATGATATAGTACAATTCTTACAATTTACTCAAAAATACAACGAAGCCATATTTCGGATTCTCCCCTCATCCTCTCAGGGCCATGGAGGTTGGGGCAAAAAACTATAATGTTCATATACTACCAAAATTTCAAACAGTTCTATCCTTTATTAATCTCTTTTTTAAATGAAAAACATTAAAATGAAATTTTTAAGTTGCAATAATTGTGCATAAGAACTGACTGATAAACAGCGGTATTCACTACTTCCCTGTTTTAACTAACCTGTTTGTTAGTTGAAACTAGGATCAAGGTAAGCATCTTTATCCATTGCCAAAACAAAATTAACCTTTTACGTCAGTGAATAATGATATTTTGACATTATCGCTAAATGTTAGATCAATAAAAATATTTTCGTAAACTGATATGTTATGATTCCAGTCTGTTGAAGATAACAAGGAAATAATCATTTGCTCATAGAGAGCTTTCAATGCAATTCTTCGAAAAAGAAAACAAAGATTAGAAAGAAACCATGCTGTTAATCATACATCAAAAAATATATAGATCCGAACACTGCTTCATATGAACACTTTCTCCTAGTCCCAATTTTCAATCTCCCCTTGACCTATAAAGTAACCTTGAAATGTGAACACCTGCTATTTTCACCACTAATGGCTTTTCCGAGTAGCGTTTGGAATCAACAGTTTTACTCAATGTATATTCCTTCAGTCAACATAAATGGGTCAATATAGACAGCACAGACACAATAAACTACAAAGGTATTCATCTAGTAAGTCACAACTAAATAAATCCTAAAAACAGTGAAATCTGTCCAAGTGGAACACCTTTGGTAACTTAAAATAGTGTTCCACTTGGGAGGTATTCTTCTTATAGGGGTTCATTTAACATTAAGTCACTTAGCCTTGGGACTCTGAAAAGTGTTCCACTAACAGAGGTGTTCCACTTACAGAGGTGTTCCACTTTACAGGTTACATTGTACTCATTTGTTTGTTATAATACATAGTCTTACATAAGCACCATTGACTTGGGCATGTGGGCCCTTCTCACGACTGACTCACATTTTAGCAAATTAAATTACCATAAAACACATGACAAATAACAACAATCTGCCATTATCATGATGAGTCATTATTACAATATTGTAAGGACAAATAAATTGATGTCAATTGTGAATGATGTCATTTACTCAACAGGTTGTAATAGCAGTACTCAAGAGGGCATAATAGCAGTACTCAATAGGCCATAATAGCAGTACTCAAGAGGGCATAATAGCAGTATTCAAGAGGGCATAATAGCAGTACTCAACAGGCCATAATAGCACTACTCAACAAGCCAAAATAGCAGTACTTAACAGGGCATAATAGCAGTACTCAACAGGACATAATAGCAGTACTCAACAGGACATAATAGCAGTACTCAACAGGCCATAATAGCAGTACTCAACAGGCCATAATAGCAGTACTCAACAGGCCATAATAGCAGTATTCAACAGGCCATAATAGCAGTACTCAATAGGCCATAATAGCAATACTCAACAGGCCGTAATAGCAGTACTCAACAGGCCATAATAGCAGTACTCAACAGGCCATAATAGCAGTACTCAACAGGCCATAATAGCAGTACTCAACAGGCCATAATAGCAGTATTCAACAGGCCATAATAGCAGTACTCAATAGGCCATAATAGCAGTACTCAACAGGCCATAATAGCAGTACTCAACAGGCCATAATAGCAGTATTCAACAGGCCATAATAGCAGTACTCAATAGGCCATAATAGCAATACTCAACAGGCCGTAATAGCAGTACTCAACAGGCCATAATAGCAATACTCAATAGGCCAATATTGATACATGTGTAAAGTAATCAGTTCGCTACCAGCAAAGAAATACAGCTTTTGACAAAAATAGTCTCCTTCTCTACATTGTAGGGAGGTGTGTAGGGGGGATCACAGGGTATGGTAAATAACTATTGCAAATATTCAGTTTGTATTCAAATTAAAAGTTAACTCTGTAATATCTAACAAGGTATTATCAGGCAAAATGTCACCGCCATTTGTTACAGATTCCAACCGCCGATCGCCAATTGCCATCACAAAAAAAACGGAGACCATAACAATATGTCACTTTTTGGTGGTGACAAAAAATCACCTAAACTCCCATTTTCTAACGTGAAGGTACGGTTTATTGTATCCTTTGCATTTGTTTGACTTTGTTTCTTAAAAGAGAGCTTCGTCTTTTGTAGTTTCTCTCTAGACTCACGCAGGATAAGTTTAATAGTATAATTGTCCAAAAGTCACATTTTAGGCATTTTTGAGACTTAGAGGCACTTAAAGGCTGTATCTGATGACCTGTAGAAACAAATATTTTGTTGAGAAATTTTGATTTTCATTATCATTCGCATGATGAAAATATTGAATCCAATCAACTCAAAAATATAGTAGTGCAATTCTTTTAATAAAAACAATATACAGTTTTATGAATCTTTAACAAGCCATAAATATGTTACGAATAGCTACTTTACATGGCAGATGATACTAAAGAAGTCAAAGCCACATAGTAAGACTTCCAATGTAACTATAAAAATATATAGGTAGGCCTAGTAAATAGTTATGTCAAGATGGCTTAAAACATTTTAGGATGTTATTGGACTGAACTTAAAAAAAACACATGTCATAAAAAGCAGTGATACTGACACATCTCCTAATTTTTGTTGACTCTAACTGCATGTGACGTTAAAAGTTTCCATGCATTGGTTATTTTGATAAACTGCATCATGTTTTGGTAGGAAGCATACCCTTTGCATTCGTTTGACTTCACTTCTTAAAAGAGAGCTTCGTCTTCACTCTTTCAAACTAAAATAAACCAGTGAACTCACCGCACAAATCAGTGTTCGTCGGCCAAATTTGACCAACGTTCTATATATGGTCAGTCCTTCTGACGTCGTCGTTGAGCCCGGAATTGACCAATGACACGCGCATATTTAATTAGAACGCATTTGGCGTATGTTTCTTCAAGCTCGCTGATTGGTGGAAGAAAGGTCAGCGCGTAGGTCAAAAGTGATTTATTACCCAAACTGTCACCGGTACCCGTCGTGGGGGTGGGGCTACTAAACTGTAATATAGTCTCTACTAGGCAGAGTGTAGTTTAACTAGACTCTGCACGCAGGGTATAGGAAGCAATAACCAATGAGTGAAAATAAAATAGAGGTTTCCTTTCAATTCACAGTCAATAACACCATCCCAAATATAAAATGTCCGATCAAGAAAAATAGGAATATACATGAACCTTTACAGAATGAACTGAAACTCTTATTCGAGACATGTGTGACTTATAACCTTGTTCTGTTCTCTGCCCCCCCCCCCCCAAATTATGTTCATATTTCCTTCACCTGTTTGATTGAGAGTAAGATGGGGGGGGGGGTACTAACACGATAGCTTTGTTACACTGTAGCTTTGTTGATGCAAGATTTCCCTACAATCATGATATAGCATATTCATGTAAGTTCTGCCTGATGTAGCATGGTATGTAATTACCAAGTATATGAATGTGTGAATACTATATTACTACATTGTACAATGTACATGTATTTTTATCAAGTATAGACTTTCATGTTTAACTGTTTGATAAATATGTGCAATGTCATGAGGGTAGAGATTGAAATGTTAAATAAGGTATAATTATACCCTGATAGGCTGATACCCTGAGGCAAATAGCTCAACATACTAACCCTCTGTCTTTAACAAATGATTTTTGATTCCAACACAATGTCAAATGTAGAATTTGTGGCCTTCAATTGAAGTAAGAAATAACAGGCAGAGACGTTCGGCATTAACACGCAGAATGTCTCCACTTGCCATTTGTTACAGATGCTTAGGAATTCAAGGACTTACTCATAAAATGGCACAGATTGAGAGCTGACATTGAAGCACAATTTTTGCAATAAAAAGTATTGTATGTGCAATTCCTTGCCCCTACCTTTATCCCTACAGGTGAAGAAAAGATGAGTATCTGGGAAGATGGGGGGGGGGACATACTTGATGAGAGACTAGTATTTGACTATTCAGTATTTTGTTTGGCTATTTCTTATACCTATGGCCATACTTCAATGCATGTCATCAAAAAAGGCAAATCCAGGAACCTCTCCCTGAAGGAGTACTGTGTTCTTTATATGCTCTAATTCACTGATTCAAGGTAAGGCATGGAAAACTAGTTATTCATACATAAACGGATTAGAACTTTCCAAAGCATGGAAAGAGCAGGGAAAGACTTTTAGCTATGTGTACTGTATGATAAATTATACAAACAGAAATCAAACAAATATTCAGAGAAGTAAGTCTATTTAAACAACACTACAGTACAACTAACAAAGTCAATAAAATAATCCCTAGTTATTTCTATGCATGCCAAATGACGAGTCTGGCCTTAATCCCAAAAATGTGTTTTAATACAGTTTTATTAACAATACATGACCAATAAAGGTATATTTTGATCGAGTGAATGAAAAGAATTATTATATGGTTTTTTTGAATTCATGAATTTAAATGTATACAAAGACCACTATGCCAATGTTGAACTACAGCAAAGTTTTTTGCAAAACTTACTGCCATGAATATCATCAAGACATGCCATATCTCAAAATGTAAAAACATGTACATGTACAATCAAAATAAAGAATTGAAGTTCAGGATTCAGTAATAAATGAAAATAAAGTGTATGATATTGAATTATGTACCCTTGAATGTACTCTTTAATTTTTTAAAAGAGAGCTTCGTCATGTCTTTTGGAATATGCGTAAGGGGGGGGGGGAAGTCTCAAGGACTTGAAGGTAACAGTGATACTTAAACATTTATAAAATATGTAAAACTTACAGCAGCAAGGTGTTGAATATAAACAGAAGGACCCCACATACAACGCGGGTACACATGGCCTGCTTGGACTCCATGGGGTTGGGGTCGCCACCACATCGCCTGCAGCAGCAGCGACAACAACACATGATCATCCCAACCAGCGGCATCACGATAATGAATAGCACCCCTACTGCTGCACATATTGTATAGCCTATATAGTGTAGTACAACCTGGAAAACAGATAAATTGCCCTTAAAGAATATCTGATAATCTGCTAAATTTAAAGTTACCTGCTTCAAACATAGAGCAAAAAATAGAAAGGGAATGTGGGGGGGATGTGATGCTAAGAAGAAAAAGATATGTATGAAGAGTGTCAATGTCATGGGATGTTTTGAATCCCATGACAGAAAGTTATCTCATAGACATATTCCAAGGAAATACCTAAAAGGAAATATATCATATTTACATGAGTGGCCATAGGGACCAAGGGAAAGATATGGTATATTTCCTGAAGGATATCAGAGTGAGAGAGATGATATGAGAGGAAGAGCTACATTGTACATGTTCATATGGAAATAGTTGCACCATCTGTTATTCATAAACATCTATGGTAAGGGGAATAAAATAAATCATGAACTGAAATGCCTATGGGGATTTGCCTGAAGAATTATTGAACTCCTCAAATAAATGTTGATTTAAGAATATGACTATGAGGTAACTTTCTGATACCCTTTACAAAAAATCGTTTTTTCTCACTCTCCCAATTACTGGTAAACTTGATTTAGCCAATCAGAGCTGGTTCTTGCTCAGCATGACATTAGTTTGACTGTGTAGAGTTCTAACTAGCTAATGCCTCAGTCAGATTTGAGCTGTACCGTACCGTACCACACCGTACAGTTGCCATAGTTTCACAAAATCAAGATAAATATGCAGCATAAAATAGAATGATGAGCAGTATCATGTGGGTTTTCTATATCAATTTGTAACAGGTTTTAGCTGTCATATGGCTGCAGTAGAGAAAATGTGACTAGGGTTTAAACATCAAACTAAAATTACCAGTCTTAGTCAGAGGATGGGACACTAGCTAATGTGCTCAGGGTAGCTTTCCTCATAGAGTTCAACTGAGGCTCTTTTAACACAGTAGGTTTCATTTATCTCTAACTCCTCTTAGTATTGAGTTACTGTATCTATTAACTAAGTATCTCCCTGAGGTAGAATTTCTTTGATTCAATTATCATAAACAATGTTTTAAGAATTCTATACAGTCTCAAATACATTGACAAAACATGACTCAAATTAGATTTATTCAATAATCATTAATAGACCAGTGACTTCAATTTAGCATTTTCTTGGGGCTGTAAAAACTCTCTGAACTGAAGAATAAATTTCTGACGCAGAAGAATTGCTTAATATCATTACCATCATAGGGGTAATAGGATTTGATACGTTGCTAGGTAGAATTTATTTGTGACATAACAACATAAGATGGATGGATATTAGAGAATGTGCAAATTACAACTAAATCAGCTACTAATTACTCTCAGGGTCTACAATTACTCTTGCATGTAATTTAGCATTTTGGTTATTTGAACTGGAATATATACAATTAGACAAATCCATGGGTGTAGCCAGGGGGGGGGGGGGTGCACCCCCACACCCCACCAAAAAAGCACTTTTGTAAATTTTTTAAAAAAACATTTACAAATTATAGTCTGAAATGCTTAGAATGCACAATATAATAATGTAAATCTTAAAAGACTTCTGGGGTTGATCCCCATACCCAAACCCAAAATTTGCACCCCCCTTGATATTTGCTGGGTATGACCCTAGGCCCTGATATGTATGATTAAAGTTTGGACAGGTGCACAATTCCATCATTTCATTTTTATCCCTGTCTGATGCCGTATCATCATTATTACTTTCTCGTAATGTTTCATGGCTAATGTGAAACCATACACCGATCAATGAAACAAGGAAGGACACTAATTCAGATTCCGCTGAAGAGTGACTAATTCAATATTGCATGTTATTTTTACAGAGTATTTATGTTGTATTAAAATGCTATTAACCAAACTAATGATATTGATTCTCATCAGACTTGGTCATGTTAAGGTCATACTGAACCAGCTAATTTTGTTAAAGATCTAAGATGAGGATTTTCTAGTTAAGAAATGTTTATGAATTTCTTTCTCAGAAACCTCAAAAATATTTTTCCTGGAACACTAGATCAATGTTCAAGCGCACTTAAAACTGATACTCCAGACTGGGTTATGTTATTCAAGTACTGCCATTATTTCTTTAGTCTTGCATGAATCCTCCCCCCCCCCTCCTACTATCTATCTCTCCCAATTTCATAATTTGAAATTTGATCGCAAGGATACATATCATCATATTCAGAGCTACACTTTGCATGAACTTCCACTTTCCAAATGACATGAATCATGAGTGTCAGGGCTTCATCTTAGGATTCACAATATAGGTTGCAGTGTTCTCCCCAAAAATAAATTTCAACTGGGTGCAAAATTTCAAGTCTGAAAAAATCAGCACTCGCTACGCTCACAATATCTAAGTGTAGGTGCTTACTTCACTCATTTTTCAAATCAGAAGTTAAAGTGCAGATTCAAACTGGGTGCCAACTGGGGGGCCTTTGGTTTCAAGTAGGGGGAGCCCCCAGTAAAAGTGACATGGGGAGATCACTGGGTTGTTGTTTTTGTACTACAGTACCTCATGCAGTGATTTCCATAACCCTTCTTAGAAGTAAAGTCGAAACATATGCAAATTTGCATTCGTTTGACGTTTAGCTTCACTTGTTAAAAGAAAGCTTTGTCTTCACTCGTTCCATTTACAAATCAGAATTCGTCATCAAAATACGGACAACTTTCTATATTATGGTCATTTCTTCTGACATCATCGCATAGTTAATGAGCATGAACTTAGGTCAAGTTCATTCCAGCTCGCTGGTTGGTTGAGAAAAGGTCAGCATCGTAGGTTTAAATGAATTATGACCCGGGCTGTGACATGTATAGGTCGTAGGGGCAGAGCTACTAACTGTTATATAGTCTATAGACTATATACAAGGCACAGGGTAGTTTTTAACTAGACTCTGTACACAGGTGTGATTTTTTCAAACAATTTACTTGAAAAGTTCTTTCTGATATCAAAAGTATAGATAATGCCAACGCTCCGATGGTTACACTAGTCTTGCAACAAGCCCCGTGTACTCCTGCACTCTCTCTTAACAGTCAGAGAATGGAGGAGCAGGAGAGGGGGCAGTATTGGGACTCTCAATATATGACTATGTTCTGATTAGAACATGAGTTTCTGATTAGAACATGAGTTTTATATAAGAGATCACAGCCTTAAAACAGTTCATTTCTAGAAAAGTTTCAAAATAAAAAGATGGGATAAATACTGTATCAGAATGGAAATTGAGTGAAAAAAGGTTACTAACAATGAAAGATATTTACAACTTAACATTTGCCTTAGTTGTTTTCTTTCAGGCAATTGTAACCTCATCATGACTATTATACAGTGATCATTACTACCTCTGTTTTAAATGTAATAGGAGCTAGCAGGTAATTTCCCTTACATAAGGGAGCATTTCTCGTCTTATGAACATGCAAACTAATGTGTGAAAAACACTTTAGGGAGAAATTGGAAGTCCTAAAGTATTGATATACAAATACATGAATACAGGAGTGTACAATGTGAGAATTTTAATATGTGTTTTAAAAAATATCCAGACTTTCATTTTGAGAGTTTGTGGAAGATCTCCCATTTGTTATCTAAATTACATTGTTAGTCACATAGGGGACACAATGCCCCTGTATAATTGATGTTGCATTGTTGCTGGTAAGTTCACTTGCATTAATTAAAGATTCACTTACCGGTTGTATATTTGCTGTGCCAAATGTTGAATTTCTCTCTGAAACAATGAAAAAGAGAAATTGATTAGTTTTTAAACAAAGTAAAACTCATCAGACCTCAAGTTGTATAAGGACTAAGAGGTATTGTATGTTCAAACTCAAAATTCACAAGGAGAAATATGTTTCAGTTCAAACTGAGAACCTTTTTTGTGAGAATTGCCGCCCTCTAATGAATGATAGCAAAGCTTACTAACTAGGACGGGCAAGAATGGAAAGGATTTCGGAACTTGCCTTCAGAATTCAGAACAAACTTTCAGAATTTCAGGCCTAATTGGCTTACTAAGATATAACAACGATAACCATTTCAGTGCTCTCCCCACATTGGAACCTCTGAGGCACAGCACCTCCATGTATTTTATAAAATCAAAATGCCCCTCAATGCAATTAGGTGTGCCTCCTAAAATGTTACAATAAAAATAAGGAAATTCGAAAATGCTGCATAAAAAATTACAAAAAACTGAAATGTTGCACTAATAAGTAATAAATCCTCAAAACAAAAAAATACGAGGGAGAGCACTGCAACCTGTTTGCATGGTTTATTATTAATGTTATAAATGTTAGAATAACTGCAACTAGGGTATGACACAGAGTAATAACTTAACACAGATCATGTTTATTTTTCATAAAACTGTTCAACTGCCAGAAACAGTTGGCATAATGTTCTTAATGTTATTACATGTATAACTTATAAAGCAACTAACTGGGTATATTGGTCTCATATTCATAAGTTATTTTAAAAAAGGTATGGAATATATAAAATTTATGAATTATTTATTTATATTAGCTATTTCTTTTTATTTCATTTGCTGTAGGGGAGAGAGGGGTAAGTTGGAACATGGGGTGAGACAGAATGATGGCTTTTTATTGAATAATTATTTAAAAGATGTTACTGGAATAAACTTTTTTTGAAAATATATCAAGTGATCTTTCTGCTCAACAACCATTTTCTTGTCGGCAGCAACTAATACTTAAATAAAAAGCCATTGTTCCGTCTTACCCCACTCCTAACAAGTTGGCGCGTGTTCTTTACAGAAAACAATATATTCCAAAAATATCGGATCATGAAAAGCCAGTTCCCAAAGTCTGTTACCGCAGGTAAAATCGGATGGTTCGGACAATAATTCTGCTCCATGCAAGCCCCACACAAGGAGTATTTTTCCAAAATACATGCGTTCAACAAAAACAATTTCTCATAAATGAGTTATTATTTAAACTGAATGATTGATGGAAGGTTTCACTATGTGATTCCTATTGAACTTTAGGGGAGGCATCAAAAGTTCGATGTCGGATAGAAAACTAAATAAATCTAGTTAGGGGGGAGGGGGTTCAAACCCATTTCAGTTTGCTATCCGACAAATTTCAACATTTCAAATTTTGGGCAATTTCAACTCAGAATGCCTTGGAATGGTTTAAAAATAAAGATTTTACCTGATGCTTTCTTCGTCAAGATCATTCCAATGGATTCTATTCTATCAATAGTTGTTAAAAGCCGCAAATTACGATAGGAATTAACAAAAACTAGATCGTGTTTAGCAATTATTTTTCAAATTCTCAAACCGGAAGTAAGCGATCAACTTTCACGTTGTTTAGTTTTTGGGGGAGGGGGGGGGGGGGGGTCTGAGTCAAAACTAGATTTATTTAGTTTCCGATCCGACATCGAACTTTTGATGTCTCCCCTTACTTGTTTATATCTATAAGGATAAGTGATTTTTCACAAGAATAAGATGTATAAAATTCTCTTTCACAATCAAGTCTTGATTGCACCATGTGAAAAGTCTGCTTAATATTTTTAACGAACCCTATTGAGAAGAAACCAAGGGTGACATCCTTTAGAGTTTCAATAGTAGCAAAAATGTTTTGCAATGGTTGAATAAGTAGGATAAACCACTGTTCCCGTCTTTTCATTGTTACAGCAATATACAGAACCACAAAACAGTCCCAGACTTAGGATGGTTTTTAATCCTCCTTGGATGAAATGAAAATATCTGTTTAGGTTATGATGACTTTTCTGTCACTTCCTAGGTTTCCAAAAATACGAAAATATTTGGCACCAGTTATCCTTAATACAATTTGTAGTCTGGAAGTATCGAGAGGGTCAGATGAGTCAGTTATTTTTATTCTGGGGGTTTAATGAGCAAGATGAAATTTTCTCCAGTTTATCAATTTTTATTTTGTTTAGATCGGATTGTATTTGTTATCAATGTTAACATTATACAATTTCCATAATTCTGCCTGGATTTTCATATGTTTTGCCTGTTATCATGTATTTTAATGAAATTCTCTTGTTTATTTGTCTGTTTATTTCTGAACTTGTCTGGAATTTGCTCCTCTTGCTAAGTATAGATTGCTTGTAAAGTATTTATAGATTATTTAATGAAATATGACAGGGGTCTTACTAGGAAGTATGTTAGGTGGAAAAGTATCAGGAACAGTAAATTATATCAATTTTTGTTTTGTATATTTTAAGTAATGAAATTAAGATAATAGCAATGATCATGAAGAGTTATCGGATTGTGGCTAAATGTTAACATGACCTTAAATTGGCAATAAAAAACAACTTTTTTAAAATAAAATTTCACTTTTTTTATTGAAAATCAATAAAATAAGTAAATTTAATCATCGCTATCTTTAGTACTATTTTTCATGTAAGGATTTTTGTGTCCCTCACATAATTCAAGACAAGTTAATTTCATTGTATCAAGGCATTTATGATACATGTACACATGTATATAATTTACTTGCACATTTTTTTATTTCTACAAGTGAACTAATACAAATCTGTATAGCACTGGGCCCATGTTAAAAGCAAACTATTCAAAGTTCTTTAATACCAAATACTTTAAATAATTAGAAGTTTCTAAGCATATTTACAAATAGAGAAATGAATCAACATTACTCATGTATTCCAATTAGTGGGTATTAAAGGACAAAAAATTAATGCTTTATACTTAACTCTTAGCACTATTTAATGAAGAAAAGGAAATACATAGCGAGCCTCAATGATTATACTTCTAAGTTCCATATAGGGAATGAAATCTTGTATACTAAGCTATCATGTATGATTCAATCATTAATCCTAGTTTAGGGCTCATTGTCAGAGCCAACGTTACAATTAACGCTTAGTCGGTTTGATTCCTGGTTCAGACAACTTTGTATATGCATTTTTATATAATTCTGGGCGTTTGACTGTTTGGTCTACAATTCAAACAAAAGGCTTTGGTGTGTACTTGTAACATGTATGTCTGCGTACAGGTACACATAAAAAACACAGGACTCCTCCAAGGAGGGGTTTTAGCTCTGTCTTTGAATGTAAAATATGGAATATAAAACATATAACGATGAGATGCTGCTCCCCAAGATGTGGTAGGCCTAGTTACCAATCTTTTATACAAATTGGATGAGATGAATGCAACAACCATAGCACATTACCAGATTACCTATAATTACCAGTGGTGCAAATATAGAAAAATGGATTTAGTATCCAAAAGGAAACATTGATTGCCTTTATGGCTTGTTGATTTCCAATGAGTCAAATCAGTTCCATTTGCATTCATTTTGACTTAAAGCTTCTTAAAAGATAGCTTTATCTTCACTATTAAGTTTAAAGAACCTCAGAACTCACCAAGCCAACCAGAGCTTGTCATCGCAATGAGGATTTTCTTAAAATGAACTTTGTTGAAAAAAGTTTATTTCTGCTTGCTGTTTGGGTGAAAGATGTTCATGTGAAAGGTTTAAATTAATTAATAACAGGTAGTGAGGGTGGGGCTGCCAAACTGTAAATAAAAGTGTTGACCCTAGAACTTAAACTCTATGCTCGGGGTACTAATAAGCTTACTCAATAGACAACTGTAATATTCAGTATGTGCTAATATTATTTTCATAATATATCTATAGTTGATTTCCTAGTACTCTTGAGTTCTTGTATTATGAAAATCAATCATACAGTTTGTAATTCATGCAGGCGTAGTCCTAATATTGCCATTTCACATGTATACATTAGACACAAAAGGGTATTTAAACAGTAGGTTTTATACATGTCGCTTAGTTATACAGCTTAGTACATGTGTACTTATTGATACGCATAATTTAAATGTATTAGCGTGACAGTTCTCAGCCTAAAGTTGTAACGTGTATATCTTTATCCGACAATAAATTCTCCTGATGTTACAATGTAAGGCATTCTTACGATATTAAATTATTTTGATCTCTTAGAAAAAGACCTGATCCAGGTAATAACAGGGTGGGGTTTATAACTTCCTTGTTTTGAATCATTGAATATAGGCTAACAATTGACCCCTCCAAAATAATTCATGATGAATACCAGGATGAATACTTACTAAGTATGGAATTTAAATCTATAAGTGTTGTAATGTCATCCAATGTCTTTGGCTGTACAATCCCCAAGAAAAAGTTCTGCATTAGGTATATAACTTGCATTCCCTGATCCACCGGTCTAACTTGAGTTGTACTTGTATCATCCTGGACCGTTTCAGTGTTTTCAACAGATTGAGCAAAAATAAGGCCAACTAAACAGGCCAGTAAGTTGAATAAAACTAAGATTTTCAATATCCCCATTGTTCCTAAGTGTTCCTTATATACTCATACACAGACTGATGTATATTCAAACTTAATCCAAACTAAAACTACTGAGTATTTTTATAAAATAAGTGGACGAATTCTTCTTTCAATCAACAGCCATACTTGATTATATTTGCACTGAATCACCGAACGGGAATTGTTTGGAAAATTTAACGCACCTCTATATAATTCATTATAATTATCAGTAGAATGTATGCAAAATTAAACAAATCATTTCCAAATATTTATTTTATCAATGCCTAAGCTAAGACTAAGTTATGCCCGATAACACCGCTGTATTTGAAAATCCAAAATTAAATGCCACATTCTTGTCATGATGTAGAAAAAGCGCCATTTTGAAAATTGTGAGAAAACATTTTTAGGAATATTTTGGCGAATTTATGTGCAATTTTGTAACCTTGCGACAATATAATACACTTCATTAAACTGCAAGTGACACAGGTAGTCGTTGTTCTTCTTTGACCAATTTTTCCTTTCATTATTTTACTTCATTTACGATTAGAATAAGATCTAAATCTCCTTTCCAGTTGAGTTCGGAAATCCAATCCCTGGTTCAAATCGAGTTTCTCAGGTTCAGTTGAGTTCCAACTTCACTTGCTTGAGAAGTGTGAGGAGAGTAAAGCGTCATGAAATTTGTGTGGTATGTACCTGGCAGCCTGTAGAGTAGACTCTGTAGCCCACTATTGCCAAGGGGGGGGGGGGGGTTGTCCTGAGTCCTGACCCCCATATGTGGAATTGAATAGCATTTTTATTAACACATCCGGGAGTTTCGCTATATATAAACCTTGATTGGTATCCTCGGCGCACATGTGTACCATTTTTTTTACATTTGGAATGGCAATGGACCCAAATTTTTATTTTTAGGATCTGGTATGAGAATGCTCCCCCCCCCCTAAATTATGACTTGAGGTATGGCAATGGTCTGATTTTTCCACTTTGGGTTTATCTCGTTCCAAGACTATCTCTACGTTCTAACCAGAAAGGAAGAGGACGGTGTTGGAACAAGATAACTTTGGGTATGAGGATGGGTATCGATATGGCAAACTTTTTGAACACACGTTTCTCTAGAGACATATATGTTTTATATGTCTCTGGTTTCTCTTAAACCAGTCATCAAAAAATTCTGAAAAATTTTACACATTGTCAATTTAATGGTAACAATATAATTTGAAATAAATATATTATATACTTTTCTCTATATTGTTTTAGAAAACACATCGGACACTTCTTTTTTTGTTCTTGGTATCATATGTTCGGAATGAAATGAAACATCTATCCGAACCTCATTAGAACAAAATGACAAACACAACATGTTTATGTTTCTCGATATTGTAATTATACAAAGTAAAGTTTGGTTGATTTAAAAAAGTATCTTGTTAATGAAATTAAAGGTTTATCTTAGTTTTTGGCTCACACAGTTGGCTTATGGGATCGACCAGGCGTCCGTCCATCTGTCCGTTGCTCCGTCAACAGAAGCTGAGAAACGTTCAGAGCAATCGACTCGTTCGGCAGGCTGATGAAAATTGTCCCTTCCAAAGCGATGCATCATGGGAGATATTTATGTAAATTACCACCCAAACTCTTATCGCGAATAGGAGTATTGCACTAAAAAACAAAAAATGTTAACAAAAACAGTTATATATATATAAATTATGTTCGCATTAAATTGTTGTCAATCAGTCAACATTACATAAAAGACCGTGTTTTTCACAGAATGTTTTCAATAATTGGTTTAAGAGAGAAACATTGTTGAATTCAGTTCTCCATATCGATACCAATCCTTTGAAAGTTTTCACCAAATTCAGCGTTAGGTGGCTTCACAAAAATGTTACCGAAAATATTCGAACCCCCTCCTGTCAAATCCTGGCTACCATGGTTACGCCACTGAGTTGTTACACATATACTTAATTTAAGGTTGTTTTGGATCATTTTCCTCAAAGATTTGCCTTCTTCCTGGGGTTTTAGACAGTGAATGCCCTTGGTCTTATTATTACCCTTTGGTATGGCATTGGTCTTATATTTGGACATTTGGTATGGCTCTCGGGCATTATTTTGGTTGGTAAGGGCCAACACATTGAAATTTGACAGATTGATATGGGAACATATTCATCTGAGTGTTCAGCCTAGGACCCATAGAGAATTTTGTGTACAGAACTGAGCAATCAAAATCATGAAGTTGGATAACTGAATGAATTTAAGATGAAAATTCAATCTGTATTAGTAGTTTCCTTTGCTTACATCTTCTTAAGTTTGACAAAACATCCCCCTCTGACATGGTTACCTCATGCCCCCCAGATTACCTGCTGTATCATGGACCTCAAGGAGTTGTTCTGCGTTATAGTTCAAATTAGGTTATCACTTAAAAATGAATCTGACTCTGCAACATTAGTTACCAAAATTTCTGGGAAGCTAAATTATGATATAACACCTGATGAAGAACTTTACTTAGTGATTTGCAACTGGGTTTAGCTGGTTCTACTTATAATGTGATCTCTTCCAGTTTATTAGTGTTCAAGGACTGTTCATGGCTTTGGGTCTGAGACTTACATCATACAATAAAGCGCCATATTCCAAATTACTGTGTTGTGAGAGAAAAGAATGACAGGTCCCCTTCTCTCACTTATATATGATATGTGTACGCCATCTTTTGATTAAAATATTGTTTTTCCAGTTTGAAATGCCATCATCTTACAGACAACATGGTGATATGTCGGGAAATGACCTGCACAAGGCTGTCATCACAGGACACAAAAGACAATTAAGAAAGCTCATTGAAAGAGGTAATTAACTCAAATGCAGAATTAGATCAAATGAGCTCTGGGAGTTGAATGTATGCTGTACATAAACCTTGACGAGGATGGTCAATGCACATGGAGTATTTGTTATGGCAATGGACCTAAATTTTAGGTTCTGGTATGACAATGAGAGTGCCCCGAAATATTTAACTTTTATGTAGGGCATGGGCTTTCAAGACAACCCGTGAGTAGGGCAATTATTGGTCCGATTTTCCCTCTTTCTGGTTTGAGAACGCCTGGTATGACACTACTTCATTTGTGGCATTGGTCCAGTGGTTAAATATGTCTTGATTTTAAGGTTGTCTTGAATCATTTCTGCAAGATCTTACCTCTACTTTTAAGAATGAGCTTATTGGACAACAAATAATTTGACAAATATTGGACCTATTTCAAAAAGATGTGCTCTAATTTTGAAATTTTGGGCCCACTAGCTACTGTCTTCAGAACTAGGCCCAAAATGAAAAATAACACACATAATGTATACTGTAAATTTTGTAGGTTTGAAGGTTGATTACCAGAACAATGAAGGGCAGACCCCATTGTATGTGGCATGCTACGAGGATCAAGAGGGCATGATTGATACACTATTACGTGCTGGAGCTAACCCAAATGAGTAAGGGATAGGAAACAATTGTTCATAATGATTACAACTATTTACTAGCAGGCCCGTAGACAGGGGGGGAGGGGGGTTTGCAGGGTTCAGGTGATCCCCCTGGCCTAAAATTCTTAAAGTCCCCGTCTAAAGTTTGAAAATATTTTTTTATCATTCATTTACTATTTGTCAGGACTTAAAAAGTGATTTTAGAGATTTTTGAACAAAAAATTTTTTTTGAAAAAAAAGTTGTGAGCATTTCATTTCTCAAATATTCAAATTTCCCGCCATTTTTCAAAAAAAGTTGAAATTTCTTAATCATCAAATATTTCTTAATGCATTTCAAAAAAGATTATATTTTTAACACCAATGCAAAGATTGAACAAAAGACACACTATTTCAATAACAAAATGTCATATTTAATGGGCCACTTCAATGTTTTAGCTTATCAAAAATATTTTGAAACATTAGTGATGTCACTAAGGTAACAAAAACTTTTTGAAAAAATTGAATTTTTTTTTTCGATGTCAATCTTTTCTAAATATGCTAGACTTTCATAAAAAACCAATGTTGATTGTCTAACCAGGTTAAAAGGAAGAATAAATTATGTTTTGGATATCATTGTACCATTGGTTTCTATGAGAACTAAAATTTTGAAATGCATTTTTCTCAGAACCATTTTCATGCACTGATAACTTCATTTCTCGCTTGTTTATCAACTGATTTTCTTAATTTTTTCGGCAAAAAACATGGGAGGATGTATGCTATGCATTGGTATGAATTGTGGCTAATTAGAAGATATGAGTGACCTCTAAAAGTTGGTTTTAAATAAATGCACAAATGTTGGAACAAAAAGTCTATCAAAAACCACTTTTTGAAATTAAAAAAAAAAGTTTCACATATCACACTTTGATAACATTGGGTAAGACTACAATATAAGCCAAAGTGGTTTAAACTTTACATGGGGCCTTTAAATCTTGCAGTTTTTCACCATTTTGAGCACTTCTCAAGTGATTTTAGCCATATTTGGGCCAAAATTGTCAAATGTGAACCACCCTGGAAATTTTTGAAAACTGACCCCCCCTCCCTTGGCAAATCCTGGCTACAGGCCTGACAAGTTCATCAATGTGATATCGATAATATGTGGAATCTTGATTTATCTCAGAATTATTTCAAAAATTGATTAGAAATATGAGTTTTGAATTTTCATATTTACATAAAGGATATTTCCATAAACCCAATAACTCAATAAATTGATATTTTTGATCATGGAATAACCAACATCTTATTGTTCTATTATTCCACCTCTCAGAGCATATAGAAATATTTGTATTTATCAGATCTTAAGTATCAAAGCTGTGTTGTCCCTCCCCTGTTTCATATATACAGTATTCTTTCTTTTGAGACTTGGAAAATCAGGAAAGGTGTGGTATCGATATAGAGAACTTTTTGAACGCACGTTTCTCTTAAACCAGTCATAAAAAATCTAAAAATTTAGTTCTAACGAGTGTATTTTATGTTTTAAGACATTAATTTCTTTTTTAATAGACGGAGCTTCAATGGTTCTACACCAATGCATGCTGCATGCTACAGCTGTAATTGGCGCATCTTAAGTAAGCTTATTGAAGCTGGTGGTGATCTGCGCCTGCATGACTCAAACAAACGGAAGCCTGTTGATTGGGCAAGATCACAATCAGACCCTCGGAGGCGTCAGAAAATGATGGA